AATAAACTCAACATCCCTTGACTCTATCATCCAGCATTTAGTGCAGTCCCACAACAAGTACACTCTTTTGTCTTCAGCAAACCCAATGTGAATGCACTCAACTGTCCAGGCCCCAAGTTTCATTTGAAACTTTTGGGGAATGTGTGCATAGGCAACACATCCGAATAGTCGCAGTGATTTGAGTGAAGGTTTTCGACCAAAATAGGCCTCAAATGGTGTCTAATTCTGGTCAAGAGCTCGGGTCAATACCCGGTTCTTAATCCAGACAGCATGTCATATGGCAATACCCCAGAAACTCGGAGGAAGTTGCTTGACTTTAAGCACTTCTTTTGCATCTTCTAGCATTGACTGTGCACAGTCATTTAGAGTGCAGTTTACCCTTTTGGCAACTCCATTCTGTTGAAGGGTGTAAGCATTTGTGATCTCATGGGTGATTCCCTCAGACTCAAGGTAAGTTTTGAAGTCAGCAGATGTGTATTCACCACCTCCATCTGTGCGCAGGTGTCAGGGCACATACCCTGACTTAGCCCGGACCCGGACCCGCATCCGGACCCGCTCCACTTCCCACGCACGCTTCCCACGCTGCATGATCCATGTGCTGCATGCTCTGGTCCCTGGATCCTGCCTTCATGTGACTTCCGGGTATCCCCGGAAGTTTTCCTCATATTGTGGCCACTGTAGGAAAGTGAGAAGTAACCTTCTTCTCACTTTCTTACCCACAGCAGCATTGTGCCCTGAGATGGGCTGTTACAGGTCAGGCTCTGGGTAATAGAGAGAGGGGTCATGGGGACCCAGGTTTGTCCCCTGACAGCAGGGTTTTAACCTTTCTTCCAGATTCCTTTTCAGCTTTCACTTTCCAGGCTTTGAATAGATTTAGCGCTGAGTCCTTGGTCTTTGCAAGTCCGATATGGGTGTACCAGCTATAATCATCAGTGAAAGTGATGAAATAACGGTGACCCTCGCAGGTCTCTGGAGTGATCGGGCTGCATAAGTCACTAAAGACTCGGCCTAGTGGTTTGGATGAGCAGGTTGAGGTGGATTTAGGGATTGGATTGCATGTTTGCTTTCCCTTTAGGCAAGGTATGCAGCATCCCTTTCCTTTCTCCGTAATTTCCATTTCGCCCACTGACCCATGTTTCTCCATGTTTAGGATTGTATCCTCAGTAACATGTCCAAGCCTCTGGTGCCATAGTGTCAGGGATGCATCCAGGGTCGAGGCGGTCCGGGCGTAGCGTCTGGTGCTAAGGACCTCATGGGGGTAGATCGGGCATGCGTACTGGCAGGCCCAATGCAGGACAGCAATCCCTGGCCACTTAGACTGAAGTGGGAATGTTGAGAAGAAGGTTACTTCTTCAGTTCCCACCCCAGGTGTGTTTATATACATGCGGCTTGGGTCACATGAGGTCTGCCATGTCACCCTGCATACAGCCATAGTCACCCGGGTGTCCCCATGGGGGATCCCGAGGGCATATGCTGCACGCATGTGCACTAGGTTGCACCCTAGAGCCGTCTGGGGCGTCCAGGGCTAGGCATGTCATGTGCACGTCGCGGGCGGGTCAGTAATACATAGATATAAGGGAAAGGTCATCTGTGTGAAATAGAAATAGAGATAGAGATAGAGATAGAGGTGGAAGAGGGATAGAGGGGGGAAAGGGCATGAAGGAAGGGTGCAGGGTGAGAGAAGAGGTACTAGGTGAGGTGGGCCCAGGTGGAGGCAGGTTGGGCGGGTGTGCCCTGACACATATGTAGGGCTAGGCTGGCTTTGGAAGTTGACATGGTTTGGGTTGTGAGTGCATGCTCATCATCCTCTGCAACTTCGACTTGACAAAACTTTGCGGTTTTGGGATACATGATCTTTACCCAGAGTCTATAGAGACTTCCATGTGGGTATGCATGATTGACAACTTTTCCAGATTTGGAATTTACGATGTCAATGTGATCCTCCTCAATAATGGTTTTGAGACCATTCTTTGCAAGTTGTCAGCCAGATAGAAGATTGTTGTTTAAGCAGGGCACATGAAGAACATTTGTGAATCAGCCAGGATGGAATTGATCTCCCATGAATGTTTGGACCTCGATATCACCAATACCAACTGCATCGATATAAGTGTCAGCGGTTTTGATCTTCTTTGGGTGAGTGAGTTTCTGATAAGTTGAGAACATTGAGGAGTCAGGGGTCATATGTGATGAAGCCCCTGTGTCAATGACAAAGTGGGTGAAGGGGGAAGTTTTTGAGGCTACTAGTGCAGTCTCAGACTCAAGGGTCTCATGTGCGAGGTATACCAAGAACCCCTCTCCTGATTCTTTGGCTTCAGCTACTTTAGCTGATTGCCCTTTCCCCAACTTCTTCTGTCTCAGACCTCTTCCCTTTGGGGCTTTCCCTTCTGCCCTGCCTCCTTCTGCCCAACATTGCTCTGCAGTGTGCCCCTCTTTCTTGCAGTTACCACACATTAATTTGTTTCCCTCCCTAGATCTCTGACTCAGCTGGCCTGAAGAGGCCTTCCCTTTTGGGGTTCCCTGTCAGGGCACACACCCTGACTAGCCCGGACCCGGACCCGCATCCGGACCCGCTTCCACCCGCTGCGCTTCCCACATGCATGCACGCTCCATGCGCCGCATGCTCCGGGCCTGGTTCCTACCCCTTCATGTGACTTCCGGGTATCCCCGGAGGTTTTGCTGATATTGTGGCCACTGTGGGAAGATGAGAAGTTAGCTTCCTGTCAGGGCACACCCACCTGACCCGGGTCCACCCGGACCCACCCGGCCACACCACACCCGCTCCCCGCTGTCCAACCCTCTCCCTCTTCCTTCCTCTGTCTCTCCTCCTCTTTCCTTTCTCTCTTTCTTCCCCTTTCTTTATCTCATTCCTCTCATCTTCCTTTTCTTGTTTATTTCCTTCTATCTACACGGACCACCCTCCTTTGTATCAATGTACTATTGACCTGTCCGGCCCACACACCCCAGACGGCTCCCCGCTGTGCCCAGCACGCACACATGCAGCGGACGCTCTCGGGATCCCCCACGGGGATACCCGGATGCCTGCGGCTGTCTCCGAGGGTGACGTGGCACTCGTCATGTGACTCAAGCCGCATGTACATAAATGTACCTGAAGTGGGAACCGAAGAAGTAACCTTCTTCTCACATTCTCCACTTCAGGTAAGTAGTATAGTTTTCCCTTTTAATAACAATAACACATTCTCCACTTCAGTCTAAGTGGCCAGGGACTGCTGTCCCTTCCCGGACCTGCCAGCACGCATGCCCGGTTTGCACCCCGCGAGGGCCCTTCTGCCGGGCGATACATCCGGACCCCCTCTACCCCAGACGCATCCCTGACACTTCCTTCTCATCTTCTTACCCACAGTAGATTATGCCCTGGATAGGGCTGGCCAGACCTGAGGCTGTGGGTCATAGGGGAGGGTCATGGGGACCCGGGAGTCGTCCCCTGACATTCCCTTCCCAACTCAGACTAGCATAGCAGTTTCCTGCTTGTGCTTGAGTTTACTCTCATGTACAAGGATCACATTGATAGTGTCTTGCAGGGTAAGTTTGTCCTTATTCAGGAGAATTTCCTGAATCATCTCCCACTCTTCCGGAAGTGCCATGAGTATGGCAACTGTCTGGATTTCCTCACTAATATTGGTTCCAAGTGAGTCGAGTTTAATGAACAACTCCTTTAGCTCCTGAATTTGACTGTAGATGTCCTTTTCAGGAAGCATAACAGTGCAGAAGAGTTTCTTCATAAGGTAAAAGACAGACTTCATGCCTTTTCCTTCAAACTTCTTTTTGATTTCCGCCCATGCTATAGGAGCTTCTTTATGAGGAGTTTGACTTCCTCATCGATGGACACAACAAGTTGGAGTAAAGCCACAGAATTACCCTCTTTCCATATTTGGAGTGGAGTTAATGCGGTGCTGGGTTGTGGGGCAGGAGTAGCAGGGGGAGTGTTTCCTGATCCTGTACCAGTATTGGCAGGCGCAGTAGTGGGTGCAGGAGCAGGGGCAGTTTAGGGATTGAACCATCAACATATTCCAGTAAATGATGATTCTCGAGTATGAGTTCAATCATTGATTTCCAAGTTCTGTAGTTCGATCCATCAGCTCGTAGCCAGTCGTTCTTGAAGATTCTGGTATCAACTTTGTGGGAAATGGTGGTCATGGTTGATACTGGGTTGATGGGAGTTCTTTTTGATTAGAATTAGAGAGCCTCTGGGCTCATAACCTAATAGGAGGGCTAATGTGGAAGCTCAGTCTCTGTGAATGAAGAACTGAATTTATTATGGTTAATACTAACCTAACGCAGAAGCTATAGTACAGAGTAAGTAATGTAACTAGTAACTAAAACCAAAGATACTAACCTCAGTCTCTGTGAATGAAGAACTGAGGGGAAAAGGAAAATAGACTAAAACAATTACCTATATACAATTGCAGTCATGGTATCAATACAACGGAAACAAAAAGTAAGATCATGTGAGTTTGGTTAGTGAGTCACATGTCATTGTAACTCCAACAGTTGCATGGTTTGGTTGCAAGCAGTTCAATATAGTGGGCAAATGCAAAGGGGTCCATGTGTATTTTGGGGACCAACAAAAACTTTCCAGCTTACTATCTATCAAAGTGTGGCAAAGATGAAACAATTTGAACCCCACACAGCAATTGTTGCATGTCGCACAGAGGAATGAACTATCTGTGCAGGATCCGGCAATCCCCGAAAACCATCTTACAGTCATTTCCTTACAGTAAAGGAATGGGTCACATGCCCACAACTATACAGCTCCTAGAGTTGTGTATGTGACCCGGAGGGAACATCCAGGTGGCAGTGCCCAGAGTGTGGCTGTGCGGGTTTCTGGGCAAGCTGCTTGCTCACACTATCCCATGCACGCAGATACACAACACACAGAAGCAACAACAGGGCAACAATGAAGGAATGGAAGGGAGTGGTTGGGGAGTCCAGGGCACCCTAGGGCAGGGTGCTGAACCCTGACATTTTCTCAATAATTTATTGGTCAATTCAGTCTCAAAATGGAAGCTATTCAAAGGAGCTATTCAACTATGTAAACTGTTTCTCAGTCCCCAATTTGTCACTTATGCTGCCAACGGGACAAGGACAAAATTGGCAACATTTGTCAAGCAAACTCCATAGATAGGCAATAGGGACAAGGTGGAGATGAAGCAGTGAGCAAAACAACTGGAGGTCATGCATTAATATAAGGACACTAGTCCAGCACTTCTTCAATGGTCTCGATGAGCTCCTCGACCCATTCTTGTACTTCTTCTTTGTCCTCACTTGTCCCGGCAGAAGGAGCGACAGGAACGACAATACCTTCTGCTTCGCGTTGAGCTTCAACACGGGCACGCCAAGCATTCCATTCGTCCACCAATCTTTTTCGTTGGGAAACAAGCTCCTTACTAGCACTAGTTTCCTCCGCAGCATCCTCCTCGTCGAACACACGGCTATACGATGCAAGGTTTCTGAGGATCTCCTCCTGCCGTCCCTTTGATAGGAGGGAGCGTGGACGAGGGCGCCAAAGGAATTGCTTGAACTTATCGATGATATGTTTTTCCAACTCAACACCACGCCAGTCCCAGATGGCGAAGCCATTTTCAATCTAATGAGGGGCCATGCTAAGCAGACATCCGGAAGGTGGCAATAGGATCACATACACTGTGCCTCCAAACACTGGCACTAGACGCGACGTAACGTCCGCTTGGATCCCATTCGAGGTCGGTGATGCCATAGTGCTCTGCGCCTGGCGGACTGAGAAGCCGTATACTGGCTCCGGGATCTCGATCCGCGGGCAACTTTTTGTCGTCGATAGTGAAGTCCAAATCCCAAAACTCCAACGCAAAGTGGTTCGAATTACCCATTGTGGTTAGTACAACATGTCTGCCTCTTGGACTCCACCGAACAATGTTCGTATTCTTTCCCGTTAAATTTTCTGTGGAATTCGAAATCAACAAAAGGGTGTGCAATCAGCTTAAATCTCACTGAATAATTTAAAGTCGCCCTTTGACTTGTCAGGACCATAAAAGCCGACGTCAGTCCTGATTGTGATGCCGCTTCCGGGTGCCGTTCCAAGGTTAGGGTCGGTGCTGGATATCATGACGAATCTGTCGCTGGTCGGCTCCCAACTGATGTCAAGAACAGTTGCTAAACATTATTGAATCAGACATTGCCCAAGACATTAATCATAAACCTACATTTTGTTTCTATGATCTCAACCGGGAAGTCCTTTTCTCGTACGCGGAAAATCTCGAGGCTGCTGAAGACTGTCTTTTTTGTCTTGGAATGTCGATCAATCCTAACGCATAAGAAGTCACCCCCACTTTGCCAGTAGAATTTTGCCTAAAGGTGATAGGTGAAGGTATGATCCAAAAGCCACACAAAATAAGACACACACATCAAACACATTTATTAGGTTCTTGACACGAAGGACTGTCCGACTTGGGAACGCCATCAGCGACACACGAGCCGGTTGACTTTCCATCTCTGGAGTCCAATAAGCGAGTATGTTCTCTCGCGGCTTCTTTGAAGCCGTTTTCGATGACTGTTTCTCTCCCACCTCGCGATCCTTTTCACCAATAGGAGCCCACTCAAAATCGATGACACCTTCGATTTTCAAACTCTTTTTGTCGACAAGGCCCATACCAGGCAGCTCGTACACGCTGATCTGAGACCCTGGGGTGACACGGGCCACGTACTTATCATCGCCGCTCCATTTAAGGGCTGGCCAAAGGATTTGGCGGCGCTTTTCAGCACCAGCATTCGCTGCGGGATCTTCCTCAGCAAGTCTAGGTGATGTAGGAAGAAACGTTCGGAGCAACTGCCCAGTCTTGATATCCCAAACAGCAATTTGGTTCCCTTCGTCATCTTCTGTGAATTGTGTGGCCTGCCTTTTATCACCAGCACCTGTGACGCTGCCCACTGTGATCGGTTCTGGGGACCATGTAACCAAGTAATTCTCATTCGGGGAGAAGGCAACGAGTTTAATGAATGGATGGACGACACGCGTTATCGGGGACCAGGAGCTGCCACCCCACAATTGGACACCTTGGCGGTGAATAGTGGTGAGATAAGTGCCTTGAGGAGACCATTGGCAGTACAACTCCGTCCAGACCTGCGGTCAAAGGGGCATTCAGGTCAACGCGACAAACTACCCGCAAACAGACTTACATCTCGCTCAAGCACAACTTCAGACACATTCGGTTTACCATACCAAAATACAGTGACAGCGAGGTCACGGTAGGTCACATATTGGTCCCTTCCCTGAGGATCAGCAAGCCATGACCGTAAATGCTCCTGTAGGGCGCGATCAGGACCTTAGCGATGTTCACAAACAAGCTCCTTCACCTTTGGTTTGTATTCATCAATAATTGGTTTTACGTAGGTTTCATCAAGAGCAGCAAATTTTTCAATGTCGGTGAAGCGATTTACGAGAAATTGATGTGATTTGTCGAAATGGGATCCGTGGACAGTCGACAGGCAAATGTTCGCTTCATCTCCTGAGGAGAACTCGAAGAAGGCGTACCTGTGATATCATTAAGTCAGAAGATTCTCATATCAGAATCGATCTCTAAGAGACTGTACCCTTTCGATTGGTTCTTCGCATCATCCCAAGGCATAAAGACATTATCTGGCTTAGGAGAACCACATTTCTTCAAGTGCTTATTTATGACTTGGAGCAATTTGTCTTTACGCGACGGATCAACAATCGGGAGATTGTCAATAACGACAACGGCATCAAACCCTTCTTCAAATGAGACCTGGTACCTTATGGAGTCGTTAGAAAACGTTACTGAACGCCGCTGGGGAAATACTCAATTACTTGGCCTCAATGTCAGAATAATCAATTGGGTCATCGATGTTTTCGTACGGAGGATGGATACCATTCGGTTGCGTCATGCTGTACGGATTTTGTCAAAAGATAATAGCAGGTGGGACTGTGAAGACAGGACGCGAAAATTATGTCTAGCGGTCAAAGATCACGTGACCAATTGGACAAAAAAAAAATTTCCTGTCCACGGTCCTTCGGGCGCACATGTGCAGTACCCTCTCCCCGGGTACAAAGCGATACACATTAGCATGCTTTTTTCGGGCGAGAAACACTTATGGTGTATGGGTACACACTCCACTAAGGTCCCTAGCCACGGGAACAAAAACACCGAGTACATTCGCGCCTCATCGTGTGCAAATTTCATGCCTGACACACCTCAAACAGATGCCCAAACGTCCCAACTAAGCGCTGGCCCCAAGGGCAAGCGTCACGACTCGGATGAATCTGCGACTCCCCCTTTGTGGCCCAGAACAGAACTACGGGAAGCTAATCAGGCTCTGCCGGTTGATTCCCAGTTCAACCGTCTAGAGGCTCACTTGGAAATGATTAGGCGAAATGAAAGGATCCCCCCTTCTATAGACGATCTTGAACGCTTCAAACCAAAGAATGTGCCTGACATGCTCCGGAGAGATTTCAAGGGCTACCGGAAGGTGTATAAGGAAACTCTTGCGGCTCTCACGAGATCTTTTACTGCCAACCAGCTTTATCGCTTCGTGAAGTCATTAGTGAAAGTTCACAAAGCATACAAACTCTCTAAAACTGGTTTGATCCAAGCCATACTGGAGCGGCACTGGGGAATGCCTCAACCTGAGGAAGAGGAGAGGAGGCGCCGAGCACTTGTAGAGATAAGGGAACGGAGTATGTGTTGATATTGCCGTCTCGTGCTTTGACTCATTGTTCTAGCCGCCAGTATCCCCCCTCAAGTTGGTGGAATTGTTCTTGCTGCTGGGGCAAGGTTTGTCTATGGGTGATGGGCTGCCTATCATTTTTGCTAATAGACCCAGACGGCTCGGAACTCAAGGCCCTCGCGTCTCGATTCCGGGTACAGCTTTTTATCGAGCCAAGGCCTATAGCGATTCGAGCGTTGGGCCTGGAAGTTGACCTTTGCAACTTGGCAAAGCATCTCAGTGCTTTTCGAAAGGTGAGTCATCACGAGATAATTGCTAGGCGGAGTAGTATCCCTGCTCACTTCTCTTCGAAGAGTCTCACAACGGAAGTCTTTTCCTGCAGGCTGAAATACCGATTGAGTCCCGATATTATACAGTCAATGTCCCGCCTCGTCACCACCTTCATAGAACCCAAGGAACATGGAATGGTGTGTGCATCGTTTAGGGCTGCCAAATTGGGCACTGAGAGATAATGTTTCTCAGTTTAAACTCACAAGCGTGAATGAGCGATCCTTGCAATCGGCTAAAAGGCTCATATACCGTGCATTAATGGAGGTCAGTGTTACCATGTGTAATTTCTTATTCTTACTTAGCCAATCTTCCATCCAAAGGAAGCAATAATGGATGGTTCTCCATTATTTGCCCACACAAGCGGAGAGAAGAACCCAGGTTTATATCCCCCTCTATACAGCCTTTTTCCATTTGTTTCTCCCAGTGCATTGCCCTGGAACATGGGGACATCGAGTGCTTTCCGGTGTCGACAGGTTGGGGAATGGATAATGGGCCATAAAATGGGTACCATTAAGAGCCTGGATGGGGAAGGTACCTTTCTATCATCACAAATGTGCGTCACCGATTCTTCCCTAATATTTAGAAAGATTCACAACTTACTTGAAAGTGATGGGGAGATTCACGAGATCCGAAAAGTGATATCAGACTCGGCCCCTTCTGATGCATTAATTCAGCTTACTGCGCGGTTAGCTTTCATTCGTGCTGCAGCTATACAACTGGCTAACGTCTCGCGTAGGACGGGGCATCTGGTTCTGAAACACGGCCAGGTTTCTAGTCAAGTTGAACTTTCTTCTCCACTGCCGGGTTCATGGCCACTTCCAAGCCTTCTTCAGTGGCTTCGTAAGAAAAAGAAGCCGCGGGTTTTCTTCGTCCCAAGGTTTGCAGATCTCAAATCCATGGCTTAGACTATAGTAACCACAATCCGCAGCGCACCGTTGTTGCAGAGAACCTCTGAGATGGAAAGTTTTGTCTTGGAGCTTAAGTATTACCTAGTTGTCGAGCCTGGAAACAAATCCGCGGCATTAAATCAGGCTCGAGCTTTTACCTGCCAGATCCCCCTTTCCATATTACCCTCTGTCTTATCAAAACCCCAAGATATGGCATCTTCATCGACTCCAGGGTCGGAATCGCGGCCCCGACTCAGTTTCGGTACCGAGCTCAGACTCGATTTACTTCTTCCGCACAGGTAAGCGTGCAATTCGCTCCAACATCAACCAGAATCTCATTCGTTTCCTCGGAGACCTCTTGATCTTCGTATCATGGCCACCACCGCTACTCGCGAGGTGATGGTAGATCGGTCTCCTGAGTCATTGAAAGAGTATATAGAGGAAGTCGCCAAGTCGTGAGTGTGTCGATATCTTAATTTGTGGCACTGACAAGAGCGCTAGCCTGTCATCATCGGATCCCCCCGAGCTGCCAGTGCCCCCAGAATCGCTTCTGATAGGTGGTCAACGGTACCATCTCTTCGCACTGCAAACGATCAAAAATTCGTTCGCATATGCTCTGACTGGTGGCCAGCAAAGCATTGGACACGATGAATGGCCCGAGCTCTCTGACTTCAAACGTCGTATTGGGCATGAAGCGCAGGTTTCCATTCCAACAGAGGTGGAGGACATCGTTGATCTAGAAACAGAGACGCAGTCATCCGTCTGTCTGGTACGCTTCCAAGGATCCCGAGAGATTGTGCGCTAATTAATTAAACAGGTCTCATGTCCAAACATCCGAGATGACACTCAATGGAAGAAATTTCTGCGAGACTGCGACCATCTGACTTTGCAAATATACCAAGCGGTACCCGCTGGACAGAGAGCTCCGTCTCTGTCTTCCGTCGAAGCCTAGTTGCTTCTCTAATATCAATACTTATAATGGTGCAAGAGGCGGTCGCACCGTGTCACCTCACATTAACACAACCAATGGGAAGGTGTATGTAAAAAGCAGCATTCGAAGCAATACAACTATCACCATCGCCCAAGCCTCCAGAGAATCGTCAATTCCAACGCAGATCTCTAGCATAACTCTGTTATCACTGCCCCAATCGTGATCTGCAGTACCCGGTGAGGGCTCGGATACGTATCATTTACGATCACACACTTGGGTCAGGTAGGCTACTCCAGACACCAACTTCGCAATTGAAGTCACCATACAAAAGCTGCATGATCACTAGCCAGACCAAACTGTGCGTCCGCAGAGCATCAAGATGCATTGCGATTCACGCGAATTGGTCTACACGAAACCACAATCCAATTCAATATGGTTATCACACAATTATCAAAATTCACTAACTTACATGACAACACGCGATCGAGCTGCACGCACTAACCATCATTCAGCCTCGTGGTCGCATCCGTCGCATCTCCGCACTTCGTGGGACGGTTGGTCGACGCGGTACCATTGAGCTATCGCTTGACCAGGTTTTAAGCACCCGACGAACCAATCGCTTCGTCAGCAATCTCCTCATTGCACTAGCAGGCCTTTTTCCCTTTCGTTGTGCACCACTGAGACCCCTGAGCATTTGAAAAAGCACTTTGAGCGATAATTCTCGAAGATTTACATCAGATCTGAGGGCATTAGCAGGGACGACAGCGTTCCAGTGGTTTACCAGGACTTCTCTCGCCTGGCGTTTTTGTCCGCTACGGACAAATGCCGATGCCAGGGCATCAAGCGAGGTCACATCCTGCTTGATCCCGTAATTTCGCATATCGCCAAAAACTCGTCGTGCGCCGTGGGGATCACCAGCACTTCCATAGGCGACAATGAGAATGGTGAACATTGCAACTGTAACAACAATCCCTGAGGCTACTGCAGCAGCGAAGACACTCTTCACTGACCCCAAATCCCCCCGGGCTGCAAACGGTTTCATGAGAGTTACATAATGAGAAGACAAAGGTTTGATCCCATTTACGACCATTGCATCAAATGTGCGTTGTGCGCGCGACGCATCTTTATTGACGAATAACTCGTGCGACATTCGCAGGTTGAAGCCCCGAGAATCGCTTCGCACGCCACGGCGACGAAGGGAATCGAGGTGTGAGAGAAGCGGGTTGGCAGTGAAGTGGGAGGAAATGCTTAAAAAATGTTGTGATTTAGAGATGGTTGAGTCAATGGCATCATGCGAAGTAAGGGACCTGTCAACATTGATACGATTTCGGTTTTTGGACGAGATACCGTCCCGTATCCGGTGCAGTGTTTGTCGCCCTTTCATTGTTAGCCAGAACCGACTATTCCGATTTATACTTTGAAGTATGATATTGACGTGTTGTAAAGTGGCGTATATGGGTGCCGATGATGATGGATTCGATCCCTCAGGGAGGGCTTGTCTGGTGAGCCCTACTGCATGGTGCGAGGACAATGAAAGGGAGGGTTCAGGGCGCTCGTAATCAACGGATGTGGGAGAGTGCGAAGATGGTTGTATAGCGCCCGATGTTGATGCTGAGGGAGTCTCACGCTGGACAGCAGCTCTGGTCGTAAGACAACTCAATACATCGCACACCTGTGAAGGCGAGGAGCCTGCCCCGGTATCCAAGAAGCTCATGAAAATCCGTGCTGTTTCCTCATCTGGCTCCAATCCGAGACACTTCATCTTTCTGACAATGAAGGTCATACGCTTGAAAGCTGTAGACAGACCATCCAGCGATACCGTATCGAAAGACACAAGTCCAGCGAGAAGTGCGTTGAAAATACGAGTTGTTGGCGTGACGGGCGGTATAGCTGCATCCGAAAACGTGGCTGATAATCCCGTAGACTCAGCGCCTAATTTGCGACAGAATCCTGAAGCTTTTTTTGACTGATGACCATAGATGGCTGCAGATACAATACGAACAGCGTCTTGCCAATGAGATGGGCTCGCCCTAAAAATGACGTAAATCAAGCTCGAAATTATCTGATCATTTGGCCGCGTGCCGCTGAGTAACATGCTCTTGTATATTGATATCGTTTGGTCCAAGGTGCCGGAGTGTGCAGTTTGGCGTAGAAGGATGTCGTATGTGGCAACGGTTGGCATTCGAATACGACTGGGGGTGGAGATAACAGGTGGTAGGCGAGGGCTAGGCGGAAACGCGTGCAAAAGTGAAGGGTCGTTTGAATTCGAAGTTGGGTGGTTGAGCTCCAAATTCAGATCTGAAGTGGGAGATTGGGCAGCACTCATGATACGGCGAGCACCGTCTGTGTCGCCGACATCCAAACGGAGGCGCATAAGTGTATTGATAACATCAATGTTGTTCAATGCACCCATGTTCTTCAGAATTGCGAAGCATCTCGCCTCTACATCAGGGCAGAGACCAAACGCCCTGCAACCAGCCAAAACGGCAGTGTACGTGGAATCTCCGAAAGGGATCCCGAATTGTTCCATCTGACGGAGGATCTGAGTGGCCCAGACAATGTCCCTGTTGGAAAGGCTAGCTTTAACTAGGATTTCGAACGTGCGGCGGGATGGCGTCAATCCTTCTTGAGCATACCATCCAATCGAATCGTGCAACAAAGTATACTCCTCGAGCTCCGCAAGCGATCGTATTCGCCAGTCCAGTAGTCGAGTAGACCATCGCCCAACATGAGCTCGGCCAAGCTCAGCAAAGGATCGCACGTATCTCCACTGCTTGCTTTCAGCAAAGTGGTGCGATATGTGCTCATATACATTAATGCGAACTTGTCTCGATTGCTGGTGGGCGAGCTCAAGTAGCTGGGTAATTATGTGAGGCTGACGTTCGTGAGCCGCTGCTTGTAAAAGCAACTCATGTACTTTCTTATCCTGAACTGCGCTGGTCGAAAGAGCGATTTCATGCAATTTATTGAATTCCTGTATACTCTCAGAAGAGGGCGCTCGCCTAAGGAGAGCGGAAAGAGCCTGTCTGATGTTCTTGAGATCTGAATGCGAGTCCGAGTGTGGAGAGCCAGAAGACGAGCTCAATGAGTTGCCCCCGGAAAGACGTACACTGCCCTCCGTCGCTCTGGAAGGGTGTCGAATGTTCAAAGCAATCGATGCACGACGAGCAAAGGATGGCACATGTTGGGCATGTTTTGATCCCACGCTCCTGGAAAGCATCAAACGAGTCGCTTCAGAGTGAAGCCCCCCCACAAAAGTCGCGTGAGGATAAGACACTAGCACACCCTGAAGGTACAAATACCTTAGTCAATGAAAAGACGATGGGAATGGATAAATTGTGTGGAATTCATTCCCTGCCCTCATAGCCACGCGGAAATTCGCAACTCAAGAGAGTTAGGCCGAAACGTCTTTCGCGTCTCCTTGCCAAGATGGTCAGTGAGTTTCTGGCATCGATGACCGAGGATCACCTTAGTCAATACTAATTACTGTTGTAGCCGAAAGCAATAAGACAAAAAGCACGCCTTCATGCACAGTCTGCTAGATTATTCAATCGCTTTAACGACATACCCAACAGTGGAGTGGAGAAAGTCGAGTTAGGATCGAAAGAAGATGTATCGGTGAGTCTGATTTATTTTTTCCCCTCTTCTATTAGGTGAGTGCCTGGTCAATGCTCATGTCCCTGTAGGCCAATGAGATCATGCGGTCACTCAAAGCCACTCCATCGCAGGCCAAGCCCCGTCTCACCAAGAAAGAGAAACTCAGAGTTAAACGCGAAATGTTCATCAAGAAAATCAATTCTTCCCAAACTCCATACTCCAAACTTCGTAAGGGCAAACAGAAACACAAGGCGAAACAAAAGTCCAAACAAAAACAAAAACTGACTGCCAACTTGACGGGCCTGGAAAGCGCGCTCAACGAAATTGTTATTGCCTCTCAAAAAGATGATAGTTCTCATACAAAGAACCCTTCTAGTTCCAGAGGAGTGGTGGAACGATTAAAGCCTGAGCCAATCGGTGAAGGGAATGGCACACCACTCACCCAAAAAGAAAGAAGGAAAACCCTGTAAGTAGTAAATCCGCTTTTTCACTTCAACTCTTCCGGTGCTGAACGACGTTCTCTAGACTTAGGGAGCGGGAGAGGGCGGCACTTGTCCATGCCAACCCTGCGTTCTCCTCTAATCCTTTCACAGTTGCCCGACGCTACGCCGAAAATGTTCTTGTTCCTCACACAGTCCCTGATAAATCACAATCACAATAATTCGAACTCGACTCTTGTATTTTATCCCTAAGGTTGGAAAGATTTAGAATATGATCTATTAATCGCCGGTATAGTACAAACATGACTCAGGCATGCAAGAGGTACTGTACAGAATAAGTGCATGTATGCCACAATGCTTTATTAGTGTGTGAAGAAGTGAGAGTATGTCTCGCTCAGGCTTCGTCTTTTACTGATCCTCCCAAACTCTCTTCCATGCTTGCTCTCCCTGCACTGAACAACGTAGAAGCTCCGCTTTTTGCACTGTGTCCACTCCCACCACTCCTTCGACTGCGATGTCGCTGACTCAGCGAGGAACCTGGTCGAGGCGAAGTCATCTCAGTAAATCCGCCAGACCGACCTTTGGCAATTTCTTCTGCTAGCTCCCTCTCCCTTGCATCAAATGCCGCAAGAGTTGTTCGGGCTTCAGCTTGTTGTAGCGCCTCACTGGTTAGCGGCGCGAGGGGAGCAGAGGGTGAAGCTGCTTCTGACGACGAGGGGGATGTCCCCGGTCCGAAGAACGGCAAACCAGTCTTGAATGACGGAGTAGGGGTTGTTGGAGTGCTTATTGCTATTTCAGGCGAGCCCACATTAGGGAACGATGATGACACAGCGGTATTAGGAGAGGGAGATTTCACTTCACGAGGTGGAAACTCTTTTTCAATTCCATGCAGCCGCATATCTTCCTTAAGACGCTCTCGCAGCATGCGGTCTTCTTCGTCCTCGTCCTCGTGATCAAGCTTTCTCGCTGTCTGGGTGGGTGTAGCTTTAATCGGATCTGGAATTGGTGGAACTGGCTCGCGTAAGACAGGTGTTTCGGCCGACGCTGTGCCACTGGGCCAGAAACGGCCCCAGTCAATTGAAATGCCTCGCTTTGAAGCCCGCCTCGCATGGGGTGGAGGCGATTTCGGTGAATCCTGAGCTGTCACATCTGATTGTGCGATACTTGGCTCTTGATTTGGTCCCGTCCTCGGCTTAGTCTCTTTCTGAACCACTTTAGGTGAAGCGGCCGTCTTCTTCTCGGTTGGCACATGCTTGGAATCGTAATCAACTGCCAGGACATGTTCGAATCCCCCTTGAGCTATGATCCTGTCGAGAATCTTCGATGCATACAAGTTCAGGGCCTTATTAGCATCCTTGAGGGCTTTGACTTCGGAGCGAAGCGCTAATGGAGGAAAGATTATTCATTTGAGAACCCTGACTTCGCCTGTAGAGTCATACCTTCAACAACGGTAGCGTCAACTTGCAATGGTGGTTCTGGTTCCTTCGGCCCATCGGGAATCTGATCCACATACTCCTTGTTCTCTGCCCGACCCAGCTCGGCAGCAAGATCCAGGCCAGGTCCAGTAATAGGCAGATCTCCTAGCGTCTCGCCCCTCTCTCCTCCAGAGGAAATCGACCCAACACGACGAGATTTTCTTCCTCCAGTGCGCACCGAGGTAGCGGGAGAGATCGAACGAGGCTGCGCAAGCGCGAGTTCAAGCTCAGTTGGCGCATGTTTGGCCTCATCGACTTCTGGCAAGGCCTCAAGGTTAGATCGGGTACTCGTGGTGCCGTGCAAACTTGACACATCGTCTGTCTCTGTGTTCTGGGTGGTCCTGCGAAGGAGATCGTACTGCCCGGAGATGGTCCTTTCTATCAACAACATGTTGTAACTCTCATTCTCTTCCTGGGAGCAATCGATACAAACAGTTAAGTAGGACGCATGAACGGTCTGAGAACTTACCTGAAGTTCCTTATTCACCCGCTGGAGATCCGCCAACTGCGCCTGCATTAATTGTAAGGTGCCCTGCAGTGAGGCATGTGATGTGGCGAGAGTCGAGAGCTCGAGCTTCATAGCAATTATCTCCGGAGGCTCATGTTCCTCCTCGTCGCCTCTGAGGGAATCAGACTGAACCATAAGGGCTCGGTAGGTTCATCCTCGGCATCATCTCTATCTACTTCATGATCCAGTTCATCCGAGGTCCTCTCAGTAACTATTGACTGTGTCATAGATGATTTTCTTGTCCTTATCGATCTTTGGGACTGAGAAAGGTTTTGAATGCGAGATTTAAGATGCTGCTCATTATCGTAAAATGATTGTCGTTCGGATTCGAAGGTCTGGGTCTGATAGCAGGCAATTTGCTCATTCGAGGACGCCGTAATTCATATAAAACACCAATTACTCACTTGCTCATTATATCTTTTCTGTAAATCGCGCTTCTCCTTCTCCAGCTCACGGATCTGACTTCTCAGCTTCTCCGCGACTTCATTCTTGGTAGCCAACTCGTCCTCCATTCTGGCCTGATCCGCATCCATCTCTTGCATCCGAGCTTCTGCTGCAGTCAATGCAGAGATGAAATTCTTAGATTCGGCATTGAGAGCGGAAATAATTGCATCTTGTTCATGGACTTTCCCAAGTAGCTGTCAAACCGATCCAGACGCGTGATTGCATGTTGAATTTCTACACTCACCACTTCCTTCTCCTCGATCTCACGTGCTAAGCTTGCCGAAACTGAACCTCTACTCAGCGGCCGTTCAGGCGAACCACCAGATGATGTTGGCCTAGGTGTCGTGGGACGCGGCGAGCCTCTTTTAGGCCCCAATGGTGCCCCAATGCGAGGAGAAGATGAAGAAGGGGTTCGCGAGAGGTTGCTCTTTGGCCCATTAACAGACGGTGTAGAAGGTGCGGATCCGGGCGCAGGACTGTTCCGCGCAGGCGCGCGGGGACGCAAAGGAGGTCCAAAAGACATGTCAATAGTTAAGAATGCCTGCGGTTATTCTATTCTAGGTATATAGAATCGAGACGTGTGATTCCAGGAGAGATCTAGGTGGCTGGCAAGTGGACCACTGTGAACGAGCGTTAAACGCGTTGTTGGCGAGTTGTTTACTTTCAATATAATCCATCAACTGCATTATATTTGAATTCAACGATCCGAATCGGCAAACACCTTCGGGTTGTCGGGATCAGGTGATCACCCGCCTTGTCGCCGATCGCCGTGATGTTTCAAGTTGAAACTGCCCAGGAAGTGCGCATTCCTCAGCCGACCAAAGTTGTCTCAGAGCTAAATAAAGGATAAACTAGCTTTTGGTTTCCCTTAAACGCGAAAGTACGCATCATTAACCGCAATGGAGGTTTAGCCTCGCTGGAATGTCAGACTCATGCTGCTGCTGCTGCTGCTGCTTACTGCACTAGCTCAACCCTTAGGGCCTACTTGCATTGACGACCTAGATGACCATATACGCAGAGCACTGCCGGAACTAACAACAGACGCCTCAACTTTGAACCGGGGAGACGTGTTCGAGATTCATGGGTCTCATGGCTCAGGGAAAACACACCTCCTGTACTTTATCGTGATGACATGCGTGTTGCCTTACTCAGCAATTTTGAGGCATAATGGGCTGACGGAATCTTTCGAACTTGGTGGAAAAGAGAAAGCCGTGATTGCGGTTGACTGCGACAGGCAGTGGTCCACCGACCGAATCAACGAACTTGTCAGTCATTACGTCAGGAAGAGGATCGAGTGGACTCTGGCTCAGGAGTCGATTGAGATCTCGAGAGAACTTTCAAGCATAATTGGGTCCTTGGCAAAAGATATTTCCGATCAGAGTCTCAGACGATTGCATATATTTCGACCAAGTTCTCCGCTTCAGCTGGCCGCGACCTTGGCATCCATACCAAATTTCCACGCCACGTCTACTCCTGACCAGGAGATATGTATGCTCATGATAGACTCATTGACTGCGTTCCGGTGGCCCGATTTGGGGACGAGCGAGCACAATGTGCGATCCCAGAATGGATCCTCGCTGCATGCCGAAGTCCCAATAAAGCAGGTCACGGATTGCATCCAAGCCCTCCGAGAGTCACTTGGGGTCGTCACCTTTGTCACCAGGTTGACAGTTCCAGCGCTTCCTCCAACACAAGATCGTGGACAGAGCCTGCCATCACACTATACTTCCGCGCTTGATCATCCGCATGGTCAAGCTCACGACAAGTTATCGTCCTCCACAACTCATCAAATTACCCTTTTCCCCCGTACCAACTCTCCGGGTATCGGAGGACCCGGTACAGAACCATCTGTGAATGTGGAGGCCTGCGTTCGGACATCGGTTGACAGCGGGGATGGTCGAATGCCGCGGGCTCGGCACCGAGTCGAAGTAGGCAAGTTCGAATTTCGAATCAGTGAAGGCGGACTGCATTGGCCATGATTTAGATTTGCAAAAGCGGCTGGATGCGGCCAGGGTGGTAAACGGAGTTAGTTTTGATTGGGCCTGATCCCCGCTGTCATTTTCAAGATGGTGGCTAGTGAAGTGGGATTAGGGGAGATACGTTGTAGCTTGCTGTCATGATCCATTCGACAACTTGAATGTTGATTCACGAAATCAAGTAATTCAGTTTCAAGGTTGTAGCTCCCGACTAGAAGGAGATGGATAGAGATGTTGCCCATTCCCGACAGGATTTGGCGGTCTCAGTCTAGAGGAAATACTTTTAAGTTTTCCCATCGACAAAACTGAGACAATAAATCAACGTGCTTCAGTTTTCCCGCTGGACCTGGAGAGAGCCGATTCATTGAAGGTTACTTAATATAAAAGGCAATTGAGGACCGACTGTGTGTGTGAACCAGGTTGCTGGGACTAACGTTGATGATTGGATTTTTCTCTAAAGGGGATCTCCTACTGAAATAACCGAATCTAATTTATGTATGTGTTACCAAAATGGCTCTAGGTTACTTGCTCAGGGATACGAATGAGCCGGGCAACCACCGTACCCTCCATATGACCTTCGTTACATTCTATGACAAGCGCATGCTTCGCTTTCCGTCTTCTCCTTCCCCCTCCTCACCATCATGCTTCCTGCTAAGGTCTTTCTGGTGAGCGCTTTTGTGCAGACCGTATTATACGGTGAGTTTGTGTGCCCCTTCGCGACGCGACGTCAACCCCCTACACGTTGAAAGGGCTGAGAATACCCTTTTGCATCATTTTTTCTTCCTGTTTCGCGTTTATGCTCAACACCGTCTATGATCCCCTCCTAGGCGCGTATTCCGTTCTATGTGTCACCTCAATTTGGGTGATTCTCACCAAAAAGACCGTCAATCGCTGGATCGCGGTCGTGTGCTTAATCATTTTTGGCTCATCAACTCTCTACCTTGCAACAGTCTTACAACGTCTCAAAGAGAGCTTTATCGTTCACTCCAATCCCTTTTTGGCGACTTTCGTACTTTCGGACTCCGGACATGTCATGACAAAGCTTGCCATATCGATTGGGGTTACCGTGAGTCGGCTTCCAGCTTCAACTTACTTGATTCCTAACTCAATGCCGTTTCAATCCAGAATATAGCAGCTACTTCGATTCTGATTTGGAGGATATATTATGTATGGAACTGCAGCTGGTGGCCGTGTGCCATTCCTTGTGTCTCTCTGCTACTCTGGATAGGTGAGTGACAGCCGGCCTAGTCGTCCCATCGAGATTTCCAACTGACTTTGAGTGGTAACCTCACAGCCTTTCACATTAAAGCCGTGGTTGATGGGGATTACGGCAGTGGAAGACAGGTGAGCAGAATACTAGGACATTCTCCACCGGACTAGACTCAAGTTATACTATCTCGACAGATCATCCTTACCTTTGCATTCTGGATCGCAACAAACACTTTGAGCACTTGCTTGCTTGGTATAAAGATATGGTGGGAGCGATGGAGGATTCGGAGGGAGTACGGTCTCAAAGTGTCGCGAACTCAGCAATTTCACTATAACCTCGTTTCTCTCGTCGTCAATAGCGGGGTCATTTATACCATTCTTATCATCATTCTCTTCATTCTCATTATCGTCGACAACCCTTCAAAGCGCGTACTTGCGGGCGTGGATTGTCAAGTCCCTGTAAGTCGAGCTTTTTGAATTGTATATTTTGGGCTCACTCCTGCGTTATACCACCCAATGATAGGGTATCGTTACGTCACTAATAGTCCTATACACTGGCCTTGCGAAGCCAGGTAGCGAGGACAGTATCAGATACGACGACTCCCGTAACAACATGACTGGCCCGACACTCATAGCAACCAACCCGGACATCGAAAGCAAAGGCATGACCCCATGCAATTCTGCCAATACCAGGGAAGATAAATGCCGAGAGGCTGTGCCTCCGAAAGGCGTAATCCCTGTTGACGTCGGTGTCGAGAGTGGGGTGGAGTTACTTGACGAAGAGGAGCAACAAATGGAGGGGACTCTGAGGAACGTCTCGCTCGGTGGTGTCGAGTGGAAAAGTGAAATTACTCTAGCGACTATCAACTTTCCTGATTTACTGGAGGCCACGGAGGAAAACCCCGAAGATCTAACAAACGCCCCGCCAGCTCGGCCGATGATCACACACAGAGCTGAATTCTGGCACAACGGTATCCCTGAACTGAAGTGGACACCGCGTGAATTAGCGCCTGTGCATGAGGACATGGAGCCAGGGTCGAGCACCAATGTTCGACAGCTCGGGAAACGCTTATGATACGTTCCCGATCCTTCGCCTCTTCCACCTTCCCTTGCATCCCTCCCTCTGTTATGCGCTGTCGCCTTCGCCACTACCACCATCATTGTCATCGCTTTCTCAATCGTTCACCCGCACTCATGCACTGCCACTTCTTCATTGCTTTCGCCTTGTTAGGTACTCACTCAGCGATACAACATATTTTCTCCCAACTGCGCGGTCACTCTGCCCATCGTACATTCTTCATTCTTTGTCATATACCCCCAGCTGTCTCTATGTCTGGTGTGATGGGTATCCCACTGCTAGCTTGCTAGCTTGCGGTGCTTGCCATGCACACAACCCACATGCACACATCAACACACTCTTTTTCCTGTTTTCCATGTAGATATCCGCATCCACATTCTGCACAACATACCTGCCTATTTTTCATTGAAAGTATAATAATATTGGTTCATTGACAAGGTTCAAATTGAATTTGTGTTGAAAGGTCACATACATAAATGTTCCTGCCTCTCCTTTGCACGCATCCTCAGCGAAAGTACATCCGGCATTGTCCATCCCATCTTTCAAATATCCCCGGCATGCATATGTGTGCCGCGATCCGCGTTTCTTGCTTCACAGTAATCGTCATGATTTGTAAATGCTTCAATGGTGGGCTTTACATACACATACATACATAACAAGTCCAACAAGAGATCTATCTGGCCCACCCTATGGTATCCGCACCCCCACAACCACGCGCAATTCACAACACAAGGGTTCCGATCAAAAGGTAATATTGACTAGCATTTGCAAAAGCATTTTACGATCAAATTTAACCGTGATAGTACATTTTATACATACAGAGATGGATCTGCGTACCATGTGTACCACGATTGCGGGGACCAGGCCCTGGGGTTACGCGGCATGGCTCTTAATTACACGCCCAAAGCTGGACATGATACACAATCCGTTTCCGCCTCCCCTGAACTTCATCGCCTGCAAGTATGGGGGGGAGGATCATCGATCCCCGCACGGATACACGTTTTCTTCATGGGTAAAAGAAATATAATATATCTATACACGCACTTAGCGAAACTGCATGAGGTGACTACAAGACCGGTCTCGGGTTGATCCCGACGTAACCACGGGTGAACAACATGCGTTAATTGCAATAAAGCGGCAGGCCCAAAATCCCCCTCTCTACGGATAATCGACTGGAAGAAATATCCTGGAGGAGCCTGAGGAGCCTGCATATAATAGCCGCAGCAACTTTCAGGCTGGGTGCCGGTAGACCCCGTCGGATGGTTCTACCGCAACATTCTGCATCACAGCACTCACGAGAGCCACGTAGTACCAGTAGCTTCCTTCGCGTAACCATAGAAGCTACGTATCTTGCCGCTAGCAGTCTAACGTGCAATGCATGGGAAGTCGTAGCACAACGCCATGTGGAACACAATAAACTTTTATATCTAACATAATGAAGCTAATATACATGATCCACTCGTTTTGGCAGCAATATTGATCGGAACGCAAAGTATGCAATAGCCCTTTGTACATGGTGCCTGTGCTTGTACAATTGTACAACGAACATAAACGAAAAGAAGTCACTGAAGCGAGACGGAAGATCACTGTGATATAAAGAAGCGGGTATAACTATGCTGAACGACTTGTTGATGAGGTGTTGTTGAGTAGTGAAGTTGCTGCGTTTACTCCCAAGAGCGAGGTGCTGAGGTGCGGAACCCAAATGCCAAACCGCTGAACATTATCTGGGGGTCCAATTAGTAAGAATATCCGCAAGGAAGATAGAAGCGAAAACGAACGAAAGAAGTGTAGGACAGAATGGGAAGTGCCAGTTCCGGTTGATTGTGTGGAACGAGGAATACAGGGTAAGGATGCAGGGTGAGACAGCACGGTGAGTCGCAGCATGTCCCAAGAGTGCACAAGCAACCGCGAATCCTGATGCTGACGACGACGAGGTGAAAAATCAAGAGAAGGGGCGCGCTCAATCAGAAAGAGGGTGGAGACCGAACCATGTGTAATCTAATGGGGAATAGCACTTATGGGCGAGTGCGACGTCGCAGCAAAGTCCAACACTTGAAGATCGATTGGGAAAGCGTACATCGGATAAGCCTGCCAACAAATTCTGGTTGTGGGATTCTAAATATACAGCAAACCTTTACATCCCCAAGCAGTTCGATGCTACAGGGAAGGACTCACTGGCCGAGCGATAGCGGAATGCCGCGTCACACATGATTGAAACTCGCGGATAGATCAATTCGGGTTCTAAACTTGACCTTCTCGAAAATCCTAAAGAGCGATACGAACAAGCTTGCGCAATACGCGATCAGGGCAAAGAACACGAGAACGATGAGGGCAATCTAACTCAGGAAAAACGTAAAGCGTATAGAAGAGATGTGGGAACTCAGTTTCAATGCTTAACGGGAGAACAATTCGTGGCAGTTAATGAGAGGTCCAGAATACTCACGGCGTGATCGCATAGATTATCCCCTAGCATGGCTTCGATGCCACTCGTAACAGGGCTGGATACCGGTGGTAGGCTGTTCCACCAGTCATTAGAGCTAGGTGAAACGCATCGCAGAGGGCTCGTGTAGTAGTGATCGAATATGAGCGCCAGTAGAGCCGACCATAAACAAATGAAGACCGTCTCCGAGAGGGTATAAAACAATTTCCAGCTGGTGCGCCATAAACCGAGTGGACGACCGAAATACTCAAGCTATAGAGAAGAGAAGGTTGGCTTCTCTTCTGATAAAATTGCGAGGCAGACACGCACATAGGTTCCGATCAAGACATGTACGATTGTTAGAGGCGCAAAGATGATCATGAGCGTTCTGGAATAACGCATGACTATCAGATCCAAATCGAGGGGAGAGGGAGAGTCCATTCATGGTGGCACAAATGACGCACGCACATTGAACTGCCCATAACACCAAGCACATGGTTATCCCTCTCCAACTGTCTTTCCTTTATTGCAACACCTAATGTAGTCGTCGTCAAGGCTAAATTCAACATTCGGAAAATCTAGGAGTAAATAGGATGTTGCGTCCCAATGCTGAAATGTATGCCTAGTTGAATGAAACTCACGAGCGGCACCAAATTATGATGCAGACAAAAATGGCGCCACTTCTTTCGGCGCCTGCTCCATACTCCAGCTGCACCTGCAGCTTCAGAGCTCCCAGTTCCCTCTTCCTCGCCCTGATCAGTCTCTGCACCCTCCCCAACACCGGGCAGCTGTCTAGTCCTGCCCCCCGTAAACGTTGATGCGGTACCCAGGGAATGTCCCACCCAGGTGTCTGAGCCTGTGTACGTGTGAAGGCATTTTCTGGGATTCGAGGTGGAGAAGGGAGGTCCAGATGGAGGCTGTTCCGTTGCCGTCTCCGAGGCATTGGAAAGGCAATACTTGCTAGACGAGAAAGGGTCGGCGATTGAGGTACAGGAGAGGATTCGTTCGGAAGTCCTTCGGTGGCAGGAACGGGTTCTAAGGCAAAAGGCTGAGCAGTGACGGTAATATCGGATCGTGCGGTTCCAGACGCAGCGGAACTAGGCTGCGATGCCTGACGACGAGGATACCTCGATAAAAGTCGATCAGCCGACTCAATGAACCATGAGCTGCGCGAACGAGGAGTGGGCCGTGGTCCGAACCCGGCATATTGTCTTCATTTACAGTCGTTTCATTTTCGGGATTCTCTGGTGAAGTGATTACTTCTTCCTTCCCGGAGGGTGGTAACGATGTGGTCAGTGGAATAGAGGGGAGCCCTATACGTCGGGGCCGAGTAAAGATATGCCATCGACTTTGTGATTCTTCGGTGTCTCTATGGGATGACGTGGTGGAAGATGAAAGGGTGTCCCACGGGGGATGACCCGGTGTCGATGCAGTTCCCGGTGGTTCTAATAAACTCGCGCGTGATGGACCATGACGATGATTTCCTGACGTTGAGAGTGAATCCAAAGGATCGTCTCGCTCCTCTGGGGAAGGTGTTTCGTCACGAGCCCATGCTGTGCAAAGTGCAAGGAGGAGGCAAGGATGAGACTACTGGGGATTCAGGGGAAATATCCCTTACGAGGAGATGTAACAATGACAACGGGTTGGTCCGTTGGAGTCTTCGAACGTTGAGATGATGAAACTCGCTTCTCTGATGCTCTCACAGATAAGCCTAGTGACGATCTCGAACGACCCTTAAATGACATATACACCGACACACCTGAGGTGTCTGCGGGGCGAACAGAGAGACGGACTAGAAGGACGTGAACTGGAAAGGAGCGTGGGGGAAAGAGGGTAAACAGACTCTCAATGCATTGGAGACTTATTTGGTTCCGGATCGACCCAGGTTACGTAACACAAATTTCGTCATCCTTGGATACGGCGGGCTTTAAGATCTCGTATCTATCGCAGTCGCTGTTAGAAACCCTTGGCTTCATGAGCAGAGATTCGCCGATCTCATGTAAAAAGTGACCTGCTAGATCTAGTGTGATCCGTCAGCGTCGATGTTCTGCGGCGCAGCGAACTCCTTTCAACAGCCCCGCAGCGTTGGGGATACAAATGTATGCTGCGACTCCGGGTGCACACGCTGCATACACAGTCGCCATTACTTGGGCACCTCGTAAACCATCGGCGTAAGCCCCCCCTGACGTTCCAGCTGCCGGTGCATTAATGCTGCTGGGCGGCCCTCGTACACCAAAGCCATGTACGTAAGATGGCGATTACAGTATAACTATAACGATCACATTTGGACAACTGCCACAAATTGGCCACGCTACATTCAGAGCCCAACCGGTGATTACCATTGATCCCCCTCAGAGTCGTTGCTGTGGGTCATACTTGATCAATGCCTGTCACCCATGCAGGCTATGGTAGTCGCAGCAGATTCATTCAGATCGGTTTAACAATTATTCGCCCTGGACATCACGCGCCCCAGAAGTTGCGCCAGAATCTTATCGCCTTATATTTCTAGCGAGGCTAAAATACCACCAGCGCGGCGGGAGTTGACAACTTCCGATGGTGTCTTTGTGATTTACGTCCTGACCAATAACCCTGTGCGCGACATTTCCAATAGGCTTTTATGGCCACAGCCAATGAATGGGCATGAGGCTGTGCACGTCTGGTGATTGTATAATACGACTTGACATTTTCCCCTTTGCCACATACTCGGCTAAAGTTTGCAGGATAAATATCCAGAATAAACAACAACAACAAGCCACATAATCGGCTGCATCATTAGTGGCATGCGCAACACTTTGCACTGCTAGATAGGTGTGGACCTGTGGTCGCTGTGGCAAAGAGAAACTTCGTGTTCGCACGTTCGGTCTCCTGCTCGGAGAGACTATGTTTTCTTGCTCCTGACCTCCTTCCCAAGCGCCAGTTCGCAGGCACGCGCAACGGGCATCTTGCTGTGATTAAATTTCTTTAATGGATACCTCAGTTGGCGGTTTACCAAAGTGTATGGGCACCCATATTCATGTTCATCCACCATTCATCAATGTTAGTATCCATGGATGTCACACTTCTGCCATTCTCCCCGGACCAAGCCCCAGAAACGTCCCGAACCCCTCACAGGATTTGTCAGTACACAGGATCTAGTCTTTCTGTCGGACATGAAAATTTCCTTTTTGATTGACAATCCAGATTGCATGTTTCCGTAACGCATAACACAGGAGGAGGGACTCCAATTGTGGGTGATAGATCTCGTCGGGAACAACTGATGTACCACCATATCCACAGGATTGGGGTTCGAGAGACATCACGAAGAGTAAACAATTTTCCGTAGATTCCTGGGATAGTATTAGGCTATTCTCGGCTTCGTATCGCTGCCTAATGCGATTGAGGCCTTGCTGCCTCTGGGAATTCCAATTTCTTTCGTCTATGTTTGCCAATTCATTTGGATCCCACAGCTCACCACTTCCCTATTGATGCCCTGCGCCATAACCTCCCTGAAGCGGATCAACCAACTCAAAATCTCACCCACCGTATTTAGCGTGATGCGCGATGAGCTCTGGGAAGCCCGGATCATCGGAGGTGGCAACCTTGCATCAACGGTGACCATACTTCAAATTTTGGGGTTGGTAGAGCTAAGGGCTCATTCATGGTGTCACGACCGTTTTTTCTTGGCATATTCCCTCGGTATTTGTGATCCCAGAAAATGGATCCAAACTCCGGTGGCAGTATCCGACACAAGCAATTGTGCAGAGTTGATCAGAGGCCTCCATTGCCATGGAGTATTCAAATAGTTTCTCTGTTCAAACGGTGCTACTAATTGGCATAGAATACCAGGTCGCTTTGAGGAATACTGTTCGAGTTCCATTAGCTTCTTTCCCACCTGCATTTACACATCTACATAGGGGTGAAAGAGCTGGAGTCAAAAAAACCCACGACCACCTTCAGATTCATCTCGGCAACGACCTATTGCACCTCAGGAAATTTGCGGGTAGGATCAGATCTAGATCTTCATCACAGGTTCAAATGACTACAAGTACACTTACCCCAAAACGTCTAAACTCAACATTACCTTGAACCGAGCGGCGTTTCATTTGAAATGATGCTGTGGAGGGTAACGTAGTAACCCTCGGTTTGCCAAAGTGAAATATCAGTTTTACAGCCTTTTCTAAAATTTCTGTCCGATCAAAGTGAATGGGTATTGACCCCGTTCGTAAAAAAAATCACCCAAAAATGATCAAATTTCTCGTATTTTTATTTTTCAATACAGTAGAGTTAGCGCCGCACAGCCATACCTATTCCCGACCACAATGATTGATCCTACCCTTCACACTGGCCATGATCAGACCGTGTCCTAAGCTACCGTGCACGAAAAGTTCTGGAAATCATCAAGTTTTCCTCACCTGCTTTGATTCTCTCCGAAACAGCGACTGTGTGTCAACTATCATGTTCTCAACAAAGACAAGCGCGCCCACTGGAATGATGACCATTAGCCCCGCACCCGCTCCTGAAAACACCCCAGCAAGCATTCCAACAGTGCTTGCTGATGTATGTGAAGCCTCGTTGCTTCAGGCTGAGCCGGTGGGAGACAGAAACACCATACTCACATCCAGATCCTAGTTGTCAAGTTCGCGACTACACCCACGGTTGCCAACTTTATCAAAGAGGTCCCTTGCTGGTGAGCTGAGAGAATGCGGCAACTCTGCAGTCACCGAGATGGGCAATTTGTGCAGCCTCCTTGGTAGTGAGGGTTGAGGACATGAGGACGATGTGTCACTTCATGTCTGGAGACGCGTGTTTGGTACCCATGAGATGGTAATGGTGTATGGAAGCTCGGCTGGGCTGATGTGAGGAGGATCGAGAGCAGGATCACTGTTTCCAATAGAGGCTGGCGACCTGCCTAGATCGCTGTGACCGTCAGTGCCATGGTCATCATTCAATGAGGAATGGGGACTAGCTGTGGGCGCTAATTCTACTATATGGAAATATAATTCTATTGTATTGAAACATAAAAATTTGAGAAATTTGACCATTTTCAGGTGATTTTTTTACGAACGGGGTCAATACCCATTCACTTTTGATCGGACAAAAATTTTAGAAAAGGCTGTAAAATGGTTTTGTCGGCGGCCGGACGACGTGATGACGTTAGGTTGCAGAATGACCTGGTGTATATACATGTTTGCCATGTTTCGAGGTTGATTTCCAACAGATTAGGCGCTACGTTCCGCGACACAGAACTATCGAGGGAACATTCAACTCCTTGTGTTGAAAGACCGAAGCGGCGCTGAGAAGTGACCTAACCCAGACATCATGGAACTATCCGCCCGCGAAGATCAGAGCGTAACTTCGCTTGATTCCCTGGAAAAACTGGAGTTACTGGAGTCGTTTTCGCAATTTTAGAAAGAAAATCCTGTCCCGCTGACTGGGTTTTGCGCCAAATTGGCGCTTCCATCTCATTGCCGCAAAGTTGCCACTCCTAGAAGTCTGCTGCCGTCTCCACCCCGTACACGCACTTCTTGTTGAGATCGTCCTTATTGAGTCACCGAACCGGCGTTGCGCGGTGCAGGGGGCCGATCGGCGATTAGTGATCAAGAGTTCAAACTGTCAGGACATGGTGGCGCATGTCTCCAGTTGAGGAAATTTCGTAGGTACTTATTCCATGGGTGTACTGTTTCCGTGAGCGGGTGCGACGAATGTGCTCACCAGCAGGCCCACACGCAAATGCCTTCCTATTCCCCTGATAGGGATGACCCGTAGAAATGGCATTATATGGCCAGGCCACCATGTATGCAAGAGCCATGCGAAAAAAAACCGTCAGGCTTACGTGGAGATCGGGAATAAGTATTCATAAAGTAGTTGATGGATGCCACGAGGCAGCCGGGCGTAACAAATTATCGATGGCGCAAGCACATTGGGTTCAAGTGCGCATTCAGTGGCGTGCTGACATTCCCACTGGATGAGCATGCCCAAAGAAGAGAAACGTGGTCTCACTGTTACTTGTCGACCCTGCACAAAGGTCCAGTGAAGTACACGTGATCGGAATTCCCACGATATCGCGCTTATTATCAAAGCCTCACTATCTAGAACATGGCAGACGCAGATATTCCATCCATCTCATCGGGACCTGTAGGCTCTCGCTTTGTTTCCCAAACGGAGCTCGATCAAGCTAGGGAAAATCGTGAAGCCCAATGGAAAGCAGCTTATGCACGGTTAGTTTCTGGATTGTTTTTCCCCCTGCTCTCAACAAACGAACGAAAATGCAATGAAATTATTACACGATGGCTTCATGATGACACGGTGCATCTTCTGCCGGGACGCCATTGACAACTTTAGACTGGGCCAAGAACCCCCTGCACGAGAGGACGCTGAGTATGATGGCCGATCGCTGTACGAGGTGTGTACTAAATCGCACAATTATCCATCTCCCATTATCTGCCCCTATGATCAATGAACGTTCCCCTCATTTGCGCCCACGCATTTAGAGGCTCCAAACCAACAAGGTACTACATCCTCAGTAAAAACTGGGATTTGACGCATATTCTCATTATCCGATGTCGTGATGCGCGCCTTTCTTGTGGCATAAAGCAAATTAAACAAGATGAATGGGAAGCGAAGAATAAATTAAGTGCGTTAATATATGGCAGAACCCCCTCTGCAAATTGAACTCTCTCGTCACTTACATATTACTCAGGTAACCAATTTCGCGCTTTGGAGGAAGATGAAGTGCTTTTTCTTGATGCTGTGAGAGAAGAACAACGGGCAGAGGAACGAGCTCGTCAGGACAAGGACAGCGAAGAAGTTCAGAATTTCAAAGCGTGAGCATCCCTACGGATCGTATGACCAGGAAGTGATGACGTGTTTTCTGCTTCAGGGCAGTGGCAGCTCGTGAAAAGGCACTGACGGAGCCTCCTATACCAAGTCCCATCGCTGCAAGCGAAACAACAGTACCGGCAAACCATCCCGTTAGCAAGAAAGAGCCGCCTCCGAAATTGAAGTCTTCATTCGGAAAGAAGGACCAGAAGGCCCTCCTGAAGGGTATCATAAAAAAGAAGACTGCGAACGCAAAATCCTCCGTCACGCCTGATGAGTCATCAAAGGCTGGTGAGAAGCGTGCAGCCAATGCTGTTGAAAAAAGTTCAGACGGCAGCCCAGATGCTAAACGGTCAAAAAAGGGGGAGACTTGATTATGCGTTATTTCACATTGCACTCTGCAACCGTGTAGGTGCGCACATTAATATCATATCTTAGCATTGTTCAACATTGATGCTATGCCCTGTATCTCACTGCAATCTTGGTGCACCATTTTCCCATCTTTGGGGGGGGGGGGTGGCGTGAATGTTTAATAAGCTGTTGGCTCTCATTTCCGATTCCCCACTCAGGAAACATCTGAAATAGTGCGAAAGCAGTTGGCAGCGGCTGAGAGAAACTGGGAGAGAATTTGCCGACCAATGGAAGCTTAGTGGAGTGGGGAAGGGATTGTGAACTCGTGCTTAAAATTGAGATCGTTCGTCCGCACCGGGTTTGGTTTTTTTGCGTGGGATTGGGAGCATGCGGATTCGCCATGCGTGCGGAAGGATTCGAAGGCGCGGCTGGCCTTGACCATGCCTTTCAACATATCTGCACCCCACACTTGGACTACTTATGCAAGCAGGAAACCTTCGATTTCAGTTCCACAACTCTCATATGTGGGTCCATGTTGCAACAGTGGCTAACTCATACCATCATTGTGGTCCGACTCGGTGACGGCTTGCGTCATGACACGAAACTTGCGGACACTGCCACTCTGATGTCTATCCGTTGACGCACTCGAACAACCTGGCAACGGACAGAAGGTCTCTGCGCAAGGGAGACCTTAGCAAGGCACGTTCTGAGGCCACAGGCCTTCAAGTTGCAATGCTTGTCATGGGAGACCTGACCAGGAGAATCCGGTGCTTCAGTGAAATGGGGGCACGGGCTAGAGGGCCTGTACATTGCTTCTTGTTGGCAGTGAGGCTTTTGTCTCGACTCCTGCTGCCCCCTGTCTGGACCTCTATGACGTGCCTCACTCGAGCTTCGCGAATCATTGGGGCTAGCTCATTTCACCTCTGCTCACAAAACGTGTGCAATGGGTAACAATGCACACTTGAGGTCTCCACTATTTCACTTGGAAAAATAGCAAACTGCTCATTTGGGATTCGCCTGACACGTCCCGTTCTTCTGCTTGCTGCTATCTACAGAAGGCTCTTAAAGGGCTCGTGACTGACGTTACAATTGTCCAAGTTGTTGCTGCACCATGAGGAAATAACCCCATTAATGTTAATTTTGCCTATCTCTGTGGGGTTGTGCGCTCTTGGGAACACATTGAACTCCTGACTGTGGAGTGATAGTGACGATATGGGTATAGCTTCACGTATCTTCGGAACTTAAGGCATCGGACCATCACTTTTCGCGGACATATCGGGGGACGCGGGGTCATGGTGGATGTTGTAGAGAAATTGGCAGATTTACCGGTATCAGACATACTATGTTACACTTGACCCGGGCTGGAGCTGTTCTTGCTTAATGCATCGCGGGTTGGGCAAACCTCACCAAGTTCGGCCTGAAGAAGGTGCGCGGAATGATGATGGTGAAGGGCAATATTGTTCTGACACAGACATGATAAAGATCCAACTGCTTCGAGAGTATATGCACGTGAGGTACATGTTTTGCGCCACACGAAAGTGAAGGTGGCCAATGGGTCTTGGATCCCTCACATGCGTGGCTTTCACTGCGGATGAGTGGATTCACTCGACAAAGGAAATACCACATCATTGCACTCTCTCCAGGGCACCCCGGAACCGACTGCGCTACAGCCATGTGGAAAACATCACTTTCAGTGCCTGGTCTGATTGTGTCATCGTTGACGAGTGGAGCGTCGTCGTCGATGAAATAGGAGCTGCCGCGAGTCGCGTTGACTATGCGCCTAACAACTGTCCGCTACGCCCTTCCATGAATTACTGCTTTCGGCACTCCTTGCCTGCATCCCAAGTCCCAAATGACATTGGTGATCCAACCGGAGTCACCAACCCGGGATGATTGCTAATCAAGATGTATATGGCTACTGGAGGGCGGCAAACACGTTCCCAGTCTGGAATGCACACCGAGTAAACATTTGCTCAGATAGGGCCGCGTCGCTGTTCATTTGATCTTGTAAGGGCATGGATTTATTTATTGAGTTTTTAGATATGCATGCAACAATGTGTCACGATGGACTCTCGTGCGGGCACCTCTTCCAAGACTACTTGGTGCCAACTGGGAAGCTCTGGTTTCCATATCGGCGCCGAAAATGCTACAGAGGGACAATCTGATAATTTATATTGCCATCGAATGACCCATCTCCGAACTTGGCGTGTTCATTAGCACCCGCCTTAAACATTCGATGTGAATGGAGCGAGTGTGACCCTTTTTCATGTGGTGAGGCGGACTAAGTATCCAGTGTATGGTGCTATCGATAGTGACGCACGATTAATGAATGTGTTGGGACCTCGGTGGAATGCGGATTCTTAAGCTGGTGACGCTGACGGTCAGACTACATGATAGGCTTATCGATGGATTCAAGATTATGATGGAGGCGGGTCCCAGCCCTGGGGAGTCACGGCATCAAGTTGGAATGTTTTCAGTAGCTAAAAATGGGTTGCACGAGATCTGAAACTCGGGAAAAGGTAGTCGGATTCACGATGTCCACAGAAGAAACCAGTCTGTCATAATTCTCCGCACGGACGCCACGACACAAAAACTAGGACTGAGAGAAATACCGGCTCACGGCAGCAAATCAGAGATTCCTGCCACCAGAATTTGTGCCGTTGTAGATCGTGGCTTGAGAGTATACGGGAACGGCAAAGGCTCCCTATTTGGTTCAGTTAGAATAATCCCAGCCTCGGAAAGAACAGATAAATGTTTCTTCTACCTTGCCATTCCTCCTGTATACTTTGCTTCTGGGATGATATCGTGCCCATTGACATCTTTCAGTCGTTCAATGTTTGTGGTCGCAAAAATGCTGACGATCGTGAGCCAGACCAGCACATCGGAAAAATGAAATCCTGGGCACAGTCTAGATAGTGATACATAGAGTATGCAATGTTTCATGGTGCGAATCGTTGGTTAGGGATTTTGCTTACCTCCTGCCATATCCGAATGCAAATGTCATAGGATCCAACGCAGCTGACATATGGGCGGTATAGGCGTCAGGGCATAGGTCCCCGAGGAATCGCTCTGGTATGAACTCCTCTGGGTTAGGATAAATAGTGTCATCCCGGCTGGTGAGCCTGGAAACTTGAGTGATGAAGATCCCCCAGTAACTGCGTACGCACTGACCAACTCACCATGAATTGCAATGACGAGAGAGTTCTGCAAAGGAATATAATATATATGAGGAGTGCGACGAAATGGGCGAATCACGAAACCTTTGGAATCAAATATCCTATTGACAAAGGAGGGATTGAACACATGAGCGATGTATTCTTTGCAGAGCCCCTTACCTTTACATACGAAGTCCGCTCCTGACAGATAGGGTACAGCAAGCGGAACGATTGGCTGCCACCGTAATGTTTCCTTGAAGACAGCTTCCACATACGGTAACCTCTCTCGACTTTTTACAACAGCAAAAAGTTAAGGAATTTCATCGTGCCAAAGGGACGCCACTGGGCTTACTCAGATAGGGTGGGGAGTCGATCAGTTCCAATTATGGAGTCAATTTCTCGTTGAGCTTTTCGTTGGACTTCTGGTCTCAGCACCATCGCGAGCAGGAACGTGCAGACCGTAGCGGAAGTAATATCGGTAGATCCTGCCACTGATTTTCAGAATCAATAATCTGCTCTAGAACTCCCTGACACAATGCGACAAGGGCAACTTACGAAGCGAGCCAGAAAGCCACTTTAAGATGTTACGATCAACATTACCTTCAGATTTTTGCAGGATGGTGGCACTGAATGAATGATTGTCTATGCCTGCAGCCTTGGTAAAAGATGATCACATTAGGACTTGATCCTATGTAAGGAATGTGCAGCAATCGTATACTTACAAGATCACACTCTACTTTCTGGAAGGGAAGCTCAACAGAGTTTCGAACCACCTTGGCCCATGTTTTCGCCTGACGTTTAAAACCAGCGAACGGAAACCAGGAAGGGACGTACTTCACTAGGTCCGAATGAGTTTGATTGCGACTGGAGACAAAGATGGATATTTACGTATTGGGAATGTATCCACGAGAAATGCTCCCGGTTGAGTAGCCCGCCCAAAGATGACGGCAGCGTCGCTAATCAATGTAAGATACTAACAACCGCGTGAGACAAGGTTGATATCCAGGGGTAAAACAACTTCTGTGCGTACATCATCTGCACTAGAGTCTGCATCGATGCCATACAAGGTGCTGAGGACAATCTTAAGGATCGCGCTGGCAGGCATCAAGTACCGCAAGCACGAATGCACACAGCTGCATACCTCTTGACGATTTTTGTGAATTCCTCCGGAGACTCCCAAGATTTTTTGAGTAGGCCGTGGACGGCGTTTTCGATGATCGGCAGGAACTGCTTTCTCACGGCTGCCTTTCCCAGGTAGTGGTTGGCAAATTTGCGCATGGCATTAAATCGATGGCCAGAACTGAAGACGAGGCCATTTTCCCATCCTAATCTAATGCAAGAGTTGGCGACGCCCCACTCAAGAAAAAAAAAGAGTACTGACAGTTCACCAGCCATGGGTAAGCGTGGACGGTTCACAAACAGCAGTGAATTCTTGGTGAGAACGTCATGAATGGCTTTATGAGAGTTTAGAATGATCATATGTTGTCCCAAAGCACATAGGTGTATGACGTCGCCTGCGGCAGATGAGCTTGAAGCTAGGGTATGAGGACAAGCTTTCCTCGCGCACCATATTTTTCCGTCAGCCTCTTGTAGTAGAGCCAAGAATATTCAGTCTCCATCTCCCTAACATTCCCTAACAGCGGATCCCCTCTAGGACCGGGTGGATAAGGATATTTCAGATTATGCCCTCGATGCAGGCGCAGGAGCAGGATGACGACACAGACTGCGATGCCGATGGCAAGCACGAAATGCAACATGGCCGAGAAGAAATGCTGAACTAATTTCTCGAGGACTCGGATATCTGCACGCTGGGTTGCCTAGAATGCAAGGACGAGGCCTTCCACTGCAAATTCGAAATGAACCACACTGGAGTGCTGTGACGTAATTCCTCTTAAGTAGGCTCATCGATTCTAGGAATCGAACGCAAACTGCATTGAATGTGAAGAGTTGGGAACCCTGAGGAATATGTGCTCGTTGCAAACAACGATGTCCGCAGGAACGCCGATGGTACACTGAAAAGTCGAGTCTGTACAAAGTTCATGAACGCGATTTGGCTGGAAATTCATCATGATAGTGGCATCTCACGCGCCGATTCGTTACTGCAGATGGACGGAGCACTAGAACTCTATCCTAACGGGGGTTGGTAGTAGATCGACGGACACGAAGCAATACCCGATAAGGACGAACTTCCCACGATCGACGACTCGCGTCCTCACGTACACTAAGTAAATATTTTACCCTACCCGTAGATCGGGGCGTTAACACATTCTCGCCGGGAGGCCGCTTGTTCAAGGTTAGCGCCCAAGTCGCAGCTTTGAATCGCTTAATTGAATATGCTATCGAGGCGATCAAGGTACGTCATGTTTTACGGTGCATGAATCGCGTAATGATTGTTCACAGCTTGGATCCACAATTATTGCGGGGATTGTTACCCCAGAAGAGGTGACTCTTGGGGCCGAGAAGCGCGTCCGGTCATCACTAATCCAATTATCTATCGAGAAAATCAAGGAGATAGATAATTATCTGGCCTGTGCCATGTCGGGCCTCACTGCAGACGCGCGCACAATTGTCGATCGCGCCAGAGTTACATCGCAGAACCACCGTTTCGCATATGATGAGTCCATCAAAGTGGAGAGTGTGACGCAGGCGGTTTGTGACCTTGCACTGCGATCTGGCGCTGAGGGAGTGCATGATGACGAGGCATTGATGGTATGTCATCGGCGCTTTGGGAGTCCCTGAATGCCTTGGATACGCACAGAGTTGGCCGTTTGGCGTTACATTGCTGATTGTCGGAACTGACGAGCTTGGGCCTCAACTGTGAGCCGCCTTTCATGTTACGATAATTTATCTGTTCATTACATTCGGGTATCACAGAGGGACCTTCACGAAATATGAGCAGGGAGTGGTTCAGAAGCTGCTCAGAGTGAGAAGATGAATATCATAAGGTCGGTGCCACTAAACCATTTGATTTGTGTTGTTCAACACTTGGTCAATGTGGGATGACTCGCATTATGCGTTCTTAAGCAGTGATGGAAGTTAGACCAGCGCAACGTTCAGCTTGCCCGGGTAAGTCTGTTGCCTGTAGTGCCACCAAATCGGTCTTGGGAGTTGACCTATGTATACCTGGCAGGTAACGACTTCGAGATTTTAAGCGGAACCAAGCTTAAGTCAGGATGTAATGACGCACTACATAAAAGGTGACTTACGACTTATATACAATATGGCGCAGACATAATGAAATCATCTTACGAAACAGTTAGTGCTACAAGGCTATACATTGATTGGTCCATTGGCAAAATCATAATTCCACGAAATGTCATGAACAAATCTATGCGGTTAATATTGGGTGCTGACCAGCTTCTATTAGCATACGCTGGAGCTAGGAAAAGGCATTCAATTTCCACGCTTTCACTTGCACGGCTTCTTCCGTCGAGGGGCGCAACTTGAATCATCACCATCGCGGGGGCGTTTGGCAGTTTGTCCATCAGGCGCGGTAGGGTGCAGCGGCCGTGGCGAAAATTCTGGAGGAGGCAGAGCCTCGCCTCTCCCATTACAGTGGCCGGGAGGGTGGCGATCCTTGGCCTGATCACGTCCTATCGAGCCATCAGCCTGGGATAGTGCCCCTTTCCTTCCTCGATCGTACTGATGGTTGGTCCATCTGTTCGATTTTCACCGTACACCGAGTAAAAAACCCAGATCTCATCGTGCTCTTCACGAGTGGGCTCAAATCATCATTCATCGTGACGCTCCTCGAAACGGACTCAAAGAGTTGCAAAAATAGAAGGGCTATGATGTCGATGCGATGGCTTTTCGCAATGTATGAGATCACATCGTTCTTGAGATGCATCTGCTGGAGATGCCTCCACCAATCATTCTCATTCGACGATGTGGATCTTGATTTGTGGAAATCGTCAGAGCATAGCGGGCATGGTCAGTGATCATTTGTGCTTATTCCAATAGCCCTTTTTGGATTTTGCATCTCTCTTGAGACCGTAGGCATAGAGTACTCGAGGAATGAAGGGTAGGTCTGAGAAATCTGGTGAGGGACTATTCGGCGTGTCGTCCGGGGTTGACGGAATTGCAGGACTCGCGTCAGAACGCCCATATGAGCTCACTTGGGCCCCTTGGGATGAAGAAGGGTCCACTGAGGCTTCCACCGACAACGCGCGTGAGGGCAACAGATGAGAGCCTCCTGCGTTATTATTCGGTAGCTCCGGTAATCTAGTAACAATGGAATTTAGCACACGGTTTTTGCATGGATGAAGGCATTTCCTGCGCACATTGTATCAGTGCATGTAGAAGCCCATTGTAACGCACTTAAGAGCTGACTGCGATGAACAAGGATGGCTTCTGGCTTACTATTCTGACTGCTCTGGGATAATGATGTCTTCATATCTTGGGAAAAGGGACACAGGGAAACCGCGTGTCAACGGGTTGCTATCCAGGATTCACTCAGCAAGCCATCGTTTTCGAGCAATGAACTCTCATACATATCAGGTGATGGACGATGAACAGTAGGGTTGGCCATGCTGAGGTCCTCTCCGAAGATAAACGTGTTCTCCGTTCCTCGAAAAATTGCTCGAACATGAGCCGCTGGTTGAAGTGCAGGGTGACGGGGGCCACCTCAGCAGCGGGTCTGAGATTTTAAGATGTTCACAAAGCTTGGTAAGTGGTCTACCTACCTTCGATATTGATCTCCTCGCTCCCATCATGCGAACCCCGGCCCATAGTTCCACGGTGGGCTAATTAGCACTTCACAACTTATTTGAGTCAGTGGTGAACCCACTATTGTCCTTCCCTTCACATGTCTTCACCAGGCCGTCATCTAAAATATCTGCAAATCATCCACACGTTCATCAAGTCTACAGCGCTTACTCCATTCGGTCAACAGCTCATACAACGCCACACTCAAGCTAGGAATCCATCATGACCTTGACATTCTGGTCAGACATACACCCTCAACAAGCTGTTCGCAGTCGGTAAGAAGTAATGAGCCATTACTCCATATTTATGACCACCAGCCTGATGATGCTGAAGGAACTGAATGGAGCTCTAATGGGGCTCCAAGGTGACGATGTCTGCGGCGCGGAGCACAATCAATCCTTGTTGTTCCCGACAACAACCAATAACAGCACTCAATCGAACACTGCCCGCCTACTGTGAGACATAGACGGAGACCTAGATCTATCCGACCTCGGGAAGGGGGACGGAAGCCTACGGGTTGCGAGCTTCCTGAACGCGAGCGGAGCGCACGAGAAGAAATCACTAGACAAATAGACCTCCGACCCCAAGAGATGACCCTCGCCCTGAAAGGCGGAATCCCCCTTCTTCGAAAACCGGGGGCATAACATCCGAACGCATGGTGGAGACTCCCCAGGGGAACAAAGTTAGGGAGATATTCGGACGAAGGGCGAGACTAGTGCTTTATTTCCGTGTATTTGTTTCGAGACCCTGCCCTTGGCGCTCTCCCGAGCAGCCTAAATATCCAGAACTACATACACACAGAGCACTGAATCTCATCGCAAACCAGTTCCAATTACGATGTCCGCACAAGGCCCAAGGTTTATAGGTAGATGCATGCTTTGAGAGTGCTGCAGTATACGGCACTCAAGCGCTTACTGGAATTCACCATCAGATATTGGGTTAAATCTGACTGATCCCGTCTTCCATGGAATTCATAGAGGGGCCAGAAAGCATGCAGGTATGGGTGGTCTTCATAGGCGCCATGCCTCAAAAGGATATTTACCGCTAGTAGATGATTTTCACCATGTCATAAGGCGCGCTCTGAATGCAGGCGTGAAGAATGCGGTCATCACTGGAGGTAGCCTCAGGTGAGATTAGCAATCCTATCTTTGTATACCGTTGAACGCCATTCCCCAGTGAATCTCGATCAGCCATCAATCTTGCTCGCCAGCTAGGTCAGCCCCAATTCTCTCAGCCCGAATAGACTACACTCTCCTTCCGCCAACAGGCATGTACGCCACAATCGGATGTCACCCGACTCGTAGCAAGGAATTTGACAAGTACATGGGCGGGCCAGAAGCCTACCTCTCGGCCCTTGACAATCTGATCTCAAAATCTCTGGAAGGAAAGGGTCGTGTGGTCGCGGTCGGAGAATGCGGTCTCGGTATATTGCAATAGCCCTTCCCCGCCTGAAGCTTTGAATATTCATGTTCGGACACCTGGGGAATGGGAATAGATTATGACCGACTTCACTTTGCGTCTCCCGACACCCAAAAAACTCACTTCCGCGCGCAACTCGCACTCGCGAAGAAGCATCACCTGCCCCTCTTCCTTCATTCCCGTTCAGCACATCAAGACTTTGTCAAGATCTTAACAGAAGAAGGGTTCGGGACAGATGGAGGGCGGGATGTTGGAGGGAGGGGTGGTGTTGTGCATAGCTTCACAGGCACCATTCAGGAAGCTAAAGATCTTGTTGCAATGGGGTTCCACATAAGGTATCAGTTTGTCCGCCTTCATTGCTCGCCGGTTCTTGATCTGATTAAATATTTAAGCATTAACGGATGCGGTCTCAAAACAAAAGACAATCTCGCTGCCACAGCATCCGTCCCATTAGACAAGCTAATGCTAGAAACAGGTTTGTGTGCTTTTAATCGGGTCGCATCCATCCTCGCATTCTTCACCGTGTCCATGCGTCACAGGAGTTCTGAAGTTGTCTACATAGATGGACCTTGGTGCTCAATGACATCCGCCCATGCTTCTCACTCCCTCCTAAAATCTCTCCCTAGACATCTTTCTCAGCTCTACTTCCCTCCCTCTTGTAAACCCGAGCGTCTTATTGAAGGAGGGACGCACACAGTCAAGGGACGGAACGAGCCCTGCTCCATAGGTGGTGTAGCATGGGTCATTTCAAAGTTGCACTCCTCGACAGAGACCGAGGAACAGGAAACAATAGACCGCGTCGCAGAGGCTGCTTGGAAGAATACGATCGAGGTATTCCGGCTCATCGAAGAGGAGGTGATGCAAATTTCTGATGCGCAAGCGGGGAGGAACGAGACCAAGGACGACCCACCGGAAGAGTTTGACGTGAAGAACGAAGAGTGGCCAAACCTCGGTGCTCCATCAAAAAAGTGAGATCACATCAATGAACACATTCTGATTCGCAATGCAAGCAATTTATTGATTGTGTCGCTATGGATGTGAGGTACAAGGGGCTAATTATTCCCTTGGTATGTGTGATGACCATGAGGATTAGGCAATAGTCTGTAGTATTCGTGATGTTACACCAATCCAGCAAAAACCTGATAGACCTCTTACCCCGACGGCATCATGATCACCCAGCTTCCAGCACACAAGAAGAGAGCAGAGCCGAGAAGAACGACAACGAGCAAAGCGACAAGATACAGGGCAATTTCATCAAGAACACCTGAGTTGTTGGAGGCACGTCCATTTCCGCTAGCCAGGGCTTGTCGGCGTCTCTCGCCTTCATCGCCAATCTGGGCCTTGGAAAGAAGATCCTCCAAGCCAGTTGGTTCTGAAGGTGCAAAAAATCGTTGAGGTCGCATCCAATTTTCATCCTGCATTCCACTTTTGGCGGGTGTCCAGTCCATAGGCTCGGAGTGAGACAGTGCCTTGTTTGCCGCTTCAATTTGGCGAGATGCTCTCAATGTCGTTGTTTCACCGAATACCGGAGCCGAAATTCTACGCGTGAGGGCTGGTTGTGATGAAAGTGAAAGAGATGAAAAGATATCGTCTGTCTGGGACGGTGGCAGAGGGAATGTTTGCACGGTTGGATTAGTAGGTATGATGGTTGTTGGGTACGGGGTAAGGGAACGTGATCGGGATGCCGAGCGAGCGAGGGTTACGGAAGGCGGTTTAATGATATGAAGTGCTTTCAGGGAAAAATAAAGAAGCTGGAGCATATGTTAGAAGGCCTGCATCATTTCGTCATTCATCACTCACGGATAACTCCAAGACAACATGAGATAAAAGCCACCACGTTGGTAATGGTTTGATAGTGTGAGCAGCAGATGCTAGAAGCCGCGCCAACCACGCGCAAAACTGGCATGCCTAATAGATAAGAGGTAGAGATTGGATCTCCGAAGGGCAGATACGAAACGTGGCATACGTACAATCCATTGTGTTCTCCCATTCGCCCTTATAAAACTCCCTTCAAATCGTGAGGTTCGGACTCGAAGCCATGTTGGATCCCAGAAAGACCAGAGAAATGATGAGAATGCCAACACAGGAGCCAGAGGTAACCGTTTTGAACAAAGGTAGTCCCTCGCTCGCACGGAACAGCATGCTGATACAACATAAGTCCATCAAATCGATTTCAGACCACACCAAAAGCCTACCTGACGCTGGTAAGAGTACAGAAACTACAGCCGTCATGATCCATAGGAAGCCACGCATTCGCCACACCAACACCTGAAACGACCATGGCTTGGGATCAAGGACTTCCATTTTCATCTTCTTCGGAGGGCTTGCTTGTGTCCCTTTGTGGAGCCAACCACCAATTGCATCAGCCCGTGCCCGACGCTCGGCTTTCTGTATCTCATCCTCAACACTCCCAGCGCAATCCCTGCAAACAGTTGGATAGCGAGCGTCCAAGGACTCCTTATAGACAGGCAGGCGATCCAGAAGCTCGCCGTAGGATGGGTCATCTTCGGCTGGAAGGTAATTGGACAGCAGATTTATCTGCAGAGTTTGGTTGGTTTGACAATTTCGACAAAACACGCCTTGATTGTAGGACGTAGGGATTCGGTCCTTGTGCGGCGATGCTAAAAGCCAATAGTTAGGAAACATCTCCGTTGAGATTTAGTAGTTGATTACTAGCCTCTCTTCGCAAATGAACTACGGTTTAGCGATTCTTGGTGCATGGCAGGTTCATCTGACATGATTTCTTGATAGAGCAGGTTAGAAACAGCCTCGCAGCATGCCTCGCGCAAACAGGCTCACCGCCATTCTTGTCATACCGATTCCAGCATTCGCAGTTTGGACATCGGAAGGACCGTGGATTGGCTGGACGCTGCGCCAGTGTCTGGCTACAATAGAAACACCGAACTTTGAGGCGAAACAGGACATTCTCGAGGCTTGTTAATGGATGAGTTCATAGGACCGATAGATACAAAGACGGTGCATAAACTGCATATACCGACGTGTTTGCAGGGCCACAGTGTCCTTGTTGGTTGGTCTCGGCAGTGGCCGATTCAATTTCAGCTGAAGCTCGATTTCACCGCATTGCGAAGTGCTCCATGGAACAATGCCCACGTTGTGAACGGCCCAGTGTACTTCTGTGGCCGATGTGCTTCCAATAAGACCTGGGTGATGGGCTTTTGAACTCAGTGTAAACCTCAAGGACCCCTCTCCTCTTCACTGCAATGTCGTTCTATGCTGGCCATCGATCTCGACGTGGAATCGCTATTAGCGCTCCTTTGACTCCTTTGAAGAGGCTTGAGCAGCTGGAGGGGCTCGTTGACGAGTTCAATATCGAGCCTCTGACTTTGGACGTTACTCCAACCCTTCTAACCCGGGACGCGAATGCTCGTCAAGACCGGCGCAGTGCGCTGGCAGAGGCCCGGAAGCAAGTTGAGGCGCAACTTGCTCGTTTGAACCGTATCACCGACAAGATTCGTCAGAAGCGTGCTCTTCTCAATCAACGGCGAGCTGCTCTAGCCAATGCCAATTCCCCGGTCGAGGCAATTCCCCCTGAGGTCCTTGGAATCATCTTCAAATACGCCACCTCGTATGATCCACCATTCGGCCCTGTACACCCCCCCTTAAGTCTCTCCCATGTTTCATCGTACTGGCGACGCGTAGCGTTTCAACATGCAACCCTCTGGACCCGGATAATGGTTGGCACCTTTCAGAATCGTTCCGGTCTTTTGAAGGAATGGATGCACCGAAGTGGAGAGGCCCCTCTTAGCGTGGTGGTAAATGAGGCGCTGGATTGGAGGGCCATGTCTTCACTCTTCATCCCAAAATTTGTACCCCGTTTTCGTAGCCTCGAAGTTCAAGGGGGCTATGACATGACGACCTCTGGATCCAGATTCGAAACCATGAAATTCCCTTCCCTCGAGTCTCTCACCATGGTAGGCGCGCCAATTATCAGCATGAGCGGGATTTCGTTCGATAATTGGACGCTGCCCAAACTCCATTCATTGGACCTAGCCTACCTGAAGTTGCGAGACCCAGGCTATAAGTTTGGGGGCCAGCTCAGAAGTTTGGCCTTAAGGGGGTTCAACTACGACGTGGAATCAATTCGTATCATTCTGGATAGATGTCCAAACCTTGAACATTTATCCATCGGCGGTTTAGAGTTCGGGCCTATCGTTCAGCATTTCGGGCCGGAAGCATCGGCGTGGGAAAGCTGCACTTTGGAGAATCTTCGGTCACTAGAACTTCAGTGTTGTCCAGCAGACACATGGGAGTACTTTGCTAAATGTGTCAAGGTACCCAACCTTGAGTCCCTTTCAATGACTCTAGGTCGAAGTACCACAGATATTCATTGGAATCCTGCGGTAATTGATGCTGCGGACCTCGTATTTAATTCTGTGAGTCCTCGCTCCCCCTACTCGGCTAAGGCGCAGACTGACGTTGTCCCAAATCTAGACAACTCTACCCAACTTCAAAAAATTATCCATTGACGGCGAGGAGGGCGCAGTATGCAGACTCCTCGAAAGAGTGACTTCTGCGATACTGCTTGACGGATCGCCAGCTCCCATAAGACCCCCAGGGCTTGAGGTCCTACATCTCTTTGACCTCAAGTACAACATCAAAATGCCGACTTCCACATCGCTAACCCGCCTCGTTCAGCAATATATTGAAATGTTATGGGAACAAGCCCCCACTACTCCGACTGGGCGTTTTGCGGTGCCGCGTCTCGTGGTTCCGCGGGAATTGCTGGGTGAATTGTTCGAATGGTACAAAGGCCGAGTAGAGGTTCTCGAACTTCTACGCGCTCCCTGTTAGCAGTACGAGGTTTTCGGTGTGTAGTTGTAGTACCTCTGTAACCATTTCACGACATGAAATGAAACATTCGTTTTGTAACGTATCCTAAGCAGCTGCGCGACTAATCCTCATATGACCGTGGGAAAGTCTTGATACAAATGCGAACCAACCTCATACAGATTGGTAACTCACTCCATCGGTCCCTGCTGGGGGAATGTGCACAATTTCCATACCCTTATTTGAGGTATGTAACAACAGGTTTCCTCAGTGCTATCTCTCTCTCATTTTGCGTCAAGCTTATTCTGGCGCGTTCGTGTGTCTGATGTTTATCGAGCCGGAAAAGCTCTCTCCAGGGCCAGAGTCAGGCTTGCGAAGAATGTATGCCACCCATCCATGATAAGATATACCTATAATACTGGCGCGCCAATCCTTAGGAGCTGAAATTGCTACAAAAGGCAAATCGGGGAGAATTGGGTTCGGTTCGAAAAGTTCTGGAGTATGCTTATGGACGGCGAGGGAAGTTGAGGCATGAACTATTCGAGGTTCGCAAGTTGAATAATTGGAGAATAGTGATAACTATTTTTCATAGCAAATGGATCAAGCTATTCCCTCAGTCGGCCTACACCGCACATTCCTTCCAATCCGAATAGATCACGGCCACCGACACTCTCTCCGGCAACAGTCGCGCTGTCTAACTCCACGTATGGCAGAGAAACTGGGAAGCGGGTTGGAAAAGCCGAATTTGAGCACCCACCCAATTTGCCCCAGCGGGCCATTCCATCATCTGAAGATGCACGGTTGCTAGGCCCGTTTTCACGTCGGAGACTTGTCAATCTCCGATGGAAGTTTTTTAAACTTGAAAAGAGTCGCCTATTGCCGCCCCTACGAATTAAAACGGAGGGTGATCCACTAAATGAACAACCTGCCCCAAACATGGGGTTCTCGTCTGTTCATCCGGCCGATGCCTACATGCCTACTTGGAATATGCGTCAAAAATTCGACGGAGCAATATACCATTTAGAGCACAGCCGGAGGCTGGTGCTGGCAGTCTCGGTGAGATATACCGTCTGCTTCCGCTTCCAGACTACATCATTGTCATTGCCAATTCCAGGCGACGCCAGAGTAGGTCCGTGCAGTCCCGGCCCTTCGTCACATAAACAGCCATCCAGTATGCGGCCGTTTGGTCGTTCACTCCGATTCTTCCGCCGTCGACATCAAGAAATCCTTCGTTTGTTGCCGATTATGGTGAAGACTCCACAGCAACGCTCCGCTGGCAACAACTCTCAAACCAATCGAATTTATGAAGACCCGTTCCAACCTTGGAAAATTCTGTTTCACAATCACCCTTCGCATTAAAGCGGCGGTCAGAGAATCGTGACATCGCGAGCCCACCGATGATAGAGGATGACAGAAGATGGGTGAAGCAAGCGGGGATGATCATACTACCGTCGGCTACCTGATGACATAGTTTATTGTAAGGAGCTCAATTGCCGAATTCGAAGTCTGGGAGTATACCCTATCCCCAACGAGCATAGCTTGTTATTGGGACGCGCGAACCCCCTCTGTAGCACTGCAGAGCAAGATCACCTGATCTTGCTCTGAAAGCTTAGCGAAATATCAACACCTCCCTCGATCGTACTGTGCCATTCATTCCAGCATGGCAACTACGCGGGAAGAGAAGAAAAAGACTATTTCTACAGGTGAGATGTGACTTTTAGCTCGTTGGTCTGTTGATTCATCTCTTCCGAGAAGGAACGTTGAATCTGAGATTCATGCAGCGTGCAGCCGGTGGTGCTGAAACTCCGGCCCTGCAAAAGAAAGAGGTTGTTGATGAAGGATCGTGGGACATCGGGCCAGAAATGAGAAGGGCATTGGGCCTTGAGAAGTCGACTACCGATAAGTGAGGTTTCACTGTGCTGTAATGAACACAACATCTGTTACATTTTTTAACTTTTAGATCCGAAGGCACTTCGTCAGTATCGTATGAATCATCGTACATCCCCTTTGTTGGCTCCAGTGCATCTCAAGGACGGTCACGCTTTAACAAATATGGAGTCAGAAAGGTAAGCGCATCCCATTGGAAGGAAACGTGTCGAAAGATGGACTGCTTGACGCCAGAGCATCGGAACCGGAGAGGGGTCAGAGGCAAATAGCGATAATGAAGAAGACACGAAGGACAACGACCCTGGTAGTCCATCGAAGGATGAACCAAGTAGCCAATCCCCGGTTTCGCCTGGTGCGAAGGACATGTTTTTGCGGCCTGGGGGCATCGACGAACCAACTTCCGATTTACACAAAAGCAAAAGGCTCAAAGTTTCTACCGATGGGGGGAGTGGGCGCCGTCATGATGCTGGTGGTTCTCTGGATTCGAGACCCCGTTTAACGGGTGTATCAAGAGCATGGAAGGGAAGTCGGCCGAATGACAAGGGGTCCAGTGCAAAAGCTCAGCAGACGCTCCAGAAAGGGCGAAGTCGCGGGCCCGACACCACATAGCCTGGCAGCTGAGATTGGTGATCCTTCCGCGCGTGTCATTGCTCATGGAATGAATATGCCATCTATACCCGATAGATAATGATATTATAATGAATGGAAGATTAGGGCTGGAGCAGCTTCGGTCTCGAACAAATCATCGTAAATGAAAGTGGCGAATGACTGATACAGCTTCGGTCTCGAAGGCTATGTCGGAAGGCTATGTCGGAACTTTCCAGAAAGTCTAAAATTCGCACATATAGGGCGGGTGCCTAAACAAACACTCTGTTCCTCATTCCTTACATTCCTTATTCCCAAGCCTCAGTAACTTCGATCAGAGACTTTAGAGATATAGTATGTCGATGTCAGCAACCACTGCGAATTGGCATTGGAAGTCCAAAGCTGTCACTCCATGGGCTCGGTATGCAAATTCACGATGTATTGAGCCAACCGGAAGGGTGATGTTCCTCAATCGATACAGCAATTGGTTTGAGACAGAACTACCAACCGTCATTTTTACGACATCGGACGGTGCGGTCACCGCCGGAATCTCCAGCGTGAAAGATGTGGAAGGTGATGCAGAATTAGGAATGAGGTGAGTACCAAATCCTTTTCAAGCGCAACATAGTTCTGGAATCTAAAGATTCCCAGGAAGAGCAAGCTTATTACGATATTCGATGTCCGATTGGAGTTAGCTTGGACTGGTGGGTCTTTGGCGGCAACACGTATGGTATTTCTTCTCAATATGTCTTTAGCCACCCATACCGACGGATCGAAGATAAGCGGATCGTTAACTGTACCGGAAGTCTCTCATGAGGTTATCATCGATGGCTTAACAGACTATACCGTAAGCACCATCAATTCTTAATGGTTGCACACACACATGGATCAATTCACAGTACGATTGGTCGCTGGATAAGTCGGAGGAGGCCAGTGGGAACACTCCCGATGAAAAGTTGCTCTCGATTGTCAAAACTCAGTTGCCCCCTCTACTTTCGCGCAAGTTCGAAGAATTCCCGAAAGCTCTCGTAGACACTCATGGAAAAGACATTCTGGTAACCCTACGGGATCGGGGACTGCCACGCCCTCGACCGCCGCTCCATCTGGCTCGTCCATTACTCCTGCTACTGTTGCCGCTGCAACGACTGCTGCGAAGTTTTCTTCATCAACGCACCCCAAAGCTACCAAAGTCTTGAACAGCTCCACTGTCCGTGTTGAGGCTCAGTACATGGTTAGCGGCCAAGACCTGTTCTCCTTTCTGACAGACGAATCGAGGATACCACAGTGGTCAAGATCGCCTGCCATTGTAAGTTAGATTCCATGTGCGGGCATCAAGACCACTCAACCCGTGATTATAGTCGAAAGCCAAGGAAGGCACTGAGTATTCCCTCTTCGGAGGCGGTGTTGTAGGAAAATACCTCAAAGTTGATTCACCACGAAGCTTCACTCAGAGTTGGAGGTTAAGAGCTCCGTCATGGCCCGAAGGTGGGTCAGCTTTGAACTGGTCGGAAGCTTGTCACACTTATGTAGCTGACCAGATCATGAGGGAACACTGAAAGTGACGTTGGACCAGCAATCTGATTCCACGAAATTGGTGATGGAACTCTCAGGCGTCCCGAAGGGCCAAGAAGATGAGATCGAGAGGAATCTCTTGGGATACTAGTTGAGTCTTCTACGTACTTGGTTATCGGCCAATGTTCTCAAACTTGGAGTTTGCAACAGCATCAATTCTTTGAAGAGCATAGGGTATGTCCCTTTCAGTATTCATTCCTCCCAGAATTCGACACTACCCGAGCCTTCGCGTCCACTTAAAACCCACGTTCCGAAAGGACGAAAACGTGATGTTGGTGTTTCGCGTCGCAGCATTCCTCCACAATGTTTGTATGGAACTGTTGCAGTGCTCGTTGCTGTCGGGACATGGTTTTTTGGCAATACCCTTTTTGGGAAGAACCAAGATCGCTGACATCGGTGTTTCTGAACCTTATGCAGACTTGGAAGCGTGCTCTAATCATACTAATCAATGGGAAATTAGAGTGTGTTGTATGTGCATTAGCAGAATATCGAATACAAGCAGTGAACAATACCGATGTGGTTTTCCCGTCCCCCTCCACCTTGAAGGGCAATTGTTTACTGTCCCCCAATTCCGGCGTCGGTGCGTTACGACTGCCAAAGACGCGCCTCGAGATAGTAGTTGGAGCGTTCCCAACCCTCTTGTACAATCTCCAATCCCTTGGCTGATTTGAAATTTTCAGAAGGAACAGGAGGCGTTCCAACTTGCAAATTGAGTCGAGAAGCGGCGCGACAAACAAGTTGCCGCAGTTCGGAGGATGCGAACATATGTAATATCTCTGAAATACTTTTGGATCACTTGTTCGGAAAGGCTGTTCTTTCGTAGGAGAAGGTGAAGGCACACTTCCCTCCGAGGTGGCCAAGACCCAAGGGACTAGGACGTCTTGTCCCCTGGTATTATCAGGGTCCGAAATAGGCACCACACGCTTCGATAGCTGATCTTGTTCAACAGCCCATACATAGGTGAGAAGACGTCCTCCATTGGGCTTCAGAGCAAATATCAAAGCCTAATAGTCAAATCTATTTTTTAGCATCGGAATATAAATAATTCCAGAGCATTTACCACAATCGCTTCACATCGCCTTTCCTCAGTGGAAAAGTGATGTATGGTTGCGATAGAGATTGCGAAATCCTTTGACGCACTAAGCTTGTGGCGTCTCGTCGAAACCGAAACTCACGAATGATCCTCTTCTCCAACCGAGACCGAGGGCATCGCCCCAAACCACATCTCGGTATTTGTTACCAGCCCTCTGGGCGAATTGCAGCAGGCTCTTGCTGCGATCCATCCCGACGATACAAACCCTTCCTCCCTGATCCAGTGGGAGATATTTTCCATTACCTGTCCCAGAATCGAGTCCGATGGAGCCAGCCTCAATAGAGGCAAGAAATTTGGCAATCAGTGGCCAAGGTTTGTAACGAGTCTGAGAGAAATGGGAAGCTATCTCCTCGTATATTGCATGTACATATGTCTCTTCGTGCGAAATAGGTGACGATTCGATAGATATCGGTGTGAGGTTAGACATTGGCTCAAGGTGGCGGAGTTAAGCGTTCCTCGGTACCGAGAACTGCATTTGGCCCAACGGTGACAGACAATCGTTATTACTGCAGTCATGCAGCCAGTGGATACCATTCCTTTTGCGTCCGCTGACTCGTCGGAAGATGAAGAGGACGTGGGGCTTGAGAAAGAGCCTTCTGACGCGTTGAAGCGCCCACAATCGTATCGTTCAGAGAGCATGTACACCAAATTACTTCAACGTGGGCCGCCTGCAACTTATAAGCTGGGGGATGCTAAACTCATCGTCAGAGCTTATTGAAACCGTTCTTGAATACGAGTCTCACCTCTTCTCATCTGAGGAGCTTGACGTTTTGGAAAGATTGAACAATTTAACATGTGCGGCTGTTGGACGCGATCTCTCACTCCGTCTTAGCTGATTATTTTCATTTCCGAACCAATTCCCAAGATCACTCTCGATATCTCTTGGTTCGACTCTTGCTTAGGTCGCGTTGTAAGCTCCACCGTCTCAGTGATCTGGAAGAGAGGTATTCGTCGGAAATCAAGATCGCCGTGTCGAGTTGTATCGATGAACTCTGCCGTTATGTTGCGCCAGCGGGTGCTGCAGTACTCGAGGATTGTGAGCTTATTTTCCGAGAAATTTCATTAGCGCTGAATCAATCGTCAGCTTCAACATTATCAACCGACCCAGAAGTACTTGCGCCGAATTCTTCACGCGGCATAGATGGCATAGATGGTCAGCTAGACACACCGGGCGCTGGACCATGTCCTTCTATCGACAGACCGTCTCACTTTCTCGCGTTCGCTGAAGATGAATCTGCGCTCAGTACAGAAGAACTCGTGAGTTCCATAAGGACCTGGAGGATTCGCCTCTCCTGACTATCCAGCAGCTTAACAGTCTGAAACTTGATGAACTGAAACTTATTGGCTCGACAATGAAGATAACCAAGTTGTCAACGTCGGTCAGTGTGGTTATGACTCCAACAATATGAAGTAGTTCTGATTCGCTCTACGACTGCAGCGTAGGCCTTTAATAGCCTCCATATTACAACACGCAAGTCGGCAGACAACACTACCCTCCTTTTATACTAGAGCCCCAAAGGAATCCCTCCCTTCGCCACCTGCCTCAACAGAGCCACCCACAACTCCCGAACGACCACGCATTATCATCGATCTCATCACTCCACCGCCCAGTAGCGGATCAGAAAAATCACTTATCATTTCCCAGAAGTCCAGATTGAGGGACATGATCCTAGAAGTGGAAAGTAAGATGAATCTGATCACTGGCGTTACGTCACCTGAAGAACAAACATATAAATATAGAGCGATTTATTCGAATCTCGGAGCATATTTTCAAACTATTTGAGCGGTTTAATCTCGTATATTTCCGCTGCACGGAGATGTCATCTAATTCTCTTCTTCTCCCGTTGATCTTATCCAAGTCTAGAAGAAGGCATTATCCACCATGCGATGCTAAACGGACGCCAAACATATTTCGCAACAGAGACGCTTTGCTAAATTATGAGGAGGCCCTCCGCCTTGAAGAAGAAATGGACAACATTCTTGGCCACCCACTACTAGAAGGAGAGAAGCCTGTTACCCGCGTATTGCAGGCTAAGGCGCTGTATGATTCATTGCATGGAAAGTGGCAACAATTATGCAAGGACCAAAATGAAAGTGCTCAGGGGCCCTTCGCATTGGAACGTTTCGAAGAAGGTCATTACTTTTTGCTTCAAAGTTGTTCCACACTCAACCGTACTTTCCCAATATTATAGGTCATGTATTAACCAGAATAATGTACAAAGGTGCTGATGCTCTTGCTAAACTTCACATGTACGCGGAGGAAGCAGCATTGCTTACAGAGCTGCTCTCGCAAAAGCGATGGAGAAGAGGAAAACGGGGGTATGGGTTTCTTGGGGTGACAGCTGTAATATGTGTCTAATCGCTTGCATAAGACTTTGGTATGATCGACTGGCTTTGGTGTACATGAAGCATCAGTCGGAACCCCGGAAAGCTTTACAGGTTGTGGTTAACGGCCTTCAAGATCCTTGTACTCATATCGGTGAGGACTGTTGTAGCTGTTTCTGCTAATGTCCATCATTTATGCCTTGCCCTAGTATATCGTCCGCAACTAGAGCGGAGACTCGCCCGCCTTGAAAAGATGCTCAAGATCCCCAATACCGAGCGTCACGAATGTCTGGGAAAACAACGCAAAGCTAATGCGAGGAGAGTCTGTGGAAAGAGAATTCACGTTAACGATGACTCGAATCCTCTCGCGCCGGGACAAAACACTTTGTTGTCGGTGCTGGTACAACGGCGTGCTTCTCGCACTCCCCTCGGAAGGCCGGAAAAGACAAACATCATTGGAACACACAGTTTGTGGGTAGGAAAGAACGGCTCAACCGTACGGGTGGAACAACTTGCTCTTGAGCATTATGAAACACTGGGGTATAGAGGGTATAAGTCTTCGAATTGAAAACCAGATTCTGGCTGAAAATGCCTTGTGTCTCAGGTATCACTCGGAGGGCAGAATCATATACCACATGTTTCTGCTACTCTTCTGGTCAATCGTCTTCCAGCCTATTCCTGGCGCATTTGAAACTTTGTTTCAACGTGGACCGCTCGATCTTGGATTTGATTCTTTCTATCATGCTCGTCGGGATGAGATTGAGCAACGACTTCAAGATATTGAGAATGGAGAGGGGCCACGCATTGTGGCCGAAGTCGACGATCGAGAAAGGCCAATGCGGGCCTTTGGAGTGGGCGCGAAGTGGGATGCCTTCACAAAAGAAGATGTTGTTGATGCAGCCATGGTATGGCTAGTCTTAGATTCTTTCACATTGCAGCTAATGGGGTCCAGTGTATCGGTGGAACCGCCCTCTCTGTCATCTGTCGTGTTATCTGCGAAGACTATAGCCACCGTTCTTCAGGTGTGCCAGATCTTCTTGTGTGGAACATATCTTCGCAGAAAGCCCTCTTTGTGGAGGTCAAAGGTCCTGGTGATACTCTCATGGAAAATCAAAAGGTATAACAACGCTTTACCTATACGTCATGGATTCAAACGAGCATCATGACAGGTATGGATTGACGTTCTGATGCAAGCGGGGGCTTCTGTAGAAGTCTGCCACGTTGAAGAGGAAGGCATGGATTATCGACCATCGAAAAGCACAGCCAAAGCAAGCACCGGACACACGACGAAACCCAACGCAAAAATAACTGGCAGTGACGATCCTGCAAAGTGCGCGGCGACTGCTTTGGTGGGCAAAAATGGAGCGCCCTTAGTAACCACATGCGGTTCAACAGACGTGATATTTGTTCACGACAGCGACAGTGAAGTGGAGTCCGCACTGACGTTCCCTCGAAAGCGCTTCATCTCCGAATCTGCAAAAGGACATCTAGTTCCCCCTGATCAGTCAACTGCAAGCTCTAAAAAGCCACGGCTCAGCTCCGTGTCTTGATATCATCATCCAGCCCTCTGCCTCGCCATGGATGCGTTCCTCGCAGATCACTCGTTCCATTTGTGTTGCAATGCCGGTCTCGATCGGATGACTCGATCCGCAGCAGAGACGAAACAGGCCACTGTCATGAAACGCAGTGAGGTTTTATACAGCCTGCCTAATAAATATTCCAATTCTGGAAAGCTGACAACACTGTTATTCGGTTGTGTCAAACCAATCCGTCTACTTATCCTGTGTAGTGCGACATCACCCTGTATGTTAACTAGAAACAGGAACTTCGAGGAGCCCACAAACGTGTGTCCATGGGTCTCACTGCGTTGCAGTTGATCCTCGACTTCCGTTTCCGAAACCCGGTCATGGGTGTCGATTAAGGTGTCGCAGAAGCGTGTTTCTAGGCTTTCACCCATGTGTGCGCGCGATAACGATGGCTGTATCAGACTTAGACTGTGTACTGCATACAGCCCGCATTTCTCCAAACTTCGAGACTGACATGCATATCCCAGACACATGACTTGCCTTCGCGTTAGACCAGCAAGAACTTAAGTTCAGGTGCATACCTATCACGGTGCTCAGGGCTGAACAAAGCAGAGGTGACGTCACTGTGGCTGTTTGGGTACCCCTCTGAGGTGGGATTTCGGTATCTTTGGCATCGCATATCCAAGAACCAATGCATATAATAAGCTCTTCGGCCTCAGGATATTGTGCAAGTCCTAGTGCAGCATTCGTGTCTCCGAGAATCTTTCAGCTGGTGAGCAACCACATGTACCCCGGTTGGGCCGTTATCAATTCGATTGGGTCGAGCGGTCTATGAACATCGTTAACGTAGACGGGCTTCGATCTACCTCATGAAATCGATGAGGTGGTGAGTATGATATTCGCCATCTAGCGGAAGGGTAGCTATCTATTATGCTAAGTCGTGCCTTTGAGCTTCTCTCCATTCCTGAAATCCCCCTAATACCAGTCGCTTTATCTGGATTCTTCATCCCCCCCTATCGCTATTGTCTATCCTAACTTTGTAAACTCTTGCATTGCCATGACCTTATTCGCTACGAGCTGCCCTCCCGGATTATATTGGGGTGCAGCCGATGAAGGATCGGCCGGTCGGGGGGAGATCAAGGGTTGCAAACCGAACAGCCGTTTCTCCGTCTGAGGATTTCTAGGGTCGTTGTAATGGCCTGGGCAAGTTCTAACATTCTCTAGAGTGGAAACCGAACACAGACTTAATTCTTAGCTGGGCTTGTGCGAATCGTAGCTCACTTACGCACGGTGAATGCCCACGTATATAGAGACGTTCCTGTTGTCAATATGTTCAAACCAGGTCCACGATAAAGACGACCGCTAGACGAGCTGCTGCCAGCTCAGAAATTAGTTTTGAATCGCCTTAGAAGGGGAGGGCCAGGACAAACAGTGTTGATAGCATTGATACGGTGCTCAATCGGGATCGCATTATTACTTAGTTACAACAATCGTTACGACATACAAATGGCCAACGAATAGGACACACAAGTGGAGCACGTATATCGAGAAGGAATAAGTGGGACCTTGATGAACCGTAAACACCTCTATCTTTGGTGCTCTTGCAAGCAGCTACGATAGATAAATAGCCAGACGCTGACTATTGGGTTGAGGGAATGGATGCGAATGGACATGTGAAGTGTTTAAGACTATTTGGAGATCAACTAAGTGGCGACGAATCAACAGTATTATGAGAGAAGTCGAGGACGAAGCCTAGTCGTCTGCTATCGAGTCTGACAGGGACAGAATCAACTGAGCAGCACGTTGGGACTTTGGATACATTTTGTATTCGAATGGGGCAGGATGGCTTAGGAGATGTTAAGTATGGTGGTTGAACCCAGACGGGAAGCCATACCTAATAACACCGGAGGTGAACTTGGCCGCTGGTGTAATCTCGGCGCCGGATTGGTCCACAGCTTTCCGAATATTGAACGTTGCCAAAACTTGGGCAACAAAAAGAAATATTGTTGCAGACGACAACGGTAGGCCAGGGCAAATCCTGATGAACGACGTTAAGTCAACATTGTAGTCAATCCCATGTGATTTTGTTACCTTCGGCCAAATCCAAATGCCATAAGATGGGGATCTCTCGGAGGGTGCTCGCAATCGAAGCGGTCGGGATTAAACTCGAAGGGTTTATCGTAAACAGATTGATCATGCATCAGTGCCCTTGTTTTTGTTGGGGGTTAGTACAAATCTCGTAAGATTAGTCACGATCCCGTACCAAACGTTCGCTATGATCGTAGCACCCTCTGTGTTATGGTCAGCTACCAACTTCATGCGTTCTGGTGTAGAGCACTCACTAGGTATTAACATGCCGTTGTAGACATCATCTTCCATGACACGCCTTGGGGATCCTGATGGGCCATGTGAGGCTCCTTTCCACAATATTATGACATGCCAAATTGCACACCTATAGGCCCGGAAGGATTCCAGCTGTTTACAAGATACTTGTGAGGCGTAAATTCATTGGCTGTGATTGAAAAAACCGACCGTAAGACCTCCTTGACAATGCAATTCACATATGGAAGGTTGGGGCGATCCGCCAGTGTTGGAAGTCGGTTATTGCCAATCACCCTGTCAATTTCAGATTGCGCCTTAGATTGGAATTCTGGGTGAAGCGTCATTCCAAGAATGAAGGACATGAGGGAGGAGACTGTGGTGTCAGAGGCGGCTAAACATTGGTCGTGTAGGGTTAGGTGTCGTGCGGGAATTCTAATCAGCCAGAGAACCCACCACCGAATAGCGTCGCCGCATTCCTCTTGATAAAGTCTTCCTCATTCTTCGCCCCAGTGATGTGGCCTTCCCCGGCAAGAAGATTGTGTGTAAATGATATATCCGATATCCCAGCATCCTGCTCATGCTTGTAAGTTGAGTCAGTTTGGGGTTGGAGAAAACTGTAATTACCATGCTAGCTTTGACAGCCCGGAAGGGTTCTTCAAGCATTCGTGAGGAAACTGGACGGGCGCTACGAGCTACTCGGCGGAAGTGAGCTCCTGGTAGCCAGGCACTGTAAGATGTTAAAGACAGGGTTCATTATTTTTGGGATGTGATACTCACGGGACGTGCTTCACTGCGAAGAATAACCATCCACATGAACGAACTGGTTGGCTAGTCCCACAGAACTACTCACAAATTGGAAGAAAATCAACAAACCATCCGGCAGAAACACCTATGTTCCAATAGTGCATGCCCTCGCTGACGGTCTTCAGGAGTTCGCTCCCGTAAGATCGGGAAATTTTCCTTCCATAAGCCATCTCCAATGAGATAGACGCGGCGAGTCTTGCGTGGGACACTCAATAATTGGCGCCAGCATTATAGAGAAAGTCACATACTGTTTAACATGCTCGTCAAGCCGTAGAGGAGACTCCAACGCCTTCTGAAGAAACTCCGACATACAGCGCTCCTGTAACGGCGCATAGGCCCGAGTGGCGGAGGGGTTAAATGCATGATGCAGCAAGCGACGATTAATTTTAAGTTCTGAATTATAGGGAGTGAGGATGGTTGCCCAGCCGAATCCCATTCTGTATAAACGTGGCCGTGCGTAATCAACTATGTATGGATTACATTATCTCGTGGACTTACAAGTCGGCGGTCATGGTCAATTGAGGCCGATCAGAATACAATGTTGCCCGTTTCTCCAGCAGGTCCGTAACAACATTGTAGGAGTTTAGCACGACGAGTGACTGTCCGAAAATTTTGAGGTGAATTAAGTCGCCTTTGGGGACTCTCAGAACGGGCGCAACGCTTCAACGTATAAAGGATCGCTTACTTCGATATTGCTTTGACCACTCATGGTACTTGACGTATTGGTATTCTGAGGGCAAGTCTCGTGCATTTCCGATGATGGGGTCGCCGCGAGGTCCGGGTGGAAAGCGTACTCGTGGCTTGGATAAAGCAAGCTTTGGCCAAACAACGAAGGCAAGGAAATACCCAAAGAGGACGATCGACAGCAAGACGAGCACAGGGAAAGTACGGGAGGCTTCAGAAGGGGCAAACATGGTGAGATTCGGAGATATGAACATGGCACAGCTGCATGAAGCCTCGTGTCAGCAAAATTTTGGGCGACTACTGTGTCTAGTAGCAGAATATGGTCATAACACGTACGTCCGCAGTCGTCAGAAAGCAGCAGCAACAAGAAGATGAAAAGCCCACAGAGGGGATTATTCGGTGGAGTACCCATGACTGTACAGTGGGAAGGGCGTATTTATTCAGGTGGCTTCATCATGCGAACATCGTGAGACTTCAGTTGTGTTTTCCAACCGGCTTGGACCTCGTGTTAGCAATGAATCTCGGGTGGGGCCTGTCGCCAGCAACAGAACAGAGCCACAGCTTAAAGGACCAATGCCACCGGAAAAGGCGAATATCTCAAGCAAGAAAAGCCAGGCGGAGAGTGGAACAAAGTGGATCAGATCATGAGCGTTTCTGAAAGCTCGGAGGAAGGAAACATTCATTCGGCTGGGTCAATGATTGGGAGACGGAAGAAAGGCGCAGATCCACACATTGTGCACGTTGCTGCAGCCATAAATGTCAAGTATCCGGTCCATCGTATCAAATAACGCAAAGAGGAAACAGTGCACCAAACGGCTCGATCTTGCGAGATTATCACATTGAACACGTGCACCTCAATGAACCATTGATGACTGTCCATAAATTATGGCTGTGCGCTGCGAAACTACATCATGCATTAGAGAACAATATCTTTAGAACTGTTCGGGTATCCAAACAAATGTGAGAACAGAAGCCCAGAATGCACGATTAGCAAGGTGAGGCAGTGGTTCAGCAAAGTGGGAAAGAAGTTACTTGCCCGAATCTGATATGAGCCAGCCGCCTTTGTGAGGTATCGCACCCATTTGACGCTCGTGTAATTGTTTTTCTCGAAAACCTTCAAGAAACGCACATGCAATCCCGAAGCAGTAAACATGAGCACCTGGAAGTCAACATCGATAGGGGGTCTCGCCCATGGTTGCCGATTAGTAGTTGCCGTTAGTTCTGCCATTGCGTGCAATGTACATTCCGCCCCGCCCTGGAGCCGGGGTATCCTAAAAAGGATGGGAATCGTGAGTTTCCTTTGTCCTGCGGGATGACGAGCATGGGAACAAGGGCGGAATGTTAGAAGAAAGGACGCACTTCCAAACTATGACATTTTCTTCTGGCATGTACTTCCCCTTGCCAGTTGCGGCCTTCACGTCGACGGATGTAGTGTTAAGGGGTGTTGGAATCCTCAGAACAATCTCCGTGGCGCTCAATTTCGAATCAAAATTTGCCCGGACGTTCACTGTATACTCTACCCTGGATCTGCCATGCTCCACAACAATAGGTTGAACACGTAAAGGGAGGTTGACGTTGGTTGTCGACCGATACCTGTTGGAAACCCATCGTGAGAAACAAACGGTCAGCAAAGCATGCAATCAAGTACAAATAACCGTCAGACAACTCACCTCATAAGCTCGAATTCTCCATCCGGGGGAATGAAGCTTATGGTTCGGTCCACATCAAATTGGGTCAATCGTACGCATTGATGAAATTGGCAGTCATCCAGTTCAACGGCATTATCGCCAGCACTTCCACGCTCACTTTGGGGATCGAGTTAGGGGAGAATGTGGGTCGACACATAGGGTGGTGGACGTACCTCTTCTCCAAAACGATTTTGTCATTGAGGCCAAATTTACACTCTGGCTCGCCTGATAGGTATGCCCTCATCAATATCTGCCCATCGACATCCGCACGGAGCACGGTCCCTGTAGATGATAGGAGCCATCAGTTCTTCCATCTAGCGAAGGTACGCGTGGTTGGAAGACCTTTCGAACTCATCATCAGATTAACGTTCTCGATGACGTCTACAAATGCCTCATTCTTCCGGTATTTCACACCGGCTCGCCTCCAGCCCACGCTCCCTGTGGCTTGGGAAGTTATTTTTGACGAATCTTCTCTCTGGTTGTTTCGTTGGTGAGATTCAGGTTCAGCGAGGAAGATAGAATGGAGGCACTTACAACTGCCATTTCCGATTTGACACCCTCGGTAGTAATATACGACTTCAGCGTATCGACCTCGCTGTTTTGTGGGTATCCGAAGTCCAAAATTTCTGTGAACCATGGATGCCATCAACGCAGGATCAATTGGAAGATGAGATTGACCTTGCCATCAATAAGCTCGTAAATTAACACAAAATTATTTTTGACAGACTCTTCATCCAATTTCCCGAAATATGACCTCGCTATAGTGTTAAACCGATATATGAATTCGAAGACGAGGGCAGCGTTCGCATTGCGCCTAAGTTCCACAACGGTGTGAATATCACAGAAAAACCTAAGACCAGAATGCCAGATAGGCTGAACATACTTTGTAACAGCAAGTACGTAGACGTTGTTAACTCGAACATGGAAGAAACTGGTTGACCCGAGGGTGACTATTGGTGATCGCACATCGCTATTTGACACAACTTGTATACGGAACACATCGGCAATGGACCGCCTAATATGGCTTCCGCTTTAGGCGACCCGTAAGGGCACACGGTAACACTAGACAAACCTCAGGTCAGGTCGAAACAGTCGAGAAATAAGAACCTGCAGTCAACTCGAATTCAACGATTTACAGGCAATCGTCACTGAGAAACTCACCTCGCCCTTCTGGTTAAATATGAAGAACGCCTTTGGGATGCGTGGCTGAGTTAGCTACGGCTGGCCTTGGGAAGACCAGCTCCCTCACCGAGATCATCTCACAAGTGCCAGGTCACGAGCTGGTGACTGCGTGACAAAAGTCAATTAAATTTTCCCGTTCTCGCCCCAAACGCACTCCCAACTCAAATGACTCTGCAGGACCCAAATAGCCAAAAAGTAGAAGATCAGAGAAATCCTCACAAGGCTGAACGTTGGATCCCATTGAGGAATTCGAGTGCCACAGGTTCTTTTGCAAGCCCTTTGTTTTCCTCACCTTCCGTCCCGGTGAAGTAGAGCTACCAGGCACGAATGGATTTGCAGCGGTGTGTTTCATCTCATTGATTCGCAAGTAAATCTATTCGTTCCAACGTAAAGCCGCGGTGATCCAGCTGATGACGATTCGAAACCCCATTTCTTCTTCCCTTCACTCCTTCCGCGCATCTCAAACCATTCAGTGCGTTTTTGGAAGGAATTGCACGTCCCTATAAGTCGCACTTCTAGCGGAGATTGTGGCCGACACTGTCCTAGAGTTTTGTCACCCCCACGTTGTGCTACTGCGTGGTCAGGACCCCAGCCCAGTGGCAATTAACCTTGGACTTGCTGACGCTGATGATTTTCTCGATCCAGTGGGTTGGCTTAGACAGCAATTCTTCCATATATGGCACTTTGGGGTATTTTAGCCTTGAGTCTCGTACAATGGGGGCTTTCCACTGCCATTCCTGAGTGTAATGTGCCCCAACACACCCCTTGCTCCAAGTCGCATGCCAACATTGTGCATCTACCGAGATCTGGTACTTATCCGTATATCAAGATCCTCTGTTTCTGGCTTTCCTTGCCTGGCTCTAGGAAACGATCCCGTGGCCTTTGTCGACGCTGGAAACCCTCCTGGATCCTGGATCTCCCCGTGTTTCGGCGCCATACCGACCGGATTGGACCGGGAATCTGGACAGCGCCTCGGGTGATCGAACCCGCTCTTTGTTTTACCTCTTTTATAGAGGCGGGCGAAAAACGCAGCCTTTGTTGCGCTCCCAAGGAATGGTGTCGCACCATTTTAGACTGCGGATACTTCTGGCTTCCTGTCTCATTCTGGGTGACCTGAGTGGTGCTCGCAACATCTGGCTGTCACAGGAGCCATTCACAACCGACCGTTCTTAGGCTGGCTTAATGTCATCGGTGCTTCAAATGCACGTCGGCGTTGAGTTTCGGCGGTAAAAAAAAACATGTCCTTCTCCGAACCCAGTCATCTCATTAGCTGAAGAGTGCGTAAGGATTCGACCTTTGATTGGTTCAGTGCAGGAAGCTCAGGACGTGCGCCTCACCTTGTCACTCCCGAGATTCGAGATCGTGGTTCGGAGAGTTAATATTGTTAGCCTCCGTGAAGCAGTCTCATCTGTGTTCTGGCTCTGGTAAGTGCAGGTTTATCTTGACATTTGTGTTCCGCAACTCCGTGATGACGGATTTAGAGTCTGTGTGTAGACTGGCACGTGACATGTTCTGCAACGTCAGAAGGATTCAGCGCCCGGTCCATGTTTGAACACTGGGGTATCCTGGCTGAGATTTGAAGTGAAGTGGAGTAAGATGCATGTCGTTCAGCTTTGTACCTCGATTTTTGGGGGACACAAGGCGCCCGGTGATGTCCGATGTCACCTTTGCGATATGCTCGCTGGTGCACAGCCCAAACAACAATTCGAACAGCGGACCCAAAGTGGTTACCTAACCAAATGAATGCAAGCACCCGAGTTGATCCACTGTGCATCATGATCCGTTGTAAGACTGTCACCATGTCGATACGCCAGCAGTGCATCCTTGCTGGTGGCATTCATACGGCGAGTCCTATCATTAAGGTGTGACCTCCACGTTTGCGACCGGATGGCTCGTCTCTTTCCATAGCTGCGTTAGGCAGCCATTCTTGCGAAAAAAGATTGGTTCGGCACGATTGAGTTGGATTCCAATGGAGGATCAACTTTCCGCTCAAACCATGTGCACCGAGTCAAATCAATCGCACAACGCCGCACCTCTGTTCCCCCGGATCTCAGCCTCGACTGGATTACATAGTGCATCCCAGCCTCATAAGTAGAGCTACGACCAGGGGTCAAGTTTTGCTCCTCCATTGTGCTCTGGAACACGTCAAAATCGACAGCAGTAGTGAGTGATAATGATTTGGTGCTATGTGCCTCTTCATTTCTCAATTCCAGCAGGGTGATCTGGAAGATGTCATTTGGCGTGATTGTTTCGAACTCTAAGAGCTTTAGGTTCACAACATTCGACTTTGGCACATTTAAGATTACGAGGAGCAATAGTCTTTTCCCGCATTCTCCCAGTGAGGGAGTTAGAGATTTTTTCGAGTCAGACTACGAGGCCCCTCAAAATACCCGGTTACTTGCGATCCTCAGCCCAGATGAGAGACTTCCTTCCAGCAGCTCATTCCCTAAAGGTAAGCCATTCACCTCAATAGCGTTCTGGGAATATCAACATCCTCTTCCTTGCATCCGGGAATTCCGAATTGCACAGCCGATGCCGATTACGAGAGGCGGAATTCAGCAATGACCATCCCGTTGGAGTCGCGCGCCGGGATGAATGGAAGAAGTAATGACGTTGTGGATCAAAGGGTCTTGCGGACGAGATCCCTCTCTCACGACTTGCCAGAAATGTCACTGCGAAGCAGTCCGATGCCCCAACTGAAGCCTATCGCACCTCTTCGACTGCGTTCGCGGCGCGCTCGAGGACAATTGGGTGGAGAGGTTAATCCTCCAGAAGAATCATTCGCACCCTCTGTCACAGCCCGCGGACTTCAATCACGACGGCCAGCCGTCCTGGGGGGAATTCTTGAGGCACCTGCCCGAAGATTGTCGAGAGCCGAGTCGAGTCATCCCTTCATTTGACAAACGTCAGTTCCATCCCCAGATTGAATGGACATTTCCGTGAAGCGAGCGAACGTTTAACAACTTCGTCACATCAAAGGATGTGCAGGAACGTGATGGTGTGCAAGTTGAGACTGGCGCGCTGGCGGAAATCATTTTTGGCTTTGCGACGCTCTATGTGTTCAATTTTTCAATTGTTGCTGTGTCTTTCTTTCCATGAACTTCGATGGATACGCATATCAATTCCTACTTTACGAGTTGACGCATATTTCTTCTTGGTTCACAATATTGCAAGACCGTTAGCTCCATGTACGAGCCATAAGTTTCTCCTGTATCATTCGATGTGTTTCCAACCGCCCTATGTCATCGGCGCTACCCGTGGATATTCCAAAAAAGGCAAGAGAACCTTCTGGCACTTTCTGTGATTGAATTAGAACCGCCCCCGCGTCACCGGATGCAAACCACTTGCTCCCCATAAAAATCGAAGATGGCTGGGACTAACTTCCTCCAGATCTTGCCCTCTTGACTCGAGTCAACTTCAATCAGTACGTGTCTTTCCCTTCGCTCAACCTCGATTCGCTGTCGAAGTTACTTAACGAGCATCCATTCAGACTGTTACCCAGAGACCTTTAACTTCACTCACACCCATCAGCTCTTGAACAAAATGGCATCTGAAAGTTTTGGATTCCAAGCTGAAATCAGTCAGCTCTTGGACCTTATCATCAGTAAGCAGCTTTCCATCTCATAGCTGTGGCGTATCTCTAACAGCTGTCTTTTCTTCGGTTTCGACCCTTGCCGCGCGCTTATTGGTGCTATCAATTAGACACCTTCTACTCCAACAAGGAGATTTTCCTTCGCGAGTTGATTTCGAATTGTTCAGATGCTCTTGACAAGATTCGCTATTCCTCCCTTACCGATCCTACCGTCCTCGAGACTGAGCGTGAGCTGTACATCCGCATTACTCCAGACAAGGAGAACAAGCTCCTCCGTATTCGGGATACTGGTATCGGTATGACCAAAGTCGATCTTGTTAACAATCTCGGAACGATTGCCAAGTCGGGTACGAAGGCCTTCATGGAGGCCCTCAGCTCGGGTGCCGATATTTCTATGATTGGGCAATTCGGTGTCGGTTTTTACTCCGCCTATCTTGTTGCTGAACGAGTGCAGGTAATATCCAAACATAATGATGACGAGCAGTACATTTGGGAGTCATCTGCTGGTGGGACTTTCACCATCACTCCAGACACTGTCAACGAACCACTTGGACGTGGTACCGAATTGCGGCTCTATTTGAAGGAGGACCAGCTCGAGTATCTCGATGAGAAGAAGATTAAGGACATCGTCAAGAAGCACTCCGAATTCATCTCATATCCCATTCAACTTGTCGTCACCAAGGAGGTTGAGAAGGTTTGACCATCCTGACTTCATTCTGACACTGGCGTGTCGCTCATATTCGTTCCTTTTTAGGAAGTCGAGGATGAGGATGAAGAAGAGGAGTCTAAGACCGAGGACAAAATCGTCGAGGTTGAGGATGAGGAGGAAGGCAAGAAGAAGAAGACGAAGAAGGTCAAGGAGATCGAAACTGAGAACCAGGAGTTGAACAAGACCAAGCCGTTATGGACTCGCAGCCCCCAGGATATCACGCCTGATGAGTACGGTTCTTTCTACAAGAGCTTGACCAACGACTGGGAAGATCATCTTGCCGTGAAGCATTTCTCCGTTGAAGGTCAGCTGGAGTTCAAGGCAATTCTTTATGTTCCCAAGCGGTGAGTTGCTGCGTTCCCGGATTCTCCCTATTTCATTGATGACCATCGTCAAGTGCTCCGTTTGATCTCTTCGAGACCAAGAAGAAGCGTAACAACATCAAACTCTATGTGCGCCGCGTGTTCATCATGGACGACTGTGAGGAGCTCATTCCTGAGTACCTCAACTTTGTCCGTGGTATCGTCGACTCTGAGGATCTTCCTCTCAACATTTCTCGTGAGACGCTCCAACAAAACAAGATTCTCAAGGTTATCCGCAAGAACATTGTCAAGAAGTGCATGGATCTTTTCACCGAGATTTCCGAGGACAAAGACAACTTCACCAAATTCTATGAGGCGTTCGGCAAGAACATCAAGCTTGGTATTCATGAGGATGCTCAGAACCGCAGCAAACTCGCTGAGTTCTTGCGCTTCAACTCGACGAGGTCTGGTGAGGAGTCGACCAGCCTGAAAGGTCCGTCTTTGACAGTCCGTCACCATTCAGTTCATTAAAGACTCCCTCCAGACTATATCACCCGTATGCCCGAGGTTCAGAAATCAATTTACTACCTCACTGGCGAGTCCCTTACGAGCGTGCGTGACTCGCCATTCCTAGAAGTTCTTAAGAAGAAGGGTTTTGAAGTCCTCCTCCTCGTCGACCCCATTGACGAGTACGCCATCACTCAACTTAAAGAGTTTGACGGCAAGAAGCTCGTCTGTGTCAGTAAGGAAGGGCTGGAGCTCGAGGAGACCGAAGAGGAAAAGAAGGAACGCGAGTCAGAAGCTGCAAGCTTCGATGATCTCTGCAAAGCGATTAAAGATGCCCTAGGCGACAAGGTTGAGAAGGTTGTCATTTCCAATCGTATCGTCGACTCTCCGTGTGTGCTCGTTACTGGTCAATTCGGTTGGTCATCGAACATGGAGCGTATTATGAAGGCACAGGCTCTTCGTGATAGCTCGATGTCGTCGTACATGGCTTCGAAGAAGACTCTTGAACTCAACCCGCACAATGCTATCATCAAGGAGTTGAAGAAAAAAGTTGTTGAGGACAAGGCCGACAAGTCCGTTCGCGACTTGACCTACCTCTTGTTCGAGACTGCCCTTCTCACGTCTGGATTCGTTTTGGAGGAGCCAACCAGCTTCGCCAAACGTATTTACCGCATGATTTCTCTCGGCTTGGATGTCGATGAGGAGGAAGAGGTTCCAGCTGTTCAGGGCAGCGAGACCGAGGCTCCACCAGCACCGGAAGCTGCTGGTGCCAGCGCCATGGAGGAAATGTAAGTTGCTGGTGTTTGCGTCCCAAAGTTTGATTGACGTGGCTCACCTTGATCTTCAGTGATTAATATTCTATTCTTGCCGAACTTGACTACCTCTGACCCCCCCGCGTAACTCTGGTGTTTTGGCTCCTAGAGTTTAGACCTCCCTTTCATCACCCATCCCGCTCTTTTTGTGCATGCTCCCCGTGCCTCATTTTTTCCCCTTGGTCTCTGCATCAAAAGATTCACAGTATTAGCATCATATATTTGATTACATGATTGAACGAATTACACAAAATATGCGAGCTGCAGGATGCAAGTTGCACAGACACGTCTGCTTACCTCTACGGGCTGGCATTGCCTTGAGTTTGGCCCTATACCGCAAAAGCCCAGGTACTAATTGGGCGCGCAAGCTTAGCCATATGGCAAATCCAAGTATAGTGCCAGGGATGAAAACTCGATAGTCCCTGGTGGTCGTTGGGGGGGTGGGACATGGGCGTCAAAGCTTTCTAAAGGGCCCATGTCAAGGAGCGTATCGGAATGACAGGAATCCACATCTCTTTCTTTGAACATTTCGAAAATGAGATGATAGTGATGACGTCGTCGACATTTCACAGTTGGTTCGCAAAAGACCCCCATTGAGATAACACGACCGTCCGAGGACAATTGTCCGGATAGAGGGGCCATACTTCTGAGGTGTCAGAGAAGGACCCAAATATGCGGGGTACTATGAGACTTGGATAGCATTTTTCCACGACCTTGAGACAAGGAAAATCGAGCACAGCAAAAGCGGCACGCCGCTTAATGTCATCTATCCGCGTCCACGATGATGGGTACTTGGACGATGGTAGGGTGCGGTGAAATAGAGGGTTCCTTTCCCCCAGAGAGAACTTCTGCTGATAGTGGACTCTGTGGGAATGGACAGAGTCACTCGTTGTACCTGCTTACAGGAGATGGAGACGTGAGCAAGGGTGGGAGGGTGGAAATGGCAACGCACTCATCATAACCGAGAACCGGGCGAGGAACAAACCACCAACAGGCCGAGGGAATGAACCGGACAACCTGAAAGTAGCGATCTACTCAATATGTTCAGAAGTACGAAACTGAAGATTAGCGCAGCTTCACGATGCTGGTAATCGGCGCTTAAATCTCAATCGAATCCGGGCATGACCACTTGTATATTCATCCTACCACAGGATATATTCTCACGTAGCCGCCTTCATGAGCACTCATGGTGGCCTCTGCCTGGGCGAAGTTCTTCACCCACTTGCCGGACAGTCAAAATCATTGGAGAATGTTTTGGATACGACAGACTCTATCACCCTGGTCGCATCACCCATACTAGGCACTGTCCCGAAATGGCTAGCTGCTATTAGTGTTCGTGCACTCGCAAACAAACTGTGCTAGCTGGTACCCGTGCTTCCTCGGATCGCCCTTAGGTTCTTCGCAAACCCTCGCCAAGCAGCATTTCTCTTGCGGAGCCGCACCAATCCATCCACCATCTCGGAAGTCGGCCTTAATAAAGGGAATATCGGTGGGACTTGACATGCCAATAAGCTCGGGTACATCCCAGGACTCCTGCCTCTATGACTTCATATGTAATATTAGATAGGTGTCTGAATCCTCCCGCAAATCCTCTTCCAGGGAATGTTTCCGTGGACGATCGACAGGCGAGCAATGTCATGCGGCGTTCCAATCTTAATTGACGTGCTGATCCTTTGAAGGATGACCCTCTGCATGATTTTGGGACTTGCACGTTGCTAACAGCTTGCTATACCGCTGAGCACTGCCTTCTGGCTGAGGACAGGAGTACCAGCTTGTTTGTCTTCAATTTGCTGCCATATTTAGCACTAGGCGCCGCTGTATACAGGCAGTCCAGCTTTATAGATAGATGAAGGATTATCCGGGTACTCTGGATGAGCCCGATCACCTTGCGGCTTACTTATTCCTTCCTTGTTTGTTAATCATATATGGGACGATCGAATCCTTCTATATATTGGATACTTTCTCATATCCATTATCCCTCGTTTAATGTGTATCATCTCTTCCCCGTTGGTGTGGCTCTTGCGATCATCTGGCTATCCAGCAGAAGAACAAGGAAGTTACCTTATCCTCCTGGTCCCAAAGGCTATCCAATCATCGAAAATGCTGTCGAAGTCGAAGTGTCTATTTTATCAGAAGTTGAAAGAAAAATATGACTTGTACCTTACGCCATTGATTTCAACTCTTGTGGAGGAACTATTATAACGTATAGGGGACATTGTTTATTTGTCCGCCATGGTCATGACAAAAGAACACAGAAACCAAATCTGTCATTTCAATTTGTCGAACCCGCGCGCAGTGGTGGCGGAGTTTGTGAAGAAATTCACCAGCGCCCATCCTTATGGCATCACCCCTGCGTGATTGGGCACAAAGCACGCTAGGCATTAATGAATATAATTCAGTACTGTCCGACCGGGGTTACACAAGCCGGCCGAATGGTTTGCTGGACAGTGAGTGAAACTCTTTCGCCAGGGAATCCGCTAGGTCTTTTATCTCAATTCGATCCCTAGCTATGCGGCTCGATTGCCAATAAAAAAAAAATCGGTATGTCTAATTGATTGAAATAGTATGTCAAGCATCCCAGCGGGCTGGCTAAGGACCCCCGCGCGCAAGCTTGTATGAATCCCAGTAGGCAGTTTCCCAGATTTTGACCCGAAAAAAGCCCGAACTTCGAGAAATTTCCGAGATTTCAGCCCCCAAATCTTGCATCGTTGTAGGATCGTTGCGAACAAAATTTTGTCAACTATCGTGTCATTTCACAGACTGTCCACTTTTGGTTCCACGAGGGCTTGATAGCGTGGGGTCATCAATTTTTTTTCTTTTAACTTCTGATAATGCAGCCATGGATGAGGTGCCTCAAGTCCAGTAGCATTCGATCCCAGCGCGCGCGCCGCATAATTATTTGAACGGGAAAATTAATATGGAGTGCCATAAAAGGGATTTATCTGGCATCCCGGGCCCATGATCCCATGATGAAGCAAACGGGGAACGAAAGTCCAGGTGAATGGCCGCGGCACGTACCGGGCTCATACGTAAAATGCCGGCCTAGCTTTCATGAGTTTAGACTCCATGCCCCTGGAAGGCAGGTGCTTACTTAATTCGCATCACGCATACCCTGGAAGCCAGCGTGGCTGGGTGGCGTGGTAATACTTTGATCAGCCCAGGAAGCACTGGCTATCGACAGTGCTCCAAATTGGTGCCCATATACATAGAGAGACAACCTTCCAACCGGCTAGCTGCAGAGAATCCCTTCCGCGTACGTTTGTCAAGACATCACTGGTGGCTTGCAGCATGGATCCATTTATTCCGGTCTAGATTATGACATCTAACAATCTTTTCCTGATGTTAGGTCACGGTGAACGCCCACTAACTTCACGAGTCCACTGCTTTTGGATGCAGACACTAATCAGACAATCGGATTTCGGACCTTTGTGGCTCGTCTGTGCGGCACCAATGGGACGTCTACGGTGTAACTGGGCCTGGTTTGCTGTACCGAATGTCATATGCAACAACGGAGAATGTCCAGTACTGTGCACATGGAAGAAGGGTTTTTGAAAGTTGTAAATCTGCCGAAGAAGCTTGACCCTGGCTGTGATGCCGTGGATATCCCTAGATGATGCAAAAATGCCCAGACAGCAGCCATAAGTTTGCGCAGTTTCGAAGGGCACTGGGCAGGCAAACGCGTCAAGAGATACAAGGGAAAGAATTGCAGAGTGAAGGTTTGGACAAAAACTATCCCAAAGTTTGATAAGCACAGCTATATCGTAATGTATTGACAGAAGTGAACACCCTTGTGGCTTTCAATACGAACTGCGCAAAGAAATGTTCACGTTGCAAGACGTAACTCCTCGTTTGTCATGTCTCATCCAATCAGTTCTACGGATTGCTGCAATTTGAGTGCAGAAAGGTTGGATTCGGACCACAAGCAGGTAGTTGACCGCGAACATACTCGAAGGTGTTCAAGACTGGAGGCAACCTGACGAAGTGGAGGACCAAGTCATATGAAGTATCCCGGAGCCCAGGGCAAGGATGGTATCGGAACGACAGGAAAGAGGCTGAGGCAAGGGTTGATCCATATCTCTTTCTTTGAATATTAATATTTCGAAAATGACATGATAGTACCCATATACTTCAAGGCCGCGCAATCCTGTGCATGCATCGAGGCATCGACAAAGTAGTCGATGTTCCTTGGTTAGTTCTTAGCTAGCTGAGGAGGGATAAATAATTGTTCGGACAGATGGGCCATACTTCTGAAGTGTCAGAAAGAGGACCCAAATATGCACGGGTGCATACTAGGTGATGGAGGAGAGTGGGACTTGGACAGTGCGTTTCTACGACCCTGATTCATGTCATGTCTCCGTGCATACGATGGTGGGGTGTGACGAAATGGAGTATTATAGAGAGGACTTCTACTGATACTAAAAAAAATAGTGGGGGGCTCTGTGGTGATGGACAGAGTCGGTCGTTGTACCTGCTCAGAGGAAATAGAGACGTGAGCAAGAATGGGGAGGGTGAGAATGGCAATGCACTCATCATTACCAAGGCCGGACATATCAGATTCTTTCAGGAGGAACAAACCAGGTAATGAACTGAACGGCCTGAGAGCAATAACCAGCTGGGTAATCGGCGCTTAAATTTTACTTATTTTACTTGAAAGCAACGGCTGCCGTGACGCGTGACAGGATGGTCGACTCATCCACTCGCATCGCGTAACTCGTCCTACTTACCATTCGATTGGCGGGGCTTCAGGACTCCCATACTACTAATATTAGAGGCTAGTCACCTGCCTACTGCCATACCAAAAAGGTGGCGTCCACAGCGAAGTTCTCCGGGCGGAATAGCCTTGAAGAATGTTTGGCCGAGCTTTCGGGCCACATGTTTTTAATGTCCGGTTTGATACGACAATGCCACTCTAGCTAGCCTCATCACCCATATGGGGCAAATGCCCTTGAAGCGTGCACTCGTGAATAAACGGTGCTAGCTAGTGCTTCAACCTCGGATCAATGACCACAACCCGATACTAGGCATCGGTTTCTGGCAAATCTTGCCAGGCGACGTCTCTCTTGCTCAACGGCACAACTGATAATCAGGGCCATTTGGGACTTGGCATATTTTTAAAATGTAAAAGGGCTACGGCGCGTTAAACTGCACCAATAAATACATTTAGAACGATTCTCAAAACGATAAAGGAAATTCCCACCTCAGACTTGTACGAGAGATCTGAGGGAGAGGGAGTGAAAAATCTGCTCTCTTTATACCCGAATACGCCAGGGGCGACTACGCCGTATAATAAAGAGAATGAGGGTCTCAACCCCAATAATTGTGGTGATATTAGAATAATTACAATGTCCATCGCTGTCAATATTGACAGTCGGATGACCGACTCTCCAACATAATAAGTACGAGGACGTTCGTGCCTCACTGGGGGTGTTTTTGAACCTTCCGTAAATCCTCTTCCATAGAGATAAGGGGGCTGCACGTTGCTGAGTTACTATACTGCTGAGCCACTGGGTTATTGCCATGGGCATGGAGCAAGTGGAACAGGAATACCAGCTTGTCGGCAGGGTATCCGACCCTGTCCAGTTGATGGGCTTATTCGGGCACTCCGTATGAGCCCGATCATTAACTAGATCGACTTTGGTCCTTTACTCGCTTGATAATCATATATCCAGCGCACGGGACGAATCCCTCTATATATTAGACCGTTGGGTACTTTTCCATCCTAACCCCTCGCTTAGGATGTATCATCTCTTCCTCCTTGGTGCGACTCTTGCTATCATCTGGCTATTCCAGCAGAAGAACAAAAGCAAGTTACCCCTTCCCCCCGGTCCTAGTGGCTATCCAATCATCGGGAATGCTGCCGAACTCGAAGTATCTTATTCATGGCTGTATTATCAGAAATTAAAAGAAAAATATGGCACGTACCTTACGCCATTGGTTTAAACTCTTGTGATAGAGCCGAAAGGGATTAACGTATAGGGGACGTTGTCTATTTGTCCGCCATGGGACAACCCATGCTCATTTTGAACTCTCGCAAAGCCATTCAAGATCTTGTCATCAATAAAGCTGCGATATTTGCCAATCGTCCCAAATTGACGATGGCCGGCGAACTGTAAGAGAATATATGTCCTTTTCTTGACCGTCCTGTTGAGCGCCTACGTTTCGCAGGGTTGGCTGGGAGAAAATTATTGGACTGACTAATCAGGGCCATCGGTTCACACAGATGCGCAAGTTAGCCAACCAATACCTAGGGAAGTCCGCCATGCAAAACTTTCTCCCGGTAATTGAAAAATCAGTGCACGAGTTTTTGGGGCCATGCTGGGCATCGCCAGGCAGCTTTGAGAAAATCTTCAAGTTGTGCGTACCTCTTTCCCTTTGTCATGTGTTTCGTCTCAACAGTTCCGCATTAAGCACCGTGTCGAAGATTATACTTGAGTCTCTGTATGGGATTACTCCTAAGTCACCTGAAGACCAGGTCTGTATAATTCCTACTTATTTCGTTAAGGTTCTAACACTTGGTTGTCGATGAATCAAGTTCGTCAAACTGTTGAGCGGCGCGGCGCATATTTTCGGTGATTCGAGCCAGCCCGGAGCGTTCCTTGTCGACACATTTCCCATATGTGAGATTTAACAGGAATAAGACTGCTACCGTGTACACTAATCAAGTTTCAGTAAAGCATGTTCCATCTTGGTTCCCATTCGCTGGATTCAAACGTCAAGCAAAGATTTGGGCCAAGTCCGTTCACGACTACGTGGAATTACCATTCAAAACAACGGAGAGAGATGTTGTATGTCGTCTCACACCTTTCTCCCACTTCCCGTAGTAATGATTAATGCCTGCTCTTCAGCTTGAAGGAGCAAGCAACACGTCCTTTACGGCCAACATCCTGAGGGATATAGGGTTAGGAGTAGATCACGAAGATCTCAAATTCCTCTCAGCAGCTCTCGGTAAGTCTCCCTCCGATATCTTCGTCAAGATACACACAGTATTCCTCTTCCCAACCCTTCCAGCGGGTGGTTCTGTGGACACTACGGCATCTACAATTGGGACTTTCATCCGCGCTATGATCCTTAATCCAGAGGCCCAGAAGCGGGCCCGACAAGAGATTGAATTTGTGATAGGATGTAGTAGATTACCTACATTTTCTGAGTCAGTACCGATTCTTTTTCTCTATGTCTAAGTTTCTGATTGGCCAACTCGATGCTACTTTTTTCAAGCCGAGAGAGCCTTCCATACGTTGAAGCTATCTTGAAAGAAACATTACGATGGCAGCCCATCGTGCCAACTGCCATCCCGTACCGATCTTCGGAGGACGTTGAATATGAGGGTAAGTGTGGCTACAAATACGGTAAGGTTGGGGCTAATCTAGTAGCGCGGCAAAAAAGGATACTTAATCCCAAAGGTAAGCCTCTCCACTGCGCCGTTGGAGTATTAACCCCTCGCACAACTCGATAGAACACAATTGTTATCGCGAACTCCTGGTACGCGCAAGCTATGTTAGGAATAATTGCTCTACTTACGACCCTGCAGGCATATAACGCGAGATGAGACCCTGCATCGTGACCCAGAATCCTTCATTCCTGAACGTTTCTTGGACTCTCCCACCTTCCAATTCGCCGCTGAAGATGGAAAGACACCACTTGATCCTACGACATATGCCTTTGGGTACGGGCGAAGGTGCAACACGCTTATTCCTAAGTTTTGACGATCACAAGTCTAAGATTTGCCCATCCAACTAGGAAATGTCCTGGGATGTACTTTGCCGATTCGATGCTCTGGTTCACCATCGTTACGCTTCTCGCTACAACTCGTATTTTGCCTGCAAAAGATTCGAGTGGGAAGGATATCTTGCCGACGATGGAATATACAGGAGGGATGGTCCGGTATGTGCAACATTGTCGAATCAACATGACAGATGCCTAATACCTTGATAGGGAGATTCTTCCAACGCCGTATCATCTTGAACCACTTTCTGCCAAGCATGCGACAATTGTATCGGATTTAGTCACTCCCGCCGAGTAAGATGTAATCCCATGAGACGAAGTGCATTGTTTTTTTTTTGGTTTTGTTTTCGAATCTCTTGTTCGTTGTCACGTGGCAGTGCGGCTATGGACCCTTCTCACCACATCGTCAATACATGATGGGTTTTCTGGTCGGTGTAGTCGGGTGTGGGGGATCCGCGTGTTGGATAATGTCAGGTGGGATGTGTCCCGCCCAGCTCCGCCCAGCTCCTCCCTTCTCTCCTGGTTGCTGTCCGTCCTTGGTGCGTGGTGGGGTTGGCTTCCGGGGTCGGTCGCACGGGATTTCTTGAGGAATTGATCCAGTCTCAGAATGCCCCCATGAGGGCGCTGAACCTGGTTTGGGAGCCACGGTTCAGTATATGTCTGCATTTCTTGAACTTCGGACACACCTGTAAGATATGTTCTCTTGTTTGGGTCTCAAGTGCGCAGGCACACTCTGTCTCCTGCGTGAGGGTGCTCGCCGATGTGGGCGCGGCCGGTGCAGAACTGGAATAACTCTGCTAAAGGTTTTGCGGTTTGCTGTGTGGAAGCATGGGCTGCGCGGGTTTGGTGAGATTGTCCATCGGTCCCTCCAGGCCTCAAGCACGCTGCAAGCGATATTATCTTCCCATTGTTGGTATCTATTTGTGGCCCTCTTATGATGTCATTCCTCCGTGATCAGACGCAAGGGACACTGGGCATTAAGGTTGCCCACAAGCGGCAGCCCACCTAGGAGGAATCGGTTTAGTGCTGTCCGGGGGTCACGCAAGGCGGCCGAATGCCTTTCCGGACAGTGAATCAAAGTCCTTGGTGGGGTGAAGGCGTGGCTGCGCTCGTAGTGCGGTCTGAGCTGCTTGGGGTCCGTGATTCGAGTTGCCCATGAAAACCGCTGAGATATGAAAAAAGGATATTCGGACGGAAGGACAGACCTTCAGTGGGCTGAGTGGGCGTTCGTCTCACGAGTGGAGAAGAGCGTCATGGGGTCAGAGTGATTGTCGGATACTTGGGCCGGGAGATAATGCTCCTAGTTCCTAGTGTTGTCCGAAACTATTGACAGGAGTGGAAAGATCCCCTCTGGTTAGCTGATTGGGAATTCGCCTTTGCCTCGCCGCCGGTTCTATGTCGATTTGGAGTACCATCGATACGCTTCCTAGCGTGTTGCCATGCGGCCATATGCTGGCTTTCGGGAGACGCCTGATGCGAAGCAAGCCCTTCAGGGGCGGAACTAATCCAATCTCTTATTCAGGGAATTCGAAGACCAGCCTCGTGGGTTATCCGGGTTTTGAGTATATGCGCCCCGGGATCATGTGGCCATCATAGATAGAAGGACAGATCCCTCCATATATTGGGCCTCTGCTCTCCAGCTCCCAGTACCCCCTCGTTCGAGATGTACCATCTCTTGTTCCTCGGTTTGGGCTTTGCTATCTTCTGGCTATTCCAACAGACAAACAAAAGGAAGTTACCTTATCCTCCTGGTCCTAAAGGCTATCCAATCATCGGAAATGCTGCCGAACTTGAGGTATCCCATTCATGGCTGTATTATCAGAAATTGAAAGAAAAATATGGCACGTACCCTACACTATTGGTTGAAGCCTTCTAATAGGAGACTAATGTATAGGGGACATTGTGTATTTGTCCGCCATGGGACAACCCATACTCATTTTGAATTCTCGCAAGGCGATTCAAGATCTCGTCATCAACAAAGCTGCGATATTTGCCAATCGTCCTAAATTGACGATGTGCGGCGAACTGTAAGAGGATATGCATTTCCTTGGCTGTTAAAGAGCGCTTACACTTCGCACTAGGGTTGGCTGGGAGAAAACTTTTGGGCTGGCCAACCAAGGTAGTCGATTTACATGGATGCGGAAATCAGCCAATCATCACCTCGGGAAGTCTGCCGTCCAAGGCTTCCTTCCGGTGATTGAAAAATCGGTGCACAAGCTTTTGGGACCATGCTGGGCAGTGCCGCACAGCTTCGACAGCATTTTCAAATTGTGAGGCCATCTTTTCCCTTGTACTATGGATTCTGTCTCAATGGTTCTGTATTAAGCACGGTGTCGAAGATTATGCTTGAATCACTGTATGGGATTGCCCCTACATCCCCTGAAGACCCCGTCAGTATATTTCCCATTTACCACCTTGCAATTTTAACACTCGGCTACTCATGAATCAAGTTCGTCAAAATGATGGGCAGCGCGGCCTCTACTTTCGGCGAAGCAAGCCAGCCTGGAGCCTTCCTCATTGACGCATTCCCCACATGTGAGATTCAACTGGAACACTCTTCTACCATATATATTAATCGGGTTTCAGTGAAGTACGTTCCATCTTGGTTCCCGTTCGCTGGTTTCAAACGTCAAGCAAAGATTTGGGCCAAGATTGCCCACGATTCTCAGGAATTACCATTCAAAGTAACCAAGCAAGATGTTGTACGTCGCCTCACTTGAGTCGCCTCGCTTCCCACAGTGATATTCCTACATGACAATACCTGCCCTCCAGCTGGAAGGCGCAAACAATACATCCTTCACAGCCAACATCTTGAGAAGTATAGGGTTGGAAGCGGATCACGAAGACCTCAAGAGTCTCTCGGCAGCTCTTGGTAAATCGCTTTCTTCGGAATGCCCGGGTTCATTTTCACGCCTTTCCAGTGGTTGCCTCTGTGGACACTACTGCGACTACTGTTGGGACTTTCATCCGCGCTATGATCCTTAATCCAGAGGCTCAGAAGCGGGCCCAACAGGAGATCGAAGCTGTAATCGGACGCCATAGATTGCCTACATTTTCGGAGTCAGCACCGATCCCACTTCTCCACGTATAGGTTTCTAATTCGTTAATTCAAGCCGAGAGTATCTTCCGTACGTCGAAGCTGTGTTGAAAGAAACATTGCGATGGCAGCCTGCGGTGCCGCCTTCCCTCCCATACCGATCTTCAGAGAGCGTTGAATATGAGGGTAAGTGGCCACGATGATAACAGGGTTGGTATTGACCTAGTAGTGCTGCAAAAAAGGGTACTTTATCCCTAAGGTAAGCTTTCTAGCTGTTCTATTGCGTGGATCGACGAGCATTGACCCCTCGTGCCCATGATAGGATACAACTGTCATCGCCAACTCCTGGTACGCGCAAACAGTTTTGGGAATACTTGCTCCACTTATATCCCTGCAGGCACATAACGCGAGACGAGGAGCTGTACCCCGACTCAGAATCCTTCATTCCTGAACGCTTCTTGGATCCTCCCACCTTCCAATTCACCGTTAGGGATGGAAAGCCACCACTTGATCCTACAACATATGCCTTTGGGTACGGACGAAGGTGGAGCACTCTTATTCTTAAGTGTTGACAATCACAACTCTAAGATCTGTCCGTTCTGCCTAGGAAATGCCCCGGAATCTACTTTGCGGATTCGATGGTCTGGTTCACCATTGTTACGCTTCTCGCTACAACTCGTGTCATTCCAGCAAAGGATTCGGATGGGAAGGATATCCTGCCGACCGCAGAATATACTGGAGGGATGGTCCGGTAGGTGTAATCCTAGTTGTCCAATTGGCATGATGAATCCTTACTAATTTGTTATCAAAACGATTGATAGGGAAATCCTTCCAACGCCATATCATCTCGAGCCACTTTCTGCCCAGCATGCGGCGATTGTATCGGATCTGGTTATTCCTACCGAGTGAGACGTACTTGACTGCATGATCCCCATGCTCCGCACGTGTACTTGCTCCAACGAGACGAAAGTATTTGTATTCTGGACCCTTATGACGTCACCCCTGCATGAGTATAACACCAGGAATTAAGGCGCGTTCCCCACAGTGGTGACTCGGGTCTTGACCCGGGAAGAACAGTCTGTAGCACCTGTTCGATGGAAAATGCTTCGAGTCTGTGAAGTCCATTCATTCCTGCATCGATGTTTGCTTGGGTTGCCCATGAAAGCTGCTGGCGCATCAAAAGGTTATTCGGATCGAGTGAAGAATAGACCTTGTCAGTTTTTTTTCGAATCGGCAAGGCCATGCATCCCCCTTTGCATGATACCTATGTGGTTGAGGGGCAGGAGATTGTTGGACATCAGGACCAGGAGAGATAGTCAGCATAGTACGGCTACAGGCCAGCGTTGCCCTAAAAAGATTGGAGGTCGGATTCTCTGTGGTCAGTTGACCGGAAGTCCTTCGTTACCTCGCGGCGCGGTTTCGGCCATGCTGATTCGGAGCACGGTCATTAGAGAGCGGGCGTTTCCTGAGCAGATCACCACGCCGCACGCTAGCTCCTAGGGCGCGCGTAACTTTTCGGAGTGAGCACCTCCCTCCAGGGGAATGGAGTTGTACACATTCGGTAGTCTTCTTCGCGAGGTTCAAAGACTAACCTGATATATGGAGGGCCGTTCCGGTAGTTCGTATGAGCTCACCATGTGGTCATTCGGACATTGTGGGCTAGGCTTTTGGTTTGCTTATCCATCATCGACCCTTCGTGCAGAGAGCATCCCTCTATATCGGGCCAACCTCCTGACACACCATATCTCCTCATTTCAGATGTATATAGCGGCGTGCCATTGGCACTCCATCAAGTTCTTGGGTGGCTTTTGTCATCATTTAGCTATTCCACCTTATCCTCCTGGCCCAAAAGGTTACTGAGCGCGCTTGAAGTATCCCATTCATGACTACATTGTCAAAAGTTGAAAGAAAAATATGGCACATACGTGCGTACACCCCAAGGGACATGATACAACGGACAAGGGGGAGACTGATATAGGAAAAAATCAGGCATTTGATGTTGGAATACAGACAATGGCCATGGAAGGCATTGCTCCCTTCCATTGCGAATTTGGAAGAGCAAGGAGACTCTTCACTTGATTTCTTGTAAGTAATTTCATCGATTTAATTTTTTTTGAATATCCGAGACGACTTTCAGCGTCTGAGTCGGTCACTTTGCCGACATCAAGTGATGACAGAAAGTCATCAAATCCCATAACTTCGGGCTCGCCAGCTTCGGAAGCATAATATGCAAAAGCACGGTGCACACATGGACGGCTTGACGGCGAATTTTCTCCCCACGGTGGGCCATTCATCACAAGTGTCCAACCAGTCGGTGAAAGTGTGTGATTGACAATCCTAGCAGGCATCAGAACTGGAATCGTGGAATTATCCACGGTGGCCAGGGTTGACCCAATGATGCAACTCCACTCTCCGTTCCGAAACGAATGTGACCGAATAAAAATGCGAAATGGGGGCGGATGAGACGCCTGGACCTTATAAAGTCTCAAAAGCTCGTAGCAACTGGCTGTGCCCCACGTTGTGTGGGCTCGGCGGAAGGCAACGTCCGCGGCGACCGACTTACAGTCGCACATCTTCTCGTATCGAAGTATGGAAAATGAGGGACGATCGCTTCCGTACCATCCTGAGACTAAGGCAGAATCGAAATGCTGATTCCCTATGGCATTTACGCAGAGGAGCTGCGGGAAGCATTGCCCCAACGCCACAAGATCAGCAGGTTTTACCAATCCTCCCTCTGGATTCATCCAGGTCGAGAGGTTGAGATAATGAGTATTTTGTACCAAAACAGGGATGTCACGGACCGCTTGAATGACTTCTATGAGTATAATTGAGACGTTGCTAAGATCGAGCACTCCCTCCTGGACAATCGACAGCAGGCGTTGGATGAGTGGCTCGGGAAATGGATTGTGGGTGTCTGCAATTTCGGCACAAGCCCTGACTAAGTGCTCTGGGACCTGTGCCAATTCCATGTGTGGAAGCTTCATGAGGACATAAAGAAAGAGGGAGGGAACGGTCCGCTATAATTACTAATCCACCTTCAAATCTGCCCAGAATGCTCCCACGAAACTCGCCTGGCCAACAACGTTTCAGGGTTTCGTACGGGACTGTTTGATACTTCTTAATTGACTCAATAGCGGCAACCACTTCCTCCCCCTCGGATGAATAATAAAAGATTCCCCAGTGAGAGGCATGAATGTATTGATGTCACCAAGCAACTCGCAACCGGCCAACCCTCGGTCAGTAGAGTGTGCCCAGACTCGGTCATTGCTCGTAGACGCGTCTGGAGCTTTGAGGGTTAAAAAAAATTGTCAATGACGTCATATGAGGCATACGTGCGCCAGCGACGCTTCATAACTGGTAAACTACAAGATTGGATTTCAGAATATGCTACAGATGTCTCACAAGCGTCGACAAACGTTAAAAATTTGAGAACTACCTTCGGCCGGACGTCAATTTCACAAACCATGGCAGATAGCCGCAATCTCAGGCATCAGTGATCGATGGAAAACAGAATGAATATCGATCTCATATAACAATCAGATTGTTAAGGACATAACTTACAAGTTACAGTGAGGCAAACAACGGATTCACGTGTTCCTTGCTGCGGCTGTCACCTTTCTCGTGCTTAAAGGCCACTTCCTCGTACTCGGTATAACTCTTAACTTGCAGCTCGGTGTGTCGCTACTGATGCAAGCATGTTAGGATCATGCCTTTTTCCACTGACACAAGCTGGCCAGAATTTTTACTCAACTTCTTCGAAGTCGTTCGTCAACAAAACGGGTCCCACCGATCTCGCTATCCTGGGCCTTATAACACGCTCCTTAATTACTCTCTCACTAAAGAGTCCTTCACCCTCCTCCTTTGCCCGCAGTCCACCCTCGATGAGATTCTTGCGCATGATCCGGTAGATTTTGTTGTCTTTTATGTGATTACCACTGCACAACAGAAGCCAGTTCTCATTGCGGAGATCAAAGACGACAGATCCGACGGGCTTAGTACGCGCCTGAAGGCGGATGCCCAGATACGCCAACGGTACGATGAGTTGCTTCGCCATTGCCCTATTCCTCGCCTGTATGGGTTGAGCCTGCTCGGTACTTCCCTTCGTATTTATTGTGGCCACAGGGACACGGGCAATATTACACCTCGCTTTGTCGACCGCCCCTGTGTTTTGCCACCCGACTTCTTGGAGGGGGGGTGGGATTTAGACATCCTGTCTCCGGCTGGATTCAACAAGATGCAGGAGATTGTTGCGTATGTCAAGGCGGAAGTCGCCAAAATTGAGGAACATTGAATGAGGTGGAAGCTTGTTGAACGACCTTTTTTTTTTCAATGGGCAGCGAGCCTTAGGCTGCCATTTGATTTTTTGTTCAAAGTCTTCTTTGAGCTCGCTCTCTTTTTATGGTCGCCTACATCGTGACGTTTCTCAAACAGGACGATGTCCCAGTCGAGATCATACCCCCTTTTATAGTCTTTGACGACTTTGAGGAACGAGAGACCTGATGTTCCGGCACCAATGACAGCTACGCGCTTTGGTGACCGATGGACTCGGAGGGTTTGCTGCTCGGGCACTCTAAGCGAATATCCCCAGGATAGAAGTTCACTGAGCAAGGCAGCGGCTGGGTTCATAAGTAGAACGTGCCCAGACTCGTACCCAGTCGTCATTGCTCGTGGATGCGTCTGGAGCTAGTGTACCCGAGTTTTGAGGGTTAGAAATTATCAATGACGTCATATGGCCCGACATCCACTGGCGTGTATAACACACTCCATTACCGGTAAAGTTGACTACTACAAGATTGGACAACCAGAATATGCTACAGATGTCTTACAAGCGTCGACAGACATTAAAAATTTCACAACATTTGGGAAAGCTGAGTCCGCGAATTGGTGCCCTCAGCGTGAACACCTGAGTACGTCGAAAACAATGACTGACTTTTGAATCAAGTGCAACTGAATGAATTATTCCAGGTCAGCGCCTTCTTCACCGCGCGTCCTTCGGTAATGCTCCTTCCAGTCCTGGGTCTTTGCACCAAATACTTTTTGTTTCTCAGATTTCGAAGTTTGACGAAGATTGCGATTCGGATTGGCGTGCTCTTTGGCTCCCTTGTTGGCCATGAAGTATCCAGCTACACCCAGAACTCCGAGCATGATACCGAATAACTACAGGGCCCCATTAATAGGTCAGATTCCATGATGAGAGACCTACATCCTGTCACTTGCCGGATAAAGCTGGGGGTCGCGCTTCGCAAAGCGATTTAGCGTTGAAGCGGCATTGCCGGCACGATCCTGAACACATGCCATAGTTCAGGAACCAAGACAAACGCACGGCGCGAAGATAGGCAATCAAATAACCCACAGGTCTGGGAGGAAGGGAGGACATTAATCGTTGAGTATTCAGAGGGTCAATGAGGATTGAGGATGTTTCGGAGACGTTATCAGTTGTAAGTCTTTATACCTTAGATATCGGATGCAATTTCCCCAGCTGTGCGGAGTGGGAAACTCCTTGCGGAGACCCGTCAGCTGAACAATGGTGCCTTCACGTGCACCGCAACAATGGATGTCGTTTATCCTCGCGAGACTTGGAAATGTGGGCAGTCAGTGTGCAAGGAAGTTCCGATAACCCGCTAGTAAGGAGATCGAATTTAGCCACAAGGAAAGCGAATCTGCATCGGTCACAGATATTGAGCATACTTATCAAGCACAATCAAGATGTCGGGAACTCAGCTTCACGTCAGTGAACTGTGCATTTGCCAATGTACCCAGATCGCGAACTATGACTTTCGGCCACTATGGGTTTGTGGTGTGGCCAGAATATTACTTTCTTTTATTCTTCGTTCAATCCTTACGCCGCGCTTTGGTGCTCGTTTTGATTCACTTTCGCCAGCTTTGGCCTTACCCACTACGCGCTTGGACCTCAGCGTTCTAACATAAATATCGTGCACTTTACTCGTCCCTCAGTTCGCTGACGTGGAGCTGGGTTCGCGATCTAGTCCTTATTATAGGTTTCGAGCCCACCTGTCTGACGACACTACCAATGACGTTGTCAAGTCCGACCTCAACATCAAAACGCTTGGTCGCAATTACCGTACATGGGCGACTCGCTGTAGAATGGTGGTTGACTCTCTTGATCTCTGTGGCCATTTGCGTGCGCATTTCACGCATTTGATCGATCTGGGGCTCCATGGGCTTAGTGTCCTTCTCTTCAACGATAGCAAGAGGGGTGTCTTCAACAACGAGACTGATTTGGGAAAGGGCTTTTCGGTTCTTCCTATCCCATTCTACAGCTGGATCGGGCTTGGCGGAAGTAACGGACTGAGAGGATTAAGACTGGGAAGACCGAGACTAGACGGGTCAGGCGCGTAGAGGTCTGGCGATCGGGATCGACTACATCCCAAAGATCGAGAAAGTTGGGTACCATTCAACGGCGAGTCACCCAGGTCCGTTGTTGAGATTAGACCTAACAACGTCGTTCGGTAGACATAGGCTCAAAATCTGTGATAAAGACTGGATCGCGAAGTATCGAAGTATCGTACATGACTTTGTTAGTAAAAATCATAACAAATTAGAATGTCGCTCACACCTCAGCTTCACTGAGGGAGGCGTAGAACGAGTAAAATGCACGGCATTTATGTTAGCGCGCTGAGGTCGATCCAAGCGATTATCAAGACGCGTGGGGCGCGGCAATTGAATAAAGTTCTGGCCACACCACCTTAAGCCCATAGCCACTCTAAGCGCCCTAAGTAGCTGTTGAATTCCCAACACAAGATACCTCCCACCGTCACAGAAACTTGTCCCCAAGACTGCATAAGTGAACCTAGTGACTTTCAGATTGAGGTGTATATATCCTGAACCCGTTGACGTCATTTCCGGTTACAAATACCTTGAATAAAACGACCATCCCATTCCAACCGGAAATTATCTTCTTTCGACGACACAGCTGTTATGACCAGATGAGATGTAAGCAGGCTGCAAGGGTGTTGATGCCTGGCAAGTAGGTTGTTTCGTCCCATCCAGGGCCCTCAAACAGTCCAAAAGCTCGATCCAATCTTCCTCCTTTTCCCTCCCTCGTAAAAGCGCCTCGGTCTCTCCACGAGCCTCTAGTTCTAGCCAGTTTTTATTGGTGACAACCAACGAAGGATTCGTATCCATCCTTCTCCGCCAGTCTTCTACATATGTATGATTACTTCCTCGAAGAGGGAGTCGAGTAACGTTCCTTTCCATTAGGAAATTAATGAGACTTTCTTGAAAGTTGCTACTTTCCTGATAGTCATGATTCCAATCAACCAACCGATGGCCGCTTACATCGGGATTAAGACCAATATTACGCAGCCGTTCCTCGTATTCTTCAAGTTCCCTTAGAAGCTTGATCCTGTGAGGATCAACAAGTGCGGGATTGGCGATAAGGCGCGTTGCAAATATACTCTGTGCAACAGCAGTTGCTTGTGGTGGGGGATGTCGGGCGAAGGACAAGACAAACAACGCGGTAGGTGGGAATTGCGAGCTAAGGCTCATAGTATGTCTATAAAGCGGTCTCACGTAAGGACCATTGGAGGTGAGAGGTAGGTGCGGGGGTGGGTGTATGTGGGTCGTATTTCGTGACGTGACTGTTGGATCGTAAATGAGCGAGCCGCCCACTTCGAGAAAAGGCACCCTCAGCTCATAGCCGGTAGCGAGAATAACCGAATCGATATCCGTTTCAAACGATCCATCCTCGAAGTGGACCGCATCGCGAGTGAAGTGGGAAAGCCGTGCTTTCCGTATTATGTCACCACCAGGTGGGTAAATACTTTTCTTCGATATAGATTGATACACCTACGAGACAAATATCAGCAATATGTAAATGACATTTTCAAGGAACGCATTCTTTCCTTTGACGCTACCTCAGCTACAAACCTGGTAATATCTTGGGCACTCGCGCCGCCTCCGACCACGAGAGCGGTTTTGTTCACATACGGAGTAGCGTCTTCATACCAAATGGAGTGGCGGATGTCCCGAGACCCGTTCGACAAGTTATTTCTATGTGCCAGCCATGTCTCCCTCCCTGGGAAGTTCCCTTCGTGAGGGAAGTGATACCGACCAGTGGCAACAATAAGATGGTCGAAATTCTCGAAGATAGTTTCATGCGTTGCATCTTTGGGGATGATCTGTTGATTCAACGGACTGAAAGAATGCCAATCGCTAGATTCTTGATATGTGATTGGTCGTTCAATTCTAAGGCGCCAGTATCCCTGTGTCGAATTACCGATCCATTGGGCAGATGTTACGTTATGTCTCAAGCGTACAGCAGACTCGAGTTTGAAGTGTGAGGCGACTGACTTCATGTACTCATGCAGCTTGGTGTGAATAGGGTATAGATCCGTACCAGGGGGAAATGGGAATTTATAGTAGGTGTCTGCGCGTTTCCATCGTGTCAGTAATTATCCTAGATCGCGAAGAGCTGAAGACTGACTGTGAGGGTGCGGGGTGTTTGTTCGTAAACGGGAATATATACTCGACTCAGGCAGTATAGGTGGATCGGGCTTGTTCTTTTGCTCGTACCTACCGGAGAAGGATTGAGACAAGGACGAGAACAAATGGAGGGAGAAGATGCAGAACCTACCATATACCACCGATATCATCCCGGTGCTCGTACAGTACAACATCCCAGTTTAAATCCTTCTGTTGCTCCTGGAATTCTCGGACCACTTTCAAAAAGCTAATTCCAGCGGCACCACCGCCCACGACAACTATCCTCTTAGGTGAAATGACGACTTCCTTTCCAGCTTTAACAGGTAGCTGAACATTCCCTGCAGTGTTCCGGAGCAATTCCGGGATTGTCAGGGACATTAAAATATCCACCATCCACTTCATCGAGAAACAAGAACTAAATTTGCGGCAAGCTAAGCTCTGTAAACAACCATGATAGTGCTTGGAAGATAGGAGCTTACGTGGGAAAACTGCCCGGACCAAATTGAATGTGCCATATAGTGTTTCTCGTTTTCGAGCCACAACCGCATTCTGCTCTGATACTTATTTTGTGGGGACACTCTCTCAGTGTTTCCCAACCCAGCTGCTCATTAATATAAGCCTCGCGGTCAAAATATCGGCCACTCGATCTGTTCTCACCGGTTCTAACAGGGGCCCTGTGCTTGGCAGGATTGGACCTTTTCCTTCCAGCGTGCCACTTGCAAACTGCTTCCCTGTGCGACATCCTTGGATAGAAATGTGTCCCCTGCCATACCAGAGTACGAGTATCAGGCCTGGCCTTGCTTCCCTCCAAGATCGTGCCCCTAGTGCGTCTCTTGCGCCACCCTGAGACGCCCTCACTACTCAGGAAAATGGAGGGCCTTCGACTGTTTCATCTGTCTTGATACCGTCTTTCCCTCCTCCCAGGCATGGCATTGCACTCTTGTGTGTTGTCCCTTGTTGGTTTCCGGTGTGTTTTTTTTGAGTTTCTTTTTGTATTGGCTGGTCTCACTAGCCACCCGTTCAAAACGACGAAGGAAATAGAAGTCTCAACGCGCCGCCCACAACTAAAATCCTCATTACCCAGCCACTGCCTAACTGAGGTACGTTCAGCTGTTGGAGGTTTAATTTGAAGTTTAACTCGTTTGGTCCAGTATATACAGCTGGAATTATATATTCCGACCCCTCGGGGTCCTCTAGCTGCCGCTCTTTATGTTCGTCTGCAGCATCTTTCTTTCCTTGCAATGCGTCTACCATCTTACTAGATGAGTAGCTATACTATAAGTGACTCTAAATATCCGGAGGGATAAGATTTTCAAAGGTCCATGGCATTGGGCTTTCAGGACACATGCATGCATATGTCAAGTATAAGTACATTTATGTACATATGGGGACGAGATCATAATGGCAAAAGAAAGAGCAAGGGGGCGTTCTCCCCGTGTCAAATGCAGGTGCGGGGGTGTTACGCTAAACATCCTGGATGCCCCCCGTTGCTTTTTTGCACTGATTCATCGGATCGGAAAGGACTATCAAATCATTAACTAGTTTAAACCAAGCATCCTCATTCACCCTCCCCTTAAGAAGCTTCTCCCTCTCATCGTCCTCAAGGTTGTCCCAGTAGCATTTGATCCTTGGAATCATACTCCTACGATTCACTCTAAGCCTCCGATCATCGACGAACCGATCTCCGGTTCCGGGCAATGGTGGCAACTCCGTCGCACATTTCTGTTTGAGAACATCTATCAGACCGTTCATGAGGACGTTGAATTCGTCCCGCTCCGCAACCTCAACGAGTCGATGTCCCAGCTGGAATGGATCAAACTTGCACCGCTCCTCTTGACCTTCGCACTTACTACATTGGCGTTTCTCTTCATACACCAATTCCCGGAAGAGCGCGTCTCTGTCCACCAAAGATTTGTCCTTGATCACTCGAGTGGCGAAAATTGACTGGGCAACGGCTAACAGTGCAGGCGGAAAATCTCTTGGTAGCCCAAGGATGAAAAGGGAGTCAGGAGGGAAGTCGGAGCTTAAACTCATCGTGTGTTTGTAAAGCGGGCGTATGTAATTGCCGTTGGTCGAGAGCTTCGGATCGTCAATATCGCTGGTATCGCATGACACACTCTCTCGATGCTCCATAAGCGCACCTCCTGTCATGAGGAAAGGGATTTTCGTTTCGTATCCAATTGCGAGAATAACGCTATCGATGTCGTCCTTACATCCGGTTCCCCCGTCGAAGCAGACGGCATCCTCCTCGAAGTGTGTTAATCGACCCACTGGGGTAGGGTCACTAGCACGCGGGCACGGGTTCGTTGACGATCGTGCAATATAGACCTACCACCGACAAAACTGAGTTACAATGGGAGACAATGACGAACAAAGTGGAAATGGAAACGGGGCCCGTACCTTTTTAGCGCGTCGGCGAACGTCCCGTGCAACATCCTCGCCAGCGCCACCAGCCCCCGCGACAAGAACGGTGCGACCAGCGTAAGATTTTGGGCTCATGTAGTACATCGAATGTTGTATTTGCCTCGGAAGCGTTGAGTTTTCATAATTTTTCGAAAGCCACTTGTCCATTCCAGGGGGTTTATCTGTTCGAGGGTACGCGGTTTGACCAACGGCGACAATGAGATGATCGAATTTCTCTTGTATGGTCTCCTTTCCCGACTCCGGGGTACACGCAGCAGAGAACGAAGAACGAAAACGTTGCGCCGATCCGCCGCTTTTCGGCGTTTGGATGGTTAGTTCCCATTGACCACTCTCAGCAGTACCGACCCAGCGAGCCTTAGTGACCTCATGCTGCCACTTGATTTTTTGTTCGAAGTCTTTTTTAAGAACGATCTCGAAGAGATTTCTGTGGTAGTTGTACATCTCCTGCTCCGGCAGATACAAGTCGAACCCGGGCGGGAAGGGAAGGCCAGGAAGGGTATCTGATGAGACGATCGCGTTAGTTTCATATTGCGGAGGTGCCAGTGCGCTGACTTACTATAAGGATTTGGCGTGCTCGTAGAAACCCCAGGGTAAAGCGGAGTCTCCGGTAGACAGCCTGAGGAAGCCCTATCAGGTCCAGGTTTTTCCTCTTGTTTAAGCCTTTGGGGTCAAGTTCTTACAGATCAGCAAGACATAGGAACTCGTGATAAGAGATGTTGCACTTACCATATGCCGCCTACATCGTGACGTTTCTCGAACAGGACGACGTCCCAGTCGAGATCATACTCCTCTTTATAGTCTTTGACGACTTTGAGGAACGAGAGGCCTGACGTTCCAGCACCTATGACAGCTACGCGCTTTGGTGACTGATGGACTTGGAGGGTTTGCTGCTCGGGCACTCTAAGCGAATACCCCCATGATAGAAGATCACCGAGTAAGGTTGGGAGAGCCAAGATTGATTTAAGCAGCATCTTTGGCAAGCCTGCAAGAGGCACGAGAGTGAGGAGCACGCGGGGACTTGTACAGGGTGACCAGCCCCCAAGATATAGAGGTCGAGGCCGGACCAGCCATGCCGACAGGAAGGACTAAACTCTCTCAATGGTACAATAGCCAGACGAGGGACGCTGATAGGAGTAGACTTTTTTGAATAAATTCTCTCAATGTCACAGGGACCGGGCCAGCCATGCTTTTTGTTTACCCAAATCTCACAATGACGGCCGTGCTGACAGGAGTGGAGTTGTTTTAGCCAAATTGTCGCAGGGACCAGACGAGCCATGCTGACAGGAGAGAGCTTTTCCAACCAAATTCCCTCAATGACGGATCAGCCATGCTGACAGGAGAGGACTTTTCTAACCAATGACGGAAAGGGTGGGAGCAGCCGCGCTGACAGGAGCGGGACCAGACCTGCCATGCCGGCAGGAGTGGACTTTTCCCAACCAAATTCCCTCATCGACTGCAGAGGATGGATCAGCTGTGCGGATAGGAGTGGATTTTTCAACCAGATTTTCTCAGTGATGCAGGGGCTGGACCCCATGTTGACACGAGTGTATACAGGAGTACGACCCGGACCAGCCATACATGGCGACAAAAGCACAGATTCCACCAAAGAGGTAGGGAGGGGCCCCAGCGTCCACTACTCTGACTAAATGCGGCTATACATAGTAACTCCGCTCATGTTAAGTAAGCAATAAGCGCTCCCTAAAAACGTCGATCATCGAGTTATTCCCGATATATGTGCGATCAAATTGCGGATGACATCTTGGCGGAACGGGACACCCAGGTCCGTATGGACTCAACTCCGCAGCGGATGGGCGGCGTCTAAAATCCGTGCGAAACTACTAAATCAAGCCTGAAGCTAGATCTAACGATGGAAGCCAAGTGACCCTTGAGCGACCAGCCACTTCAGTAACCACGGACGAAATTCTCGGGAAAAGGTTTCCAACCCTCCACTTCCTTCGTGCCTCCTGCTGTAGCCAAAGCGTTCGAAAGACGCAACTTCAACCCGCTAACTGCCTCAAGCGCTCATGATTGGTCATTCAGTTGTTGACACTCCAGCAGCACCACCGATCTGGCAGCCCGAGGTAGCATTATGTCATGCGCGTAGTACGACGCCCTCGAGCCTACGCCCTGTTTCTCAAAACGCCCGCCTCAGGACGCCCAGGTCTGTTCTTCTGTAGGATTTACCTACGAGGGAGATATAGAACCTATTATGTGACCCCAATAATGACATGTTGTCCGCGCAAGGACAGCCTCCTAGTAGCCGACTTGTTTCTGTTTGCTCTTCATCAGGAACGCCGGACAAAGCCCCCAGGTGTCCTCAATGTCCTCTGCTGGTCTCCTTGAAACTCGGAGACTAATTTCAAGAAGCTCTGTCCAGCGTGCCGTTCCGTCGAGACAGGAGCGTTAACTTTCTTATGTAACATGCCCAAGCCCATGAGGTTTCTGCCGAGCAATAGGCTCATTTGGAGCGTATCGAGTCAAAGTAAGTGGTCCCAAAAAGAACGGCTGAGAGGTGACCACTGACTTGAAGTCGCCAAGCATCCCTCCGACAAAAGTTGAGCGTGGAACCAGAGTCCGGGTTCTTGAGCATGCGGACGCAGTTACACGAGCCGTGATGGCCTGTTTCCCACGGTCACGCAGGCCAGGCAAGGATGAGTTGACTCTATTATGAACCCATTAGCCACTAGAAATGGCTGCTGCGCAGCCTTGACCTTGCTTGTGACTAGGCTTTTCTTTCTTTTTTTTGGTGGAACCCCCGTAGCTTTCGCGGGCAAGATTGCCTGGGGGTTTGTGGGGGAAGGCTGGACCTTCCGTGGAGGTGAGGTCGATGCATCTGTGTTAGTGCAGAGATTGCCACCTCAGGTGGGGTCGGCAAACCAGGTTAGAGCCTGGTGACGCTTACATAAGCAATATTTGTTTCAATCCTGGCCTGTCAGGGCAATAGCCCCGAACCCCGAGCCATATGTAATTACAAGATCAGGCGAACCTACGGCTGTGTTCTTTTTTTCAGCTGGACCACCGTTTTCTCGCTCTCTGATTGGATTTAAGGTTTTAGCCTTGACCTCGAGTTGTGACAGATTTGAGATGGAATTCGATTGACTTTCATTGGTGTTGGAGAGTCTCCTGTGCATGTTCAGAACAGATCAGCTTTCTTTCGGCTAAGTGGTATGTTTTGACATCAATTTGTTCACGATGAATGCGGCCAAGTTGTTTACCTTCCATCTAACTACTATTGGATTAGTGACACCCATGCTCATTGACACTTTGACTGTGTTTTCTTTCATTTGACACGTCATGTAATGACCAGGTTATACCTTGGTCGACACACTTACCCAATGATTGCAATGACACAACCCCCTGGAATCGTTCAATGTACAGAGTCTCAACAGTGCATTGAAGCACGTTCTTGCTCTCTCATCACGAAAATCGGACAGGCAACTAGAGCAAGGTCCCCTGGTCCAGAGCACTCCGGAGGCTCCAGAGCACCTGGGAGCATCTGGACCATGTGGGAGCGTGTAAGGTCGGTTGAGGTTCCGACCTTGGTGTTGACTCCTGCTATCCTCAAGCTGTCAGGAATTAGGCAGTATAGAGCTGTAATTTCGACAGGGGAGGAGAAGAGTGAAAACCTGTTTCACCCTTCCCCGCAATTTATATACATTGTTTACATCGAGAAATAAAGAGTAATAAACAATGAATAAAGAAAGTGTGCACAGCATGCATCACCACACATCCATTCCCTACAGAGCGCCAGTCCGATTTTCGTGATGCTCATTGGCTAGCCGGGCACCCAGCATCATTCCGGTTGTGTTCACTTGTCTCACATCCATGGTATATACCTATATCATTCCATGGCTTTAGAGTGCACTTTCAGGGCTTGACATGACCTCACATCAAATGAAAATCTTGCCCCTCAACGACGACTCTGACAGTCATAAAAAGGTGGGTACATGGGGTTTCTTTTATCATCATGTTTCACACTCCGTGAAACCTTTGAATTGTGCAGTACTCCAGGAGCGTACAATGTTATGAAGAATGGGCATGGTTTACAAACGGATGTGGAGTGTGTTCGCCATGTTAGACTCAAGGTAGCAGTGCAGAGTGTACAACATTAGCCATGCTGGGCTTGTTGTTGTCAATCAGGATTGATAGTCGCATCATTGCGATGTCGCACTCTAGACAACAGATCAGGTGAAGAGGTTGGAGCAGCATGTGAAGAAGTGTGCATTGATGAGATAGCTGACACATTTGGGCTGGTCAGGAAACTCAAACACAACTGGAGATGAGATAAGCTAGCTGGCTGGCCCCAAACGGGCGATGACTTAAGCGACCAGATCCCAAATCGGTGATGATCTAAGCAAGCAGAACCAAAATGGGTGAGGAAGAGCCCTAAAGGGGCGATGAGCTAAGCAAGTGCATCCCAAATGGGAGCTGAAGTAAGCACCTTCATCCAATGAGAGTGTGTGAGACCTCACTCCAACCAATCGGCATTCGCGATTTGTGGAGCATGTCTGCGCTCTTTATATATAGTAGACAAGATACATATAGTCATGTGGGTAAGCGGTAACTTCTGTTAACTGCTTACACACACCATAAAATACACATCTTTGTATCACTTATGGCTCTGTGTGCTGAGCTACCCCACTGAGACCTCACATGGCCACACCATCACCCTCAAAACACATCAACCTTCGCTTGTAAACTATATTAGAATTAACTGAATAATGGTATTATGTAGACTGAAGGTTATGTATATAGAAGGATGGGTAATTTGTTACGGGCCTCATGGAGCTAGGACTTAGGATCAAACGAGATGGAAGCAAGAGAGCTCAGATCACGAGAACAAAACTAGGAGCTGAAGTCAAATTGAGGTGGGTAACCTGCGTTGACCAGTTAAGGGACTACTCCTTACTGGTCAATGTCAGGGCCCGGCCTCGGACTCGGAGGCTCCCTGACCTCAGCCCCCATCTAACCTGTCCTCACACTATGTGGGGCATGAGATGTATAGTAAAAGAAAGGGAATATATACACTTGCCTATGCGGGGCATGAGATGAGAAGAAGGGTAAAGGTCTCATCTCCCCGCATGGTTGCTATATAAAGGAATGGGTCACATGCCCACAACTATACAGCTCCTAGAGTTGTGTAGTGTGACCCGGAGGGAACATCCAGGTGGCAGTGCCCAGTAAGCGTGGGAACGTTCTGGGCGAGTTGCTCGCCCAGAACTGTGGCTGTGACCCGTGGGAACATTCTGGGCGAGCTGCTCGCTCAGAAAGTTCCCGCGCTATCCCGTGCGCGCGTGTACACAACACACAAAGGCAACAACAAGGCAACAGTCAAAGAATAAAAGGGGGTAAAGTAGGTGGGGAGTCCGGGGCACCCTAAGGCAGGGTGCTGAACCCTGACAGTCAACTGCATTATATACACATCGTGTAACAGTTCTGACTAGGCAAATGTGGTCCGCTTATAAACTAGGCTGGATTATTGGGCGAGATGCTCGGGTCTGAACTAGATCTGTCGGTGTTACGTCGAACCATAACATTATCTTCCCCTTCTCAGAATGTGTGGCCTAACTCATGATCGAATTCGTGGTTCTATCTTTGTTGATGGGGTGAGATATGTGACCCGAGCATAAAGTCGTCTGAGGCGGCAGTGTGTACACGTTGCTGGGTCTATCCATTGGTTGCAGGGGAGGAGCAGGAGCCAAAATGTTGTGTGATCGCTCAGATGTCGGTTTCATGTCTGGGAAAATTCTCCGTGGCTGTGGTAGTTTCGTATGTCAACAGTGGAAAGTTTCTAACAGTTCGTTATAGGTGTCCGGAATGTCGTTGAGCATGAACCAGGATGTTTCTGAGCTGGGTTTATCTGATTGTTCCAACAGGTACTCGAAAAGTCTGCCCACTTTTCGTACATCCAAGATTTTCTTGATGTTTAATGGGTTGTCTTCGGCAAGCAAGGACAAGGCTTCCCAGGAAGGGTGCTCCAACCTTAGTCATTTTGCCCACTCTTCCAGGTGGATGTAATGCTCGAGCAGGTTAACGTTGAACACTGGATGTAACCTCATGTAGGAGGGGGGCAATTGCAGATGGTACACGTTATTCCCTATTGTCATATCCATTCCCAGCCATCGACTTCCGGTCCCTCCGTTCCCTCCGGTCTAACTCCGCTCCTCCTTCACTAACCTCGGAGCTCCCATATTCCGCAATCCTCTCGGCACCCCTCGATGGTCACCACCCCCTCATTTCAACTTATTACCTACGCCTCCCTAAGTACAGAGCCCCGAAGACTTCCGGACAGCTCCGACGTCCGCTAGCGCACCCCCGCCTCCGCTGAGCAATACACTCGCCTGCCCTGCAGAGTCCACCTTCGGGCTTATCCCTCCTTTCCGTTTCTGGGTTATCGCCTGCCTTTCCGCTAACCCCGTGAACCGACTCGTCGGTAATATTCAGTCGGCTAATGGTTAAACCCCGTTAGCTCCGCTCCGTTCGGCTCCGCCAATTGCGGAACCGTCCCCGCTGTAACCATATATATATCCCACTTGTACATAGGTTACGCCCCAGTAGAAAAATCAACTAGAGTTCCCCCTAGGTTCTAATTGCCAGTCAGTAAGTTAGGGCACGGACGTGTCACTAGGCACAGCGCTCCTGGCAGAAGTCGCTGAGGCCGAAGCCCTCCGTTACGGAGACATTCTTTCGTCTCAAGTCTGGTCTCTGACAGTATTTTTCTACTCCCTGACTAGTACACGTCTTGTATGGCACCAAAAGTCCTTTGCACTCGTTCGCAACTACGCACATTAGTCCCCAACTCCGCTTCACCTTCCCCAGAACCCTCTCAGCCTGGTCCTAGTCGATTGGTGAGAAACCCAGTTGAGTTTCGAAGCTTTTCTAACCTTGAAACCCCTCTCCCATCGACTCCGATCATGCGCCCCGTTAGGAATCGATCACCAGTCGCAGACTCCGACTTCGGAGACACCACGGAACAACCCATAGATCCCGCCCACTTCTTTGGACTCGGTTCCGAGGTCCCCGACTTCGTCGACCCTCCTCCTGCTGATCCTCCCATTCCCACTGTCCCAACCACCGACGATCCCGAACCCACCTCCAACGTGGCCATTACACAATTGGCCCAAGCCATTGCCAGTCTGGCTCGTCACACCGGACGACAACGACGACGACCATCTTCTGCTCTCCGGACCAAGGTCCGCAAACCCGAACAGTTCAACGGAAAGGATCCCCGAGAACTCCGAGTATTCTTGGTCCAATGCGAGCTCAACTTCCAGGACCGTCCCCTCGCTTTCGCTAGCGACCACGCTAAAGTCATATTTGCGCAGTCCTACCTCAAGGGAATGGCCCTCGATTGGTTCGAGCCGGACCTGTTATTCGACCAGAATTCCACGCTTCGTCCGCGATGGATGAACGACTATCAAGAGTTCGTTAATGAACTTCAAACTAACTTCGGCCCTCACGATCCTGTGGGCGATGCCGAGGTTCAACTGATGACACTGGACATGAAGGACGGGCACCACATCAACAAATACGTCGTCGAGTTCAATCGACACGCCTCCCAACTTCACGGTTACGGAGAAGCCGTGCTTCGTCGTTTCTTCTATAACGGATTGCCGGAACGTATCAAGGATGATATTGCCAGAGTAGGTAAACCCTCTACTCTCTCTGAGCTTCGCACCCTTTCCCAAACTCTCGATGCACGCTATTGGGAGTGTAAATCGGAAGTTACACGTCACGCGAAACCCTCTTCCTCTAATGTTTTCGACAAGTCCACCGCCGCTTCTCGTTCCGACCCCGTCCCTTCCTCCTCCTCTTTCAACTCGGTTTCCGGTAGTAGGCCTCCGAAGGACAATAAGAAGTCCGAGGCCAGCTCCGCTAAACCGGACCTCTCGTCTAAACTCGGAGACAACGGTAAGCTCACACCACAAGAGCGTAAGCGTCGTCTCGACGAGAAACTATGTATGTTCTGCGGTCAGTCTGGCCATATGGTCAAGGATTGTCCCAAGTCTTCTTCTCGCACCTCTAAGGCCCGTTCGGCCCAGACCAAGGAGCAAGGATCCGCTTCCGCAGAAGCAAAAAATTAGTCCGCACCCCCGTGGACTCTGCACGGACCGGGGGTTGCGATCCTTCCTTCCGTGCACTCAAAGAAGTGCGTTTAAACGCGTCTTCCATTTCCGACTTATCCTCCCTCCACATTCCCGTTTCCTTCTCTCTTTCAAATGGTCTATTTTCTCCTTTTAATGTTGACCCTTCGGGCAATGTTCTACCCGTTGTAGATAGTGTTGCTGATGTACCACTCTCTCCTCCGCCCCCTCCGACTACTTCCGTAGATCGATCCACCTCTCTCCGCTTCTCTTCTTCTTCCTCTCTTCCTGTTTCTCCTCCGTCCAATAGTAGGACACAAAATAAACTTTTCCGCTCCTATGAGAACGTACCTGCACTCGTAGATTCTGGGTCTTTGGACTGCTTCATCGACGACACCTTCGTAAAAAAGCTGGCCTTGAAGACATACCAGATCAAACCCCTACAACTACGCCTATTCGACGGTAGCACCAACTCAATCATAACCTGTGCCGTTGATATTCCCCTCCGCTTCGCTTCCGGAAACATCACCCCCACGACTTTCTTTGTCACATCGCTGGATGGATCATGTTCCCTAGTCCTAGGACACAACTGGCTTACCCGCTACAATCCATTGATTGATTGGGTCTCAAGCAGTATTACATTCCGAACTTCCGAACCTACCAAGACAGTCACTCCAAGCTCTCCCCCGTCGTCTCCGGCAACACTGCTGTCATCCGACATCCAACCATCTGATGTTTCGCCAGCACCTCAGTCGCAGGCTGTTACCCCTCCATTACCATCTATCGAGTTCGTCAGCCGTTCCGCATTCGTGAAGGCTTGCCGACTTGAAGGATCGGTATCCTTCAGCCTAACCATCCCTTCCGAGGAAAGCCGCTTGAGGGCTGCCTCATCCCACACCGATTCCGTCGACCTCTCGGCCGTTCCGAAGGAGTATCACGAGTTTGCGGATGTGTTCAGTAAGAGCAAAGCCTTGATGCTGGCACCGCACCGTGAGCACGACCTAAAGATCGACCTTGAGGAAGGCACCTCCCCACCCTTGGGTACCATGTACTCTCTCTCTCCTTCGGAACTCGAGGCCCTCCGGGCGTTCTTAGATGAACACCTGGCCTCCGGTTTCATTCGCCCCGCTACTTCCGCTCACGCGGCACCGGTCCTCTTCGTCCGCAAGAAGGACGGATCCCTCCGTCTCTGCGTCGACTTCCGAGGGCTGAACAAGATCACCAAAAAGGATCGCTACCCACTTCCCCGCATCTCCGACCTCCTTGACGCACCTAGCCGTGCCACGGTCTATACCAGACTTGACCTCCGGCATGCTTACCACCTGGTTCGCATTGCAGCAGGCGACGAATGGAAGACTTCCTTCTGCACGCGCTATGGTTCCTATGAGTGGCTTGTCATGCCATTCGGTCTCATGAATGCACCTGCGGCTTTCCAGCGATTCGTCAACACGATCTTTGCCGACCTCCTGGACGTTTCTGTGGTAGTCTACCTAGACGACATCCTTACCTACTCGAAAGACATGGCTTTGCATCAGGAGCATGTCCGAGAAGTTCTTAGGAGACTCCGCAAACACGGCCTATACGCCAATCCGAAGAAATGCGAGTTCCATACGGACACTACAGAATATCTCGGTTACTGCCTCTCTCCTTCCGGACTCACCATGTCCATTGAGAAAGTCAAAGCCGTCCAAGATTGGCCCGAGCCCCGTAAAGTCAAGGATGTCCAATCCTTCCTTGGCTTCGCTAACTTCTATCGGCGTTTCATTCACCAATACTCCGACATTGTGGTCCCCTTGACGTGCCTCATGCGTAAAGGAGCCCCCTGGCTATTCTCTGACGATTGTCGTGCTGCTTTCGACACCTTGAAAGAAGCCTTCACCTCCGCTCCTATCCTCACACATTGGCTACCCGACGCCCCCCTCATCGTAGAAACCGACGCCTCCGATTATGCGATCTCCGGAATCCTTTCCATTCGCTGTGATGACGGAGAGATTCGCCCCGTCGCTTTCCGCTCAAGAACACTCTCAGCGCCGGAGCTCAATTACGATACCCATGACAAGGAACTGCTCGCCATTCATGATGCGTTCCGATCATGGCGTCATTACCTCGAAGGTTCAGGAACCCCAATCGACGTCGTCACCGACCACAAGAACCTCGAGTATTTCTCCACCACCAAACTCTTGACCCGGCGGCAAGCCCGCTGGTCAGAGTTCCTCTCCCAATTCCACATGACAGTCCGATTCCGTCCTGGAAGACTCGGAGTTAAACCAGATGCGCTGACAAGACGCTGGGACGTCTATCCCAAAGAAGGGGATATGGACTACGCTCGCGTCAATCCGCAGAACTTCCGACCGGTCTTCACTTCGGAGCAGCTCACTGCGTCCTTACGAGCCACGTTCCTAGCTGCCACAGTAATCCGAGCAGCCGTACTCGTTGACACAGAGGCTCTTCATCGAGACATCCTAACCTCCCTCTCCTCCGACACCTCAATCTCTTCTCATCTCGCTTCCCCCAACCTCCCCAACTCCTGCTGGTCCGTTGATGCCGAAGGCCTCTTAAGGCTGGACAATCGCATTTACGTGCCGGATTCTAACGATCTCCATCTTCGCGTTTTGCGAGACAAACACGACCACCAACTTTCCGGACACTTCGGGCAAAACCGGACTCTGGATCTAGTGCGTCGTGAGTATACCTGGCCGGGCATCCGTAACTTCGTCAAGAGTTATGTATCCTCCTGCACTTCTTATGCCCGCGCCAAGGTCCCCCGTCATAAGCCTTACGGCTTACTCAAACAACTCCCCATCCCCGAACATCCTTGGAACTCCATCTCCATGGATTTTATCGAACAGCTACCCTCCTCTTCC